ATTAAAATTTATTATTTTAATTATAAAAATTATGAATATACATAATTTTTATATTGGAAATTTTTTTTTATTAATAATAATAAAAGTTTTAAATATTTATTATTTTATTAGTAATTTTTTTTTGAAAATAAATAAATTTATTTTATCATTATTTAATAAAAATTTTTTATTAACAATATAAGTTTTATGTATTCATTATTTTATGTAATAAATTTATGATAAACGTAATTTTTTATCATCATTTAATATAATAATAAAAGTTTTTAAATATTTACAATTTTATTAGTAATTTTAAAAATAAGTATTTTCTCATCAATCATTAAATAAAAATTTATTATTAATAATAAAACTTACAAATAATAATTTTTTTAATTATATTAGAACATCTTTTTTATTATTAATAATAAAAAGCTACTTTTTTTATTAATAATTTTATTAAAAAATAAATACTTTTAAATTGTTTTTTATTATAAATTTATAATTATTTATAAAATTTTTATATCTTTACTATTTGACTAAATAAATTTATTATATACATTTTTTGTCATCATTTAAGATAAAATTTATTAATATAAAAACTCGAAAATTTATTATTTTATTAATAATTTTACTAAAGAATATTAATTTTTTATCGTCATTTATTATTTAATATTAACAATAATAAAAGTTTTATATATTTAATATATTATATTTAATAAAATTTATAATTAATAATAAAATTATAAATTATTATTTTATACAATAATTACTTGAAATAGATTTTTTATCATCATTTAATAATAATTTATTAATAATAATAAAAGTTTTACTTTTATTATTTTATTAACAATAGTATATAAAATTAAAAAAATAAATTTTTTTATAATAGTCTTATTAAAAAATATATTATTTATAATTAAAATTCTTATATTTATTATTTTTTAAATAATTTTATTAAAAGTATATATTTATTCCCTATCAGGTAATTAATAAAAATGGCTTGCTATTACTATTAATATTGCAGTTATTATTGTAACTAATATTATTACTATATTACTATCATTAATACTAATATCCGTCATTGTTAGTACGTGTAGTACTATATGAAGTACTGAACTAATAATAAATAAAAGTTTTAAAATTTATTGTTTTGTATAATAAATTAATAAATAAAATTTAATATCAACATTACATATTTATAAATAATAATAAAATAAATAATAAAATAAATTGTTATAAATATTATTTATTTTATATAATAACTTATAAAAACAAAGAAATTTTTTATCATGTAATAAATAATATTAATAATAAAAAATAAAACGCTTTAAGTATTTATTGCTTCATATAATCATAAAAAAATAAATATTTGTTATCATTATATAATAATTTTTTTTAATTAATGATGCATAATTAATAAAAAAAGATGTTTTCTTATTTATTATTTTAATAATTTTTTTAAATAAAACAAATATATTTAAATAATAAAATAAACTGTTTTAAAAAAAATTAATATTATATAATTTTAAAAAAATATATACTTTATTATTTTATGATAAAAATTTATTAGTAATATATAAATAATAAACAAAAACTTTTAGAAAAAAGCGTAATACCAATAATAAACTTTAATAATAAAACCTAAATATAACATTTTACTTTTAATAATAAACTTTGATAATATAATTTTACTACAAAACAAATAATATATGAAATAAAAACTTTTATTTTTAATAATAATAATAAATAAAAATAAAACATTATATTAAGGTTACTACAATTTAAAAACTTTTATATATATAAAATTTGTAACAATAATAAAATTCAATAAAAAATACTATATAAAAGTTAACTACTATTTTAATAATAAACTTTAATGTAATAACATATAAATGTTACTAAAATTTATAATATACAAAAAAACTTGTATTTGTTATAATAATAGATATAATAAACTTTAATATTAAGTATTAAATTATATTAAACTTAACTATTATTAATATTAACTTTAATTATATATGCTTCCAAATAAAAACAAATAATATATATAAAATATTATATAGGAGAACTATTATTTTCAATAACAAACTTTTACATAAAAATATATAATAATAATAAAAATTTATTTTTTAAATTTAATATTAAATATAAACTTCATAGTAGTTATAATACAGTATTATATAAAAGAAAAATTTATGAAATTATTAAACCTTTATTATATATAAATCCAAAATATTTGTTTTACTGATAAATAATAAAAAGTATCAAAAAAACTTTTACAAAAAAACTTTTTATTAATAATATCATAATATTTATTATAACTTTACCGAAACTCGACTTTCATATACTCTCAAATCTTTGGAATTTATAGTAAACAACTCCACATTATGCTTATTGGCTCTTGAAAACTGCAAAAAAAATTTATTAAAAAATATGAATATATATAATATATAAAAGCAGTAAAATATTATTTATAAATATATAAAAATAATAATATTAATAAGAAAAATAAGTAAATATATAATAAATATATTTAAATATAAAAAGAATTGAAAATGTTTCTAATAATAATAATAATAAAATATTTAGATAAACTCAATTTTATTTTAAAGATAATAAAAAATATTATAATCCTAAATATCTGATAATAAATGCACAGTATTATAAATAATAATATAATACTTGTTAATAATAATAATAATAAATATGAGCTAAAATTTAAATAACTATCAAATATTATATTATAATCATTATTATTAAAAAAAAACTAACAAACGAATTAAGATATTAATATTAATAGATACGAATGCGACTTTATAGTGATATATAATAAAGAAGCAAATAAATATGATGTACAATAATAATAAATTCAACATATACGAACACAAAATAATAAATATATATATTGATTTTTAAAAATATTTATAAAAAAATTGAAATTTTTTTTTTAAATATAAAATAAAAATAGTACAGTTGAGAATATTAAAAAATAATTATCACAACTAATAACAGTAATAAAAAGTTTAGAAATATGCTTTATATATATATAAATGGTACAATTAATTATAAAAAACCAAAAACTATTGTAACTAATAATAACTATAAGCATAAATAAAAACTTCAAATTATTCTATAAATATATTAATTATAATTAAACAATAATTAACACTATTATAATAATAAAAAAGTATTTTTTATATAATTTAAAGATAAACTACTAACTATTCAGCAATAATATTATTACAACTTAAATAATAATAATTATTTTATATAAGTAATTAATTAACCATAATAAAACGATAATAATTATTACTATGTAATAGTAATAATTGTAATAAAAACAAAATTATTTTATACATAAAAAAATTTTAAAAAATGACTATAATAAAAAAACAATAATTATTGCAATTATAGTAATAATTGTAATTTTAATGAAGCAAACTTCAAAATTATTATATATGTATAAGAAATTAAAATTATAAAACATTTTCATTATAACTACAATAAGAATAAAACTTCAGATTAATAAAGTAATAACAATTATTATAACTATAACAATAATAATTATAAAAAGAAACTTCATGGTTATTTTATATATAAAAAAATAATACATTAATTAAAAATAAAAACCTTTTTATACAACTATAATAACAATAGTAATAATAAAAATTCAAATATTTCTAAAAATAATAAAAGTATAATTTGGTATAATAAAACAATAATAATTATTACAACTATAATAATAAAATATAAAATTGCTTATAATGAAACAATAACAGCAGTAAGTAATAATAATCAGCGACCATTTTCTCAAAGTTCTTTACTTCTTCCCTTTTTATAATAGTATAAGCTTCTCCGGCTCTTCCTGCTCTTGCAGTTCGGCCCACGCGGTGAATATAAGTCTTTTTTTTTGTAGAATATTATATAAAAAAGTATAATAGTAATTACTTTTATACAAATATTAATAATACTAATTATTATGCAAAACATAATAATAAAAAATATAATAATAAAAAAAGTTTATAAATAATTATAATTAAAATAATAAATAGTAAGATTTTTTATACCTCTACAAAAAAAAAAGCTTTATAGCCTATTATAATTTATATATAAAAACAACTGGTGACATATAAATAGAAAAAGTTTCTTTTAGATTAAAAAAGTAATAATCGTTGTATTTGTTAATATTTATAAATAGATATAAAAAATAAATGAGTAGTAAAATTTTTTTATCTTTAGAATAATATTATAAAAACAATATGAAAAAAAATAAAAACAATACAAATTTTAACAATCACTATTATTAAAAATATAAATATTTATAAATAAATATACAAAAATAAAATATATAGTAAAAAAATGTCAAATTTTAATTACAATTAAAAAAATTACAATAATAAAAATTATATAATAAAAATGATAGATATAGATATTTTAAAAAATTTATAAAAAATACAATAGTCAAATATTATATATCAACATAAAATTATAATAATAATAATAATAATAATAATAAAATAAAAGCAAAATTATAAGCAAACAATATTATTATTAAAAACAGAAATTAATAATATTACAATAAAAAAAATCTTAATAATCACAAAAATTATATGTATTTATAAATAAATATAAGATTGTAATAAATAAAAAAGTATAATTATCAATAATCAATACAAGTAATAAAAAATAATGGTGCTATAATAAATTATTAAAGCTGAAAATATATAAAAACATTATATATTTTAATCAATATATATTATGAAGTAACAATAAATAATAAAACAATTCCATAACTAATAACAACTAATATATATTATTATTAATGAAAAATAAGGATAATCATTAAAAAAGTATATACTTATATATATGGGGAAAAAAATACTTTATTATATTATATAAAACTTTAAAGTTTATATAAAAAAAGAGAGAAAACTTTCTTTGTATACTATTTAATAAATATGATAAAGTAATTTATTTCTTATTACAATATGTGCTATTAGCTTTAATAAAAACTCAATTATTTATAATAACAATAAAAATAATAATATATAACAGTAGTAAAAGTTTGCCTTCATATGAAAGGGAGCGTCAAAGCAAATAACTTTTTCAACATTTTCAAGGTCCATGCCACGTGCCATTGAATCAGAGCAAACCAATCTGTAAGCAGTTTTAAAAAAGTTCAACATTTTCTCATTAAATAAATATATAATAATTTATTACACATCAATCTGGTTACACTTAAAGGCTTCAAGCACGTGTTCCTTCGTTTTTTGAGGTAGAAGAGATGAATATTCAGCCACTGAAATGCCTCCAAAAAGTTTCAGTAATAAAAATAAGCTAAAATTAAAATGAAGTACGTTAAATATAATAATAATAAGTATATAAACAACAAAAATTATATATAGAAAATAATAATATATACAGTAATTTTTTCAGTTATAAAAAAATTAAATAAATAAACATAACGTTTATATAAATAGAATGATAACAACTTTGAGAAGCAAATATTTTATGTTAGAATATATATAATGATTAATTATATATAATAAACAAGTATTTATAAAATATATACAAATATATACAGTAAATATTATAAAAAACTATAAATTATACGTCGACGATAATAAATATAATAATAATATATATAAATAAAACAAAAAACTCCGATTCTGTGCTCTTAAAAAATAAAAATAATAAATATATATGTAATAAATAATAAACTTAAGGAGTGTAACAATTATTATATATATTAATACTAATAATAATGACTATAAATATATTAATATCGTATGAAACGCGTAAGAAAAATAATAAAACTAATAAAGTAAAAAAAATCGTAATAAAAGTTAAAAATGTATATAAAACTATAAAAGTATTTTTAATAGTTTTCTTTTATTTACGAAAGTTAAAAATATATTTATAAACAAAAAGTAAGAAAGTATACTATCTTTATTAATAAAAAATATACAAATATATATAGAGTAAAAAAAGTTATATATACTAATATTTTTATTAAAATATTATTACAAATAAAAGATAGAAATGTATTAAGAATAAAAAAAAGTTTAATAATTATATATTAATATATTATAACAAATAAAAATAGAAAAATAAAAAAAATTTAAGTTTTTATTTATATTTTTACATTTTCTTATAAAAATAATATATATAAAGTAAAAAATTTTATATTAATAAATTAAATTCTTTTTAAAAAAAAATTATTATAACAAAAAAAATAGAAAAATCTAAAAAAATAATATATTTATATTGTTTATTTTTATGAAATATATATTTATGTAATAAAAAAGTTTCATATTTATATTGAGTATAATAATTATAAAGTTATAAATATATATATAAGTTTTATTTTTATACTTAAAAAAAAAAATAAAACAAATAAAAGTTATAAATGTTATATAAAAAATTGAAATGTTTTATAAGTATACTAGAAATATTTGAAAATAAATAATATATAAATTATATGAATTTATTTTCAAATTTTATATTTTTATTAAATAAAAATCATAATAACAAAAAAAGTTATATATGTTTATATAAAGTGAAATAGTTTTATATCTTTATATAAATATTATAGTATATATGAAAGTAGTAAATAAAAAAAAATAATTATTTTTTTTAAATATATGATTAAAAATTATTTCTTAAAATAAAAAAAATATTTTTTTTAAAAAAATTATAATTATAAATATATAAGTTTTATATATAAATATAAAAGAAGTAAAAAAGTTTTATATATTTACTAATAAAAAAATTATAATAAAAGTTATTATAATGTTTACATATAAAAAGCGTGTGAAAGTATTAGAATAAGATAAGCTATAAAGGAAATTACATAAAAACTCCAAAATTTTCTCTATCTTTTAAAAAAAATAGCAGTACAATTAATAATTAGAAAATTTATTTATAAAAACAAAAAGTTTAAAACTTTTATATATACTTAATATATAAAAAGTGTAAAAGATATATATCATAATAATAAGTTACAAAAAACTTTCGGAGGTTTTAAAAAATTTATATATAAAAGGTGTATAAGTTTCAAATTTTAATAATTGAATACCATAACAACAAAAGATACATATATTTTTATATAAGCGTAAATTTTTCAAATTTTCATAAAACTTTATTATAACAATAAAAGTTATTAAAAAAATTTATATATATAAACTGTAAAAGCTTTATATCTTCAATTAAAAAAAATTATAATAATGAAAGTTATAAATATATATACTAAAAAAAGTGAGAAAGGTATTAAAAAAAGCACCGATGAGTGGATTCCACGCTGGAAGTAAAGCAAAGCACATTTTTAAAGTTCAACTTTTGGAGTAAATAGACTAAAACAAGCGGCTTTTCGAGCGTAGAGCAAACAATCTTGTATTCCTTATATAACGAAGTTTCTTTATTTTATTGTATTTATGAAGTAATAATAATAAATTTTTTAAACTTTCTTTTAAAAAGAAATAATAATAAATCTTCTTTAGTATTCCCATAAATATAGAAAGTAATAATAGTTATATAACAAGATTATTTAACTTCTTAGTTAATATACAGTAGTAGTATTAATTAGAATTTCTATTTTATTTTATATATAATAAAGTAGTAATAATAGTTTTTTTTTATTTTTGTTTAAATATATAAAAGTAGCAAAAAAAATAGTAATAAGGTTCCCTGACTTTTCTTTCGACATAATAATAATGATGAAAGGTTTCCTCTAACTTTTAAATATATAGCAGTGGTAATAATATAAAGTTCTTTAATATTTCTTTCATATAAAAAAGTAATAATGATAACTATTCCTTAAATATTTAAAAGTAATAATTATATAACAATTTCTCTAATTTTTATTATATCTAAAAAAAATAAAAAATAAAAAGTTTATTCATCCTTTTTTTTGGTATATAATAATAATAGAAGTATCTTATTAGAAAAAAATTATATACATATAGTTAATATGAAAAAAAATTAAAAAGTTTTTATTAAATTATTACTAAGAAATAGTAATAATATCTTTTAAAAAAATTACTAATAATTATTATAATTATAATAATAGTAACCTTAAAATTTTTTCTCGAGTAGTTAAATAATTATTATAAGCTAAAAAAGTATTATAAAAGTATTATGAAGAGATAGTTTAATAATTTTACTTATTATTATATAAATAATTTAACAATAAAAAAATTTATATAAAGTAATTTATTATAATAATGAAAAAAAGTATTTATAATATTAAAACTAAAACTAAAAAGTTCTTTAATATTTATTATTAATTAAGTAATATTAAAGTATTATGAAAAAATATTATGTAACTTTTACTAATTAATATATAAACAATTTCGAATGATAACCATTTTCATATATAGTTTTTCATTATTATAAAAAAAGTTTTAAATATAACAACTTTAACTGAAAAGTTAAAATTATTATAAAAGTATTATGTAAAAATATGTACGCAATTATTACTTATTATATAAATAATTTCGTAATAATAATAATAAAAATTTCACTATAAAGTTTGTTTATTGTTATAACGGAGGAAACTTTAAGAAGTCCTTTAATATTTCTTAAAAAAAAAAAGGAATTATAAGAGTATTATGAAACAAACATATAACTTTTACTTGCTATTATGTAAATCATTTTATAATAATAATAAAAGTTTATTTAATATCAAAATTTTACTAAAATGTTCCTTAATATTCATTATTATAATGATAATATAACAATATTAAGAAGTAATATATAAATTTTTTACTTATTAATATATTAATAATAAATTTACTATAAAGTTCTTTAGTATTATTATAACTTTATCAACTTTTTATTGATAATAATAATAATAAAAATATAATAAAATAACTTTTAACTTTTCTGGCGTCACAAACTTTTCGTAGGTAGCGGCGGTAATAAACTTGGGAAACTGCAATCGAAGTGCAGACAACTTTTGAGGATTTGGTGTAAGCGTGGCGGAAAAGACTAGTTTTTGTAACTACAAAGTTAATAATGTTATTATAAATAATTGAATAATTATTAATAATAGAAAATAACAAAAAATTGCAAACTGTAAACTTTTTAATATAATAATATATAGTTGTAGTAATAATAGTAAATAATAAAATAGAAAAGTAGTAATAATATTAAAATATTAAATAAATAAATTTTTTTTTGATATATAAAAAACTTTTCTTTCTTAAAATAATCAGTATTTTAAGTATAATTATAAAAATATTAAATAATTTTGAATATATAAAAAAACTTTCATTATTTATTACAATGATATAAAAAAAATAAATAACAATATTTTTATATATTTTCATTATTTTAAGTGTAACTTTCTAGGTTTCAATATTTAATAAATATTATAACTTAACTAAACTTTAGATTAAATAATAATTTTTTTTTCTTTAAGAACAATCGCTTATAAAAAATAAAGAAAAATAAGAAACAAATAATTATTATATAAATTCATAAACTAAATCTTCAAAAAATCGTTTTTTATTTTAAAAAAACTCACAATTTGTTATAATGAAACTAATTATATTTATTATTATTTTAAAATATTTAATTATAATATTGTTTTTATTGTTTTTTATTTTTTAATAACTAATTTTTACTAAATAAAAAATAAAATAGTCTTACTATTATTATAATTGAATTTATAAAAATATATTTTTTTTACTTTTTTTTTTTATTTTTATATAACAATTTATTTAAAAAAAAAATAGTTTTATTATTATTTTGTTAAGGTTTAGTTATTGGATTTATATAAAAGTATATTGTTTTTTACTTTTTTTCTTATATCCTAATAACAATTGATTCAAATAAAAAAAAATAGTTTTGAGATTGTAATTTTTTTGAAGTTTAGTTATTGAATTTTTATAAAAATATTTTGTTTTTTTATATTTATTTTTTTATAACAAACTTTTTTTAAAGGAAAAGTAAAATAATTTTATTATTACGTGATATATTAAAAAGAATATCAAATATCCATAATGAATCTGAATATGTATAAACCTTTATTTTTGACTTCGAAGAAAAGATTTTTTAAAGTATTAAAAGGGTAAATAAAAAATATTTTCGGATAACTTTATGTTTTAAGTGTAACAATAATTACTATTATAAATTTTATTTTTTATTTAAGATAAAACAATAATAAATATACATAATAAAAAATAATAATTAAATTCTGATATAAAAATTTTACTAAATAAAGAAAATTAGATTTATAAAAAGAAAGAAAAAAAATGAATTAAAAAAAATATTATTTTTAATTTCAGTACTTTAAATGTAACAAAAAAAAAATTTTTTTATTAGTTTTTATATTTTATATGAGACAATAATAAGATTATTATCAAAACAAATATTATTATTTAAAAACTTTTATTTTTATTAAGATATTTTTATTACTATTTTAAAATAAAAAATATTACATAAAGAAATAAAAAACTTATATAATAATTATAAAACTTCGGTAAATCCTTATCTTCTTTATTTATATTTTCTGTTTTTAAGCATAAAAAACAATAATTATATTTTATTATTTTTATATTCTCACTTAAATACAATATAAAATAGAGACTAAATGTAACTAGTAAATAATAATAATAATATTATTATTATTAAAAATTTTCTATTATTTTCTAATATTATTTTTATAATTATCAATATATTAAGTATAACAAGTAAAATAATAGTAAATTTATTATTTTTTAAGTTATCATAATTATTTGGTTTAAATATTATTAATATCAACTAATTTCACTTTTTTTTTTGATATTTCTATATTAAAAATTTTTTCAATTATTTTTTTATTCTTTTGCTTTATAATAATAATAATAATAAATAATACATAACGGAACTTATATATTATTGAATTATTTTTATATTTATGACTTCAAATAACATATAAAAATTAAAAAATTAACAAAATACAGAAATAAAAAGTTTAATACTATAATAATAATAAAATATCAAATATTATTATTTTTATGTTTATTATTCAAAATTTGGAGTTTAAAATTAATTATCAATATTATTTATTATTTTTTTAGTGTTTATAATAAATATAAAAATTACTGAATATAACAAAAATTAAATATTAAAAAAAATATGAATTTTTATTATTTATATTTATTTTTTTATTATCAGTATTTCAAGTATAAAGACTAAATCATAATTATTAATTGTTTTCCCATAAAATAAAAAATAAAGAAATTAAAAATGATATGAAAAATAATAATATATATGAAAACTTTTATTTATTATTAAAAATTATTATGATATTTTTATAGATGATAAAGATATAAGAAATTTACAAAATGAATTAAAAAAACAATACTATAATATAACTTCTAGAGATCCTTATTTTAATTATTTTTATAGTTGTTATTTGGAATATAAATTAATAAATTAAAATTATTTTATTTTTTTAACCTTTTAAATATAATAAATAAAAGTTACTATAGGAAGTAAAATATATTATATAATAATAACTCTTATTTATAATATTAATTTTTTACTATCATTAGTATTTCAAGTATAACAACTAAAATGATTATTATTATTAGCTTTTCAAGAAAATATAAAATAAATAAATTTGATAACGATATAATTTATTATTAAATATTATTATATTACCCTTATATATAAAATATATTATTAAATATATAACTATAATTAATCCTTATTTAATTATTTATATTCTCATTACTTTTATAACAATAAAAATATATTATATATATAAAATAATTATAAAAAAAACTTTTATTATTATTTCTTATTTCACTAAAAAAAATAAAAATACAGGCAATGTGGGGATCTGTATAAACGCTGGAGTCAGCACCACGGGCTCCTCTCTAAAAGGTTCACTAGATACATTAATAAAAAACAATAAAAATTTTACAAAATAATAATAGTATGTAATAAAAAATATATTAATGATTAAACATAATAATATTAACATGAAACAAAAATATTGAATTATTTTTTCATAGTAATATATAAATTAAATAATGGGAAATTTTATTTTACATAATAATATACGTAATAAATTTTAACAACAAATTTTATTTTGCATGATAGTAATTATAATATATGTAATAAATACGATGGTTCTTATTTCATAATAATTATAAATAAAATGGAAAAATCAAAATTTTATTACATAATAATAAGAATATGTAGTAAAGAAATTTTACTTTACACAATAAGATCTAATAAATATTAATGAAAAATTTTATTTTTACATAATAATAATAATGTTATAAAAATAATAATTTTTTTTTCATTAATATAATTACAATATGTCGTAAAGAAATGATTATTTTATTTAACAAAATAATTATAATATGTAATAAATATTAGTAATAACTTTTATTTTACATATGTCAACTTTTAAATTTTATATTTTCTAGTACAAACATTAATAATTATCTTAGTAGTTATATTTTAAAAAATATTGATCATAATAATATAAATTTATTTTATTATTAAAAAATAATGTTCCCTTTCGTTACTTTTATTATATTTAATATGTAAAATAAAAAGATAATAAAATAACACTAATAATATTTTTAATTACAATAATAAAAATAAAAATGATAAAACAATATATATAAGCTTTATTATTATTAAAAATTAAATTTATTATTATAAAATTTTTCATTAGCATTATATTATATGCAAAATAAAAATTCTCATTTTTTGATTTCATAATTTTATTTTGTTGACTTTTTTAATTTTGATTTGATTTATAAAAATAATATAATTATAATATGTAGTAAAGATATGAAAAATTTTATTTTATATATTAATAATATTTATATTTAATAAAAATAATTTTTTTTCATAACGATTACTGTAATATGTAATAATGAAATAGGAAATTTTATTTTATATAATAATGTAAATAATATTACTGAACAATTCTATTTTACATAATAATAATATTAATGTGTAATAAATATGACATCTTGTTTCACACCATAATATATAATAAATATTAATAATAGATCTTAATTTTTGATAAAGAAATGAGAGATATATTATTTAAAAAATAATATGTAATAAAAAAATTAAAACTAATCTTTTCTTATAATTATATAAAAAAGAATAATGATATGTATAATAAATATATAATCATCTAAAATAAAATAATATATATTAATACGAATATTCAATTAGAATATTTATATATGCATAATAAAATAATGAGTAAAATCTATTTCTTTTTATTGATAAGTTATAAAAAAATTATTAGGTTATAATAAATATTTTATGGTATTTTATTTTATTTATAATAAAAATAATGAGTAAAATATAATTATAATAATAAATAATAAAAGTTATTTATAAGTAAAATAATTAATAACTATAAAAATTTTATAGTTTACATAAAAATGCAGCATAAAATTTATTTTATATAATAATTTACAATAAAAATATATATATATAAATAAGTAAAATGTAGTTTACAATAATAATATATAATGAAAGAACCGTGAGAAAAAAATAATTTACATAACAGTAAAATATAATAAAAAAATATAAAGATAACAATTATAATATTCTTTTACAAGATAATAATATATAATAAAATATCATGAAAAAAAATATTTTACTTTATAATAATTAATAATAAAAAATATTTATAAGTGATATATAAATAATAAGAAAAATAATATGATACTAATATAAAATAATACCATCATGAGAAAAATATTTTCCTTTGTAATAATTTAAATATAATATTTTTCCAAAATAAATAAAAAAATAGAATTTATAATTTACTTAATATGTTGTAATGAAAAATAATATAATACATAATCATAAAAATTTAATATTTCACCCAATTATAATATTATATATTAAAGATTATAAATACATAATAAATAATGAGAAAATTATATTTCACATAATAATAAAATATAAAAAGTTATCATGAGAAAAAATATGATACATAATAATTAACAAAAAATATTTATTAATATTATATAAATAATAAAGAACAACAAATTTAATATGAAAACAATAAATATTAAAAGGACCATAAGAAAAAAAAAATTTATAGATATATAATAAAAAATTAGTAAATAATTATATTTTACATAATAAATATAATATAATAATAATATATTTACATCCACCAATAAAAATGTATATAAGTTACTCTGCAGAATATATACTTTTCAATGTCTTGGAAAGCCAATCATAATAACTCTCATAAAACAAACGATCAGCTTCATCGAGGACCTTTTTAATTAAAAAAGTAAAAAAAAAAAGTTTATATATATATATATATATTCGTATATAATTATCGTCCTTAAGCTTATAATAATGCTAAACGTTACTATAAAAAAGTTTTATTTTAATAATAATATTATTAAAACCATAAATAATATTCAACTAACCAAAAAACGCAAATATTGTAGAGTAAAACCACGTGTCGAGCCAAGATGGTCCAATAGACGCCCGGGAGTAGCCACAACAATATCAACTAAACTTTCATACGCGCCAGTAACTTTGCTAATAAAAAGATAAATAACAAATGATAATACTGCTTTGCTATATAAAAAAGTAAGAAAAATATAAATAATAAAGTAATCATAAGATATTATTAAATTATAGTTCAGAATATAAAATTTAATAATAATAACTGGTGCTTTACCGTAGTATATGTATAATATATACTCTACTTTTTATATACTATTATCAAAAGAAAATTATTTTTACTACGCAAATAATATGAAAATTCTAAGAATAACAATAATATGTAGCATTTGATATTATTGAAAATAATTCGTACAATACCGCTTTACTGTAAAAAAATAAATATAAGAATAGAAAATCATTAATATAAAGTAAATAAAAATTTTATTTTGCTCTACAAAATAAAACATTATTTATAAATTTGGAATTATAATAACTTTTGCTTTACTTTATCATGAAAAATTGTTATAACTATTATAAGGGGTATAAGAAAATACTTGAAATAAAAATAAAAGGAATAATAATAATTGTAATAGCGACTAATGATAATAACTTAAAAGAAACTAAAAGTTTTTGCTCCGCCTCAAAACTTGTTTGTCCTGTACAACTTGTAAACTTTAACGATGTTCCCTTCGCATACTTTTCTACAACTATTATTATTACTATTATTATTATATTATTGTTATTATTATTTTATAAAACCTTTATAAACTTGTTGCACTAAATCACGCGTAGGTAAAATAATAAGGCACCGCAACTTTCGCATTCTCTTCTGTAATAAATCTATTGTATAATAGAGATAAATATATATTTTATAATAAATATAAGTCATTTATATAATAATATTTATAATAAATATAAATCTAGAGCAACATAATAATCTACATAATAAATATGGTTTCTACTATATAAGTAAATAATAATTACAAATTACTAGTCTAGTAATAATATTAATATATGTAGTAGTAAATATAATTCTGTAAAATAGTAAAATAATTAGTAATAAATATGGTTCTATAATCTAATAATAATATATTTAATATCAATTAAAAGTCTATTATATAATTAAAATATATTTGAGGATATTAAACTTAAAAAAAAAAAAAAACTTCAAGTCATTCACAGAACATGTTAATGTTATAGATTTTACTATAAAAAATAATAATAAAGAAATTCTTTACTTAATAATATAAACTTTATAAAAAGTAAAAAAATTAAAAAAATGTGGATACTTCACAGTAAATAATAGTAATTATATACAAAAGTAAAAACAAAAACTTAATTATAATATAAAGTAAATGTTATATAATCCTAATAAATAAATATATATAACTTTTATAAAATAATAAAATAGATATGTATATATATATATAAAAATATTATAATAAAAAACTTTAAGGCAAATAATAATAGTAAATATTTTATTAACGTAAAAAATTAATAATAATTATAATAAATTTTTTTTTAATAATCGTAAAAAATAAATATAAAAAACTAAATAAAAAGTAAAAAAAAATTAATTAAAATATAAAAAAAAAATATTTAGAATAAAAAAATGTTCGTGTAAATCAAATAATAAATAAATTAATAATAGTAGAACTGAAACCTCAATAATAATTATTAAATAAAAAAATTAAAAACAGAGCAGTACAGTAATATCTATTAAAAATTTATAAATATTTTATATTTTGGTATATTTTTATAATATATTATTGTTTTTCTTAATCATAAAAAATGTTATATATAAATATTAATAAATAATAATAAAGTTAAATTAAATAATAATCGTTAAAAATAATATATTCGAAAAAAACTTATCAGTAGTAAAAAATAAATACTAAAAAATACAAAATTTAATAATAATAATAATGAATTTGTACAAAAGAAAAGTAAAAGTACAATAAATATAATATTATAACCAAAATATATAATAGAGTTAGTAAATTGTATAATATTAATTGATATTTATTATTATTCGTTATAAAAATTAATAAACTTCAATAATAATAATTAGTAGCAGTAAAATAGCGTTAAAAATAATAACTATTATAATAAAATAGAAACCCAAAATAATAAAAGTGTTAGTTAATATATGTAATATATATTAATATTAGATTTAATAATTACTCGTTATAAAATTAATCTTTTATAATAATAGTAAAAGTAATAATAACAATAGCGGTAAAAATAAAAATAAAATTAATATCTATTATAGATAAGTAACATTAAATATATAAATAATATTGGTACTACTACTACTAATAATAATAACGAACGATGCAAAATAGGAAGCACGTAAGCAAGAGTCTTTCCACTTCCAGTGGGTGCACAAACGCAAAGATCTCCTATAAATATGAATTTTTATCATTATCTAAGCGCTCTATATTAATTCAAAGCTAAACCTAGAAAGTATTAATTAATTTTATTAATTTATCAATTAATTTATTTTTCTTTTTTAGTTATGCACTGGTTTCCAAGGTATACTATTAGCTTTTAACATAGTTGCATTCCTCAAACAAAAATTATAAATATAAAAAAGAAAAAACGAAAATAATATAAAAAATTAAAACATCAATTATTCCTAGTACAAGCACTTTTTTTGGTAAAAGTAAAATTTTAGTTATTTTTTTTTAAGTGTATTTATCTGATAAACTTTATAATTTTGTAATAAAAAAGTCTAATAAAAGTCATAACAGACTCAAAAGTTTAATAACTAAAACCTTTTTAATTTATAAATGATATAATATTGGCAATAATAATTGTGATATTGGCGGTTTCTAAAAAAAAACCAGGATGAATGGAAGTGGTCAATTGCGAATTAAGAAGCATGGGAATCACGTGGCGTTGAACTATAAAAATATTAATAAATATTCATAATCCAGTAAAAATTAATATAATAATAATTGTGTTAATATCAATAAAATATTAATAAATAAATTTTTTTATAAAACTAAAAAATATCTACTATAATACAAATTATTACAGTCAATAAAAAGTATGAAAAGTAAAATATTTAAAAGAATCCTAATAAAGTCGTATTACTATAAGAAAACATAATATATAATAAAAATATTAAACGTATAAATAACGAGGGGAAAAAATAAATAAAAGGATAATATATAAAACTATTAAACTCATTAACTTTTTCTCTACTAATAAAGCTGTTAATAGTAAAAATATACGTGTTAAATATTCTATTAAAATATATCGAACTCTTAACAAGCCAATAAAGTAGTTTTTTTTTAAAAATATGTAAGTAAAAAAAACCCTTTCATTAAAAAATTTACTTCTTTTTTTTTAAGGAAGTGGCTAAAGCTACTTTTTTTTTCTTAAAATAACAAAAAGCCGAGAAATCCTATTTAAAGAAATTCGATTTTTTTTAAAAATTATATACTTTCCTAACAAAATTAATGTATAAATTCCAAAAAAATTTATTTTGTAGTATAGTTTCTATAATAAAAGTGGTTTAATCAATCATATCTTTTCCATCAAGTTTTTATTATATATTATTGGTAAAAAAAAGTATATTTAATAAAGTTTAAAAAAGTTATATAAGTTATAAATAATAATAAAAAGAGCGAAAAAACATGATTATAAACACTGATGGTTGGTTTGAACAAAAAATGTTAATAATCAACCAATCAGGAAAATATAAAGCCTAACGATGCTAATGCGTTATTTCTACTACTTTAGTGTCACAGTTAATTTTCTTAATATAATAATACCGGAGAAGCACATGATACAACTTAGACTAGTTTTAGTTTTTTTCTTCGTTTCCTTACTATATCATTCCCAGATCAACGCCACAACGTTTTTTATTGGATGATTTAAAAATCATTATGTACTTATTGGAGAATATATTTTTAATTCAATTAATAAATATATAACACATCACAAAACTATTTTTTAGATGTACAACGAAACGTTACTAAAAGGAAAAGCTATGCATTTTCCACGTGCTGATCTTCCAATAAATCATGTGCGTTAAATAACCCATGACTGCAGCGTGTTTAAAAATACTTAACCAGCCAATTATAGTAAACAGAAACTTAAAATATGTCAACTAAAACTTGACCTCTTTTCAATCTGCTGAATAATATATTTTCAGTCGCTAATGGCAGTGCTGAAAGCTTCTAACAGGCTTATTTAATAAAGGTGTAACTAATAATAGTTACGTTAAAGCAATTGATAGTCGCTGCAATTTAGAAGTTTAAAAAAAGATTACAAAACTTTAACAATTAAAATGTTTTACAGAAATTAAAAACTATAATAAGAAAACGAAATAAATTAGCAACTAACAAAGTTATAATAATTTCCAAATTTAAAAGAATATATATTAATTTTTTGAACCTAATTATTCATTAAATAATATATAAAATAGCAGTATTATTTTTGTAACCGTGTTATAATAATATATAACAATTAATTTACCTTTTAGTAGAAAACCAATTTATTAAAATATTCTTGTATAAATAAAAAAAGTATAAAAATTTTAAATAGAAAAAAAAGTTTATACCAGGGAAAAAGTAATTAATATTATTTTCCTGGAGATTACGAAGAATCAGATTTGATAAACCTATAAAAAAGATTATAAAATTTTTAAAAAAAATTTTATTCTAAAAGTGATAATAGTAGTAAATTATAACGCACAGCATATGTTCTATAATATAAAAACTCTATAAATTATGATAAATATATCAATCAACAATTTTCTTAGCAGATACTAGAATTAAGAAAATATAACCAGGATAATAAATAACCGAATAAATTGAAAAACTAAAACTTTATGTAATAAACATTATTGCATGCAGAAATAATTAAAAAAAATATAACCAAAATAACGAGTCCAAAAAGATTGAAAAGTTATACAAAAATTAATCAAAAAAATTAAATAGTTACTAAATTTTTAATTTTTAATTTTTAATATTTTGATAATAACTTAATAAAAAACCAAAAGAATTAAAATTAGAGGAGAAGTCTTCAAGTTTCGAGTCAATAACAATAGCATTCTTCATCCAATATGGTAAAGATAAATTCTTTTTACATAAATTATAAAATAATAACTCAATATTGTTCACTTAAAATTCAGACTTGTATAGTTATTAAATTGGTAAGTATTAACTAGCATAACTTTTACTCTAAAGTTATATGAGCTTCATTCTAAAGTCGAATATAAAAAAGAATATATCAAGTAACTCGAGGAATAAAACCAACTTTCTTATGTAATAAATTATTAGAGTTTCCTATATTACTGCTTCCTTCTTTGAAATCTGTCATTTTTTTCCATAATTTCTTTTCTTAATTTATTAAAAGAAGATTATATGTTTATGTTAAAACCTTTAATAATCTTCTATTTGATAGATAAACAAAAACGACAAGTATAATACTACGAAGCAGAAAAAAATATGCAATGTGCGAAATAAAAAATATTCAACGGATTTTTTATTGCACCAATAGGCTGCCTTGACTAAATATAATCGCTAAAATATTGGCTGCATACCACTTGTCCCACAACAAAGAGAAGAGTCTATCTTTTCTGCAAATTAAATATACTCTTATTATTTTTATAATTTTTATGTTAATAAAATGGGCGGGGGAGATTTGAATTTAAAAAAAAGTTGGCATCCAACACGTTTGGATAACCAGGAAAAACTTTATTTAAAGGAAAAATTGGCTGCTGAAGAAAAACAAAAAATTGCAGAGCTGCAAAAGGAACGAGAAAAGGTTTTTCTTAAAAATTAAATAACTTTATTGATTGTAAAAATAAGGTTTCATTATTTTTCCTAAAGATTATTATATGAAAACTTAATGCAACACTGTATACTCTAAACTTTTAGTTATAATTTAAAAGTAAACAGAAATTTACTTAGGTAGTATATCAAGATAGATGTTATGTATGTATAGTACTGTGAAATTTTTAAAATAATTAATTAAAGTCAGGAATTTTTGTTATTATAGGCGTTATTATATTAAATTTTAAGTAGTTTTAAAGCTGTTATTATAAATATATTGAATTTAGATTCTTAACAGAAAGTTTTTAAAAAATAATACTTATTGCAATATAGAATTTTATTGAATTTATAAAACGTCTAATAACTTTATTAATTGATAACTATAATTAATTAATTTTAACTTAATAATAAAACTATTTGACCATAATAAATTTTCAAAAGGAGGTAAAAATTGGGTTAAAAAAAAATTAAAATTTTCTGTTATATTTATATCAACTATATTTCTTCTAAATACTATAAATTAAGTTCACCCTCCTGATTTTCTTGCTGTTATGTTAATAATATTAATTATAAATATTTTTAAATATATATTACAATCTTGTTATGGTTTTGTTTTAAAAAACTTTTCATATAATTTTTTTTCAATACTTTGTTTTGAATTTAAAATATGTTATTATATCCGTTTTGGAAAATTTTAAATTTTGTTAAATAAAAATATTTATAATTTTTTTTAATTTATTCTTCTTATATAAATTCTGTTTTAAAGAACTTTTTATATTATATACTATAACTCCTAAATATTTTCGAACTAAATTTACAGTTTTGAGTCGATTTTGGTTTCGTGAAAGTTACTGAATTATTAATTTACAAATATATATATATAATTTCACATTCCAATATGTTGTTATATAAAAAAATTTTTTTCTTCGTTTATATTATTTCTTTTAAATAATTTTAATTAATTCAATTTTTATTTTTTTTATAAAAACTTTTTATATTGTACATTTAATCTCTTATAATTATTAATATGTAAGGAAAGAGAAAAGGAAGAACTTATGCGCACTGCAGTAGATGCTGGTCATCTTAAACAAGTAATTTTTTTTTGTTTTAAAGATAAATTTATAAAAGAAAGTTTTTTAGTTTAATAGACTTGACTGGATTTATCAAGGACCTAATAAAGATGTCAACGCAGAGTTGTACTTATTAGGAAAGCGACTAGACCGTTTGCCTGGTAAAACAAAAAATTTATATAATTATTTTTTATAATAGATTTACACATTAAAATTTTTATTTAGAATAAATTTAAGTTTATTGCAATTTATTACTAAAATTTTAGGGATTTTTAAGTATTTGTAATTTATAAAGAAATAAAATTGTCTTAAAAAAATTAATTTTTTTAGTTTTTATATAATTGAATTTTATGAAAATTAAAAAAAATTGTTTTCAAAGTTTAATAATGTTATTATGAGAAATTCAAAGTATTTACATAAAAATAAAAATGAATCAAAAATAATTTTTTTAGATTTTTCATATTATTTTTAAAAAGTATAATTAAACTGATTTTGAATTTTATTAATATTACTTTAAGAAATTTAGAGTATTAATAATAAAAAAATAAAATAAAGTAATACTGCCTAAAAAAATAATTTTTTAATTTTCTCTCGTTTGTATATAAAAAATTTTAAAAAATTAGAAAAATCTACATAATTGAAATTTATTATCATTATTTAAACAAATTTAAAGTTTTATATATTTAAAAATATAATGAATAACAAATAAAATTATTTTTAAAAAATTAAATTTTTTTCGATTTTTTTATAAATTATTAAAAAAATTTAAAGTATCAAAAATTTATAAATAAAATGGAAGTAAATAAATTGCTTAAAAATAACTTTTTATAAGTTTTTATATAAAAATTTTAAATTATTAAAAATTAAGACGATAGAAATTTAAAGTTTTATAAATTTTAAAATATAATGGAAAACACATAAGCAAATAAAATTGTTTATAAAAATAATTAATAGTTTCGGATTTTTTTTATAAATTTCTAAGAAATTCAAAGTACTTATAATTTATAAAGAAATATATGGAAATGCTTAAAAAAAATAAAATGTTTAATCTCTTTACATTATTTGTGTACAGAAATTTATTAAATTAAAAAATTGAGGCAACTGAAATGTATTATTATTATTATTTTAACAAATTTAAAGTTTTAAAAATAAAAAATAAAATGGAAAAAAAAATAAAATAGTAAATAGAATTAATTAATTTTTTGGTATAATTTTTTCAAATTTATAATGCAAAATTTAAAAAATAATTAAAAACAATTTATAATTTGAATTTATTTTCACTTTTTTTATTCTAAATTTACAATAATATGAAAAAATTAATTTTTTCTCTATAAATTTATAATCTAGATTTACAAAAATGTATAAAAATGTTTAATTATCTTAAATATCTTTAACTTATATTTACCTTTTTAACAAATTTAGAGTTTTCTTAATTTTTTTAAAACGAAAAGTCAATAAATTCTTTAAAAAAAAATTGTTTTATTAGATTTTTTATAATTTTTTAGATAATCAATTATCTTAAATTAATTTTTACTTTTTTTTTAACAATAAACTTAAAAATGAAATGAAAATCAAATTAATAGTATAAGTTATTAAAAATTGATAAAATCATTAATTATCTAAACTATTTTTTATTCAAAGTATTATTAATTATAAACTGAAATAAATATTAAAAGCAATTTATTTTTGTTGAATAAAATCTAAAAACAGAAATTAATAAATTTATAAAGAAAAATAAAGCGTTTGCTTTATGTTATTATTTTTTTAACAAATTATAATGAACCATATATAGTAATGTAATGAATAAATTATTATTTAATAACAAAATAAACAAAAATAATTTATAAATATAAAATAAGAAAAATTAAAATAAAACTCTAAAATGCTAAAGATCAAAATAATAATTATAACTGAAAATATTAAATAAAAATAATAAATTAATAATATTTATACATTAGAAAAAAAAATTTTTAAGATAATGAAAATTTTTTATTTGACAAATTAAAGTATTATCAATTGAACAAAATATTAAAAATATTGCATTTGACATTTTTGAAAAAAAACATTTTTTTTTCATTTCTAATAAATTTTTAAATTTGTAATTCTAAAATTTTAAAAAAATTTAGACATTTTGCAATTTATTATCAAAATCAATAAATTCAATTAAAAAAATTTGATTTTATAATAAATTAGAAATTATTAGAAATAATTAAGACAATTGCAATATATATATTATTTAAACATTATTTTAAAGTATCAAAAATAAACCATAAAATCAATATAATTATTAATGTTTAAAAATTATAAATCCTTTGATTTTGATTTTTATAATAAATTTATAAATTTAAAATTTTATAAACTAATAAAAAAAGTCAAGAGAAATTCATTAATTTTTTTTAACAATTTTTTAAGTAATAAAAGTTTAATAATAAAATGAAGCAATAATAAAACCGACTTAAATAATTTTTTTATCTTAATCATAATAATAATTATATAAATTTTTATATTTGCCAATTATAATAAAAGCGATTTATTTTTTTTATTATTTTTAAATTTTTTAAAATTGTATTAAATACAAATAAAATAAAAAAACAAATAACAAATTAAATTTTTTTTTAATTAATAATTAATTTATTAATTGCAAATTATTAAATTTACAAAGATATTAAAAAAAAATCAAAAATATAAAACTAATTGAGACTATCGCAATTTGTTATTTTTTTAAAAGTAATAAAAAGTTATTTATTAAATGAAGAACAAATAAGAAAAACATTGGGTATTTGGATTTTTATTTAATAATAAATTTATTGTTTTATAATTTACTTATAGCAATAAAAATTATGAAGCCATTCTTTTATTATAAAAACCTGAAGATTATTTTTTAAAAAAATTAACATTTGCAAAATATAAAAATACTTTAGACAGTTAAATTTTTTTTTATTTTTTATTAAGTAAATAAAAAATTATTATTTAAACTAAAAACAAATAAAATTGACTTTAAACAATAATTTTCGGTTATTATTAAAAAATAGAGTTATGTTAAATTTATTTATAATAATCAAAAATAATTAGACAGTTCTTTTGTTATAAAAAACTTGAAGGTTTCAAGAAATTCAAACATTTTCAATAGATAAAAATAATTAAGACAATTGCAACTTATAATTTATTTTTATAGTAATTAAAAGTTATTAATTAATTAAAAACAAATAGAATTGACCAAAAAAAATTCGATTTTTTGTAATACCATTATTATTATTTTAATACTTTTTTAATATTTTTTTTTAAAATTAAGGAAATTGCTTTTGTGGTTATTAACTTAGATTTACAAAAATTCAACATTTTTGCAAATTATATAAATACTTACGACAATTGCAATTTATAAGTTTGTTTGAAGCAATAATAAAATTATAAAACTGACTTTAAAAAAAATTTTTTTTTGATTTATACTATATAAAAAATTTATTGTCTTAACTTTTTTTTTTTCTTCAAAATTGCAACTTTTTGTTATTTTTAAAATTTTTCATGAAATTGAATTTTTTTTTAACTTTTACTAAATAATTAATTATTAGAAATTCTATTGATTTTGTTATTAAAAAAAGCTTTTAAAAAAAATTTTCTAATTAGAATTTTTTTTTAATTTATATAAATTTTACTTCAGTTTAATAATAGTCATAATAAAAAGTTGATATTATTAATATTATTAAATTATGTTCGCTACATTAACTGTTATTATTATTAAATAACTTAACACGTTTTTCTTAATATTTTCATACCATTATTTTTTTAGCCTCTAAAAGTTATAAAAACTCTTCATTATTATAAATACATTAAGTATTAAAAATCATAAATATAGTAATTACTATTTAAAAAGATTATATTTTGCTTAGAAGAAAAGTTTATTTCTATAACAATAATTATAGTAATATATAATTTTTTAAATATATTGATATTTTATTTTGCTTTTGAAATTGGAATAACTTTTTATTTTAATCAAAAAATATATTAGTAATTGATATTATAAAAAATTTTTTATAAATACAATTTATTATGCTAATAACAAATATTTACTCTAATAAGAGTTATTATGTATATTTATAATTTTATTAAGATATCATATTAAATTTTATGGCTTAATAAATTAAAATAAATTTGTTATAATAAATTTGTATGTAATTAAATAATAATTTTCTTTTAAATAATATTAATTATGCTTAAAAAATATTTATTTATTGATAATTATAATCTTCTTAATATATTTATATTATCTTTCTGACTTTAAGCATTAATTTTATAATTCTTTTTTTTGAATAATATTAATTATGATTGTAGAAAATATTTAATTAAAAATAATATAAGATATATTTATATTATTATTACGCGTATACTATTATTCGTAACGACATCATTTTTATATAAAAAGTTTATTTGTTGCACTATATATATGATTATTATGTACCAAATGTATACACTTTTAGCATTTATATAAATATTTGTTAAAAGTAACTATTTTAATGTATTATATAATAAAACACATAAGAAAGGATACTGTTTATATATTATATATATATAAAAAAAGAAACTTATTTTTTTATATACTAATAAATTAACTTTTATAAAAAGACTTTTAACTCATTATAATAACCAGAAGTTTTTACTTAGAAAACGTTGAAATTTATATTATGTTTTGATATATTATAACAAATATTATATCTTCTTTAATATTAAAAATATAATTTATTTAAGCAAACTATCTTATTTAACTTTTATATATAATTTATAAACTTTTACAGGCGATAAATCTACAAATGAGCCACTTATAAACAGCGAGCTTCCCGGTATTTCCCATATAAACTTTTCAAAACTCTTGATTACCCCTTTTTTTTAACAGATTTTTAATAATATGAAAATAATACTTATAATATATAAACTTTTTTTATTACTGCTAATTTTTTTTTAATTTATTATAAATTATCTTTTAATAAAAAATAATTATAATAGATTTTTATTAATAAGAAACTAATTTTTATTATGTCCAATTTTTTTTTAACTACTTTTTAATTTTTTATTTTTTACAAATTACTCTTTTGTAGTTGATATATTATAAGAGAATATTTATAATATACAAATTTTTATAATAACAGCGTTATTAACAATTTAATTATAAATATTTATTAGTGAGGAAAAAATATTTCTAAGAACAAACTTTTATGAAAGAATGTTTGAAAGTTTATTATATTGAATAAATAAATTTTATATTTTTTTATATAATGATATTTTTTTGTTAGATAAAACTATATAATATTTAAATATATCAAAAAAATATATTTTAACTTTTATTATTTGTCTTTTGCACTTTTTATTATTATTATTAATATATTATAAAATTAAAATAAAAAAAATTAAAAAAATAAAAAAAATAGTTATCAGTTAATTAAGAGCGTCCAAATAACTGAATGCTTACAATTATTATCATTTTTTTTATTTATTATTATTTTGAATGTTGAGAATTTTTTATTTTATTATGAATATATATTTATAAGATTTTGTTACTGAAAGTTTTTATACATAATAATAAACAAATTGTTATAAGTATTTTTTCGAGTGTTACTAAACCCCACAGCTTCCTTTGGAAATTTTTTTATGAAAGTAGTTAATAAATTTTAATATATTTATTTTTTGACTCGAAAATATTTAATAATTAATACAGCTTTAATGACATTTTGAAAATTCTGTTAATAAAAAATATCTAAAAATATTAAGTAATAATAACTTTAATGAGACCATATAATTTTGTATTATAAACTTTTTTATAAACAACGAAAGGAACATAATGAGTGTATTAAAAAATTATAATAATTGAAGTATGATTGGTTTAAATAATTGGTCCACGTGGCTGTGCTGGAGCGAATGTTAATAGTGTATTAATAGCACATAAATCGCTGAATTATTATTATGTTTAACACTATTATTATCACAATATTTATTATTAATATTATTAATTAATTAAAATAATTGAAATTTATTATTAATTTTGTTATTATTTCTATTTTTATTATTATTATTATTATTATTATTATTATTATTATTATTATTATTATTATTATTATTATTATTATTATTATTATTATTATTATTATTATTATTATTATTATTATACTATTATTATCATTATCATTAAATTATTATACTTATTACTTCTACTATTTTTTTTAAATGTTACCATTATTAATCAATTACATTATTATTTTTCTTGTGTTTATCATTATTATTTTTATTCTATTATTATTTTCTTAGTAATATTATACTGTTTATTATTCCTTTTCTTACCTTTACTAGTATTATTACTATTTTTCATTTAGTTTATTATTATTAATTAATACTATTACTATTATTATTATTAACTATTATTATATTATTACTATTATACTTTATATTTTGTTTATCATTAAAATAAATACTTATACCATTTATTAATGATACTAATATTATATTTCTTAAGTTTATTATTTCATATAAAATTTTTTACTATTATTATTTGTATTATAATAAAACTATTATATATGTACTATTATTCTAGTAAAATTATTACTATTTTTTTATTTTTTTATTATATAAATATTACTATTATTATATGTCCTATATTAATTGTTTTCTAAAAATAATTATTAAATTTCTCTTTTCTTATTATTATTTCAATATATCTTCACTATCATTATTATGTAACTAATACTATTATATTTATTTTTATTTTTTATAAATTTTATTATATATTAACTATCATATTTATAAATATTACTTTTAATTATGTTTACCTTTATTTTTTATCAATACCTTATTATTATTACTGTGCTTATTATATTTTATTATTATCCTTATTTTTTTACTGTTTATATTTTTTATAGCTACTAATATTATTATATATGTATTATCTCTTTAATAACTATTATTAATACTTTATCTCAATATCATTTTTGATGAATACTATTATTTTAATATAATTATTAGTTATATAAATTTTATTATAATATTTATTTTGTTTTTTTTATTAATATTAATTTATAAGGTTTCCTTATTATTTTTTATCGTATATAAATTATTACTATTTTTATCTCTCTTATGTTTATTCTTATTTTTTATAAATTATTTATTATTGCATATACTTTTATAATATTTATTATTATTTTTCATATAATATTTTTCTTAGTACTCTATATTTTTTATGAGGTTCTACTTTTCTCCTTCCATGAATAATTTTTATTATATATATTATCATTTTATATCAATATTTTTCGTTCTTTTCTTATTTTCTTTTAATATTCTTTTTTATATATATTTTTAGGCTCTACTTTTTCTCCAGCAACCAACACTATTGATTTGGCTTCTAAAATAAGAGACGATCCTTTATTTCTTATAAAACAGCGTAAGAAAATTGCTTTAAAAGAAATTTTGAAGAACCCAATAAAGTGAGGATTTACAGAATTATTATTTTGGGTTTTTTTTGTATTTTTTTATATTAATTATTATTATTTCTAAAACTTTTTGCTTATTAAATTTTATTTTTGTATTTACTATTAATTGTAATATTATTTGCATGTTATTTATTTTTCTTTATTTATTATTAGTATTAGTTTATATTTTATTTTATATTTTATTATTATTATTTCTTTATATTATTTATATTTTTTATTATATTTATATTATAATCATTTTTTTTAAATTTTTGTATTTTTTATTATTATTTTATTATTTGCATATTATTATTATTTGTTTATATTATTTTTATATTTTATTATATATATGACTTTTTCTTAGATTATTTATATATTATTTCTTGTTATTATGATTTGTTTATATTATTTTACGTATCTTCCTAAACTTTTTATAATTTTTTGATATGATATCATTATCACCATGTTTATATTATTTATCTTTTTTTATTATTTCCCTCATATTTATATTCTATTATTACACTTCGTTTATATTATTTTTAGTATTTGTTTATTCATATTATTATTTGTTATCTTTTTATATTATTTTCATATGATTATAATTATTTTGTTAATCTTATTGGTTTTATTCTCATATTAAAATTTTTTTATTAATATTTTTGGTTTATATTATTATTTATATTTTATAATGGTTTTGTCTATATTATTTTTATTATTATTATTTTCGTTTATATCCATATTATTTATATATTATTTTTATTGTTTTATTTATATTTTATTATATATTGTTTGTATTATATTATTTATTATTATTTTGTGTGTTTTATTTATTTTTACTATTATTTTTTGTTTATATATATTTAGTATTTTTTTTATATATCATTATTTTTGTTAAATAACTATTTTTATATTATTACTATAATTTGTTAACGTTACTTTATATATAATGTTTTTATTGGTTTATACAATATCTATATTATTTTATTTGTTAGTTTTATTTATTTATTACCATTTTTTTTTATTTATAATATTAATATTTTTTGTTCAGTTTTTATATTTTAATATTTTTGTTAAATAATTATTTCTTTCATACTATCTTTTTATTATTACTGTATTTTGTTAATGTTTTTTTTATTTATTATTATTTTAATATTTTATTTTGCTATAATATACATTTTTTATATTATTTATATTCATTAATATTTTTATTAATATATATTTATTTTTATATATTTTATTATTTTTTGTTAACTAATTTTATATATTTTTTATATTCATATTGTTACTAAATTTTTTTATATTTATATTACTATTATTTTTGGGTTTATATTTATTTTAGTATTATTTTCATATTTTATTATTATTATAAATATTAATATTTAATTTCTTATTTTAATACTTCTATTGATTTTTCAATATATTCTTCATTCATTTATATAATATTTATTATTATTAATATTAATATTATTATTATTATTATTATTATTATTATTATTATTATTATCACTATCATTATTATTATTATTATCACTATCATTATTATTATTGTTTTGTTTTTACTATTTCCATCTTTTAATAGTATTTTTCGTGTTTATTATTTTTTATTATATTATGTTTTGTTTGTATTACTTTATATGTTACTATTATCTTTTATAATATTTTATATATATTATTATATATTTTATTTTTATTATAATATTTTAAATTTGTTATAAATTTACTCTACTAAATTTGTTTTCTACTTGTGTATATGCTTATTTTATTAATAATTATTTATTTATTACTATTATTATTATTTTAGTATATTTATTTCCATTATATTTTTTTTTATCATCTAACTTTTTTATGTAATGCTATAGTAATACTAATAATTATTACATTTTTAAAATAGACTCGCTCAGCTAAAACGCTCATTGGGTCTTGAAGACACTAAAAAAAAGGACCTTAAATCAAAAAAATCTCGAAAAATAAAGTCAGCAGTGAAGAACGAGAAAACCCACGTGACTCCCGAGGATTTGACACCACCCCACAGGTGGATCTTATTTTAACTACTAATCTATGATTGGTTAAGAGTATTTGATTTTTTATATTAGCCTATTAAGTGATTGGCTGGCTATTAAATTTTTTTAACGTAATTGGATAAATTATATTTTTTAAAAATACTTATTTACCTCACACGTTATATAAAAATAAAAGTTAAATAAACTTTAATTAACATTTAAAAAAAAAATTTATATATGAACACTAAAACTTTTTGTTATCGTAAACTTAATATTTGTTATTATAAAATCCCAAAGGAAAAGTCCTGATACTTTGTAATAAGATTATTATTCTGTATTATATTACTATTTTATATTAATAATATTTACTTTTTCTATATATTATATAAAATCTATATTTTTAACTATAAAACTTTAAAAGAAAAGTTTATTTTTTTTATGTTATATTATTATTTTATATTTATAATGTAGTAAAATCTATATTTTTATTATAAAACTTTTAAAAGAAAAGGTTTTATACAATAAAAAAATTATTCCTATTATATTATATAATAATTTTATAATTATAATATTTACTTTTTTATATTTTAGACAAAGTTTTTGTTTATATAATAAAACTTTAAAAGAAAAGTTTTAATAAAAAATATTATTTTTATTTTATTTTAATAACATATTAAAATTTTTATGAGTATTATAAAAATTAAAGAGAAAAGTTTTAATACTTTAAAAAAAATTATTTCTACTATATTATATTGTTTTAATGAATATTAATATTTTACATATAATTATAAAATTTTAATAGAAAAGTAGTAAAAAGTTTTTTTATAGTATTATACTATTCAATGAAAGACAACCCAACTTTATTATTTTTTTATATATATATTTTACTTTTTATAATATTTTATATTTAATATTATAAATGGATTTTATATTTGATTTGTATAAAAACTATTAAAAAAAAATTTTTAATTTTTCTTGTATATTTTTATAGGTTTTTTAATAAATTCACTAGTTTACATTATTTTAATATTTATTATGAAATATAAAAATTTTTTATTCATTATTTAGAAAGAAAAATATTTTTAACATTATTTTTACTTTTAATAATAATTTTTTTTCTTATTGTTATAAAAAAAAAATTTATATTTTTATTGCTTTTCCTTTTTAATTTAGAATATTAACACTTTACTTATTACTATCAGCTCCTCTAACAAATCAGCAACTCGTTATTCAAAACTGCCCTTTGGTTTATTTTTATTATTATAAAAAATATATTTGAGTCATTATTATTTGTATTGTTATTTTCATTATTATTATTGAAGGTTTAACTCTTAGAGGACAGGATTTTAATGAGAAAGAAGAAGCAACAAAACCTATTATAATTAAGGAAAAGGAAAAGAAATTTATTAGAAGAGGTACTACTAAATCACTGACGCTGATAATAATAATTTTATTAATTATAATTGTAACTATATAATAGAAATATCAATAATAAATAATTATTTTTATAAAATTATTATGATGATACTATAATTATTAATAGCATTTTTTATTGCTACTGAAAATATTAATATATAGAAGACCAAAAGTAATAATATTTTATACTGATATATAATAAAAGTTTAAAAAAGTATATTAGATAGTAATAATTTCTTATTGGCACTTTGACTGTTACTATAATTAATAATTATTATTTTTAACTTCTTTTATACGATTTAAGTGTAATATTACTAATAATTAGATTAAAAAAGTAATACTGATTATATTTTTATTACATATGATAAATGTTGTAATAAGAAGATTATCATAATTAATAAAAATAATATGAGGGCCATACATACCCCCAAAGTTATCTGCTGAAGAAAAGGAAAAAGAATACGAATCATTAAAAAGAAATGCAGAGTGGGCCAGTGAGCAACGAGAAAAGAGAATAAAAGAACTCGAAAGAAAAGAATTAAAAGAAATTTTACGCGAAACTTCAGGTTTTTTAGAAAAAAGTTATACATAAGTTATTTTTTTTTAGAAAAAAAATGGTGTTCTGAGTAAAACAATTTTACGTCGAATGTTGTCTAGTGCGTCAGTGGAAAGTTCTACACCACCAAAAAATTGTTAAATTTCGGTTTTAATAAAACTTGTTTATTAAGAAAATTTTATAATGATTGAGACTTTTATATTTATATACAAAAAGTTATATTAATAGTTTGAAAGTTTTTAAAACCATTAAAATTTAATGGATATGTTTCTTATGCATTATAGGAGGGTTTTTAGCCACTAACTAATTGTTTAATTTTTTAAAATAATCTTTATATCAAATTTTATAATAAATTTTTAATAAAAAGTTAATAAAAAGTTAATAAAAAGTTAATAATAATTATTATAAATTACATTTTTATAATAAAAAGGTTTAATTTTTTTTTATATAAATTATATTATTTTAATAGTAAAAATTTTACAAGTATTACTATTACATTAAGTTTTTAGTATTTTTAGATTAAAAATTTAATTATTGTTTTTATTATTATTATTATAAATTTTACTATTTTTATAGTAAAATTTTTTTTGTCTACTCTTACCGTATTGTTCGCAGATATTTCGAAAGCGAAATTTTTAAAACAAGTTAAACGTGAAGCGGCTTTTGAGATTAGCTTAAAAGAACGAATCAGTCGCAATAAATATTCTAATCAGCGAATCAGAAATAATAGTGAAAGCAACTTTATAAAAAGGTGAATAGTTATAAAAATATTATTTTTAATAAAAGTTGGGAAGTTTCTTTTTATTTTAATAAGTTTATTTTATTATAATATAGAATTCAACTTTAGAAAAACTATAAAAAAGTTATCAAGAAGTTATAATAATAATATTAAAAGGAACTTTAAAAAAAAGTAAACTTTATAATATAGAATATAATATTATAATAAAGTTTCTAATAAAAAGAAAAAGTATTTAAAAGTATATAATAATTATAAAAGGGGCTTTCAAAGAAAGTAAACTTTTAATATAAATCTAATTATAAAAAATTACTTAAAATGTTACTTATTAAAGTTTATATATAAAATAATACTACTAATGAAAAGTTATCAATAAATAATATATAGGCAAATGGTACTTATTAAAGTTTAAATATAAAATATTATTACTAACATGTTAATAAAAGTTATTAATAAATAATTTATATAAAACTTTTATAAATTATTTTTATACAAGCGAAATGTTAAGATTTATGTTTTTTATTTTAAAGTTACTATGAAATTATTAACTTATATAAAGTTTATATATTTGCTTAACAAAAGTTTATTATATTTTATAATGAATTTTTAAAAGTTGATATTTTTCTAATCATATTTATATAATCTCATTTCAATTATTAATAACTTTTTACATACAAAACTGCATATTTTTTAAAAATCTGAAAACTATTTTTTGGTAACAGCTTTAAAATTGTATCCTTTTAGGATTTTATTTGACCTTTTATTTTAACTTTCATTGACCTTCAAGCTTGCGTAAGGATAACATGTATTTCTCCCCCAATCTATGTTCAGGATGAACAGCACATATCCAATTACCTTTCAGCGTTAAAAATTAAGTTTAGTTTTCGAGCTACTTCCCAGGGCTGCTCATATGAAATCTTAGAGCGCCATTCCGTTTATATATTACAGTGTTATGCCAACTTTAGAAATCTTTATATTAGTTGAAAGAATTAATAAGTAACTTTTCGTAGGAAAAAAAAGAGTCGTTAAAGGATATAAGAGACGTCACTTTTTAGAAAAGTGAAATATATTAGTGAAGCCAAAATACTTGTGATTTATACCAATAAAAAATAAAAAATTTTAGAAAAAAATTCTTTAATAAGTTTTACTTAAAGTTACTGTGCGCATGAAATTAGAAAAAAACTTTTAACAGCTGATAATTGATCGCCTCCTCCCCACCTCCCTTTCAACCAAGTTATCTTCGACCAGTTTAGAAATTCTTATCTATGTAAAGCATGCGCGTCTAAGCAAAAAACTGCTGTTAAGACTAATAACCTTACGAGTCAAAGTAATTTTGATGAACAGTAAGGAAGCCAATGTGCGTAAAAGTAAGAGCTGTAAGGAATGAGGTGAATCGGTTAAAATAAAAATAACGCAGTACCCGTTTAAAGCGAAAATTCACCTATTGAAGCGCAAAACAATATAATTGAAATATTGAATCTAAAAACCTATCACTTACCTACTCGTTAGTTAATAAGCGCTTTAGCTTTAACCAAAAAACAATAAAAAATAACGTATATACATAACGAAGAGAGGTAAGTTTGGTAGAAAAGAGTTTAACAATACTAAATACTATAATTTTAAACCGTAAAGTAGTGTGCGTATTTTGTTAAGAAGCTAATTATTAAACGTGCAATACCCAAATTGTATTATTTTTAAACATATTTATATATTGCGCAATTGTAGAGTATGCTTTAAAATATTGGCTTGCACATCGGATATACATAAAAAAAACTATTAAGTAAAAAAAAATTCTTTAAAGTTTCTAGCGAAAATAAGTTTTCTGCGCAAGATTTATTGCTTTTGCTTTTACTATTAATTTTAAAAAATCAAGTAAAAAATATGAGTTTAACGGGTCCATGGTCCTGCAGGGACGGGCGCCCTATAATTTAATATTCAACAGAACTAAAAAAGGTATACCACGCCAAAAATATCGTAAAAAAGAAAATGCTTAACGCTTATTTCAAGCATGGAGAGTTTAATAATAAAATTAATAAATGTATGCATAGCCGAAGAACTAGTAAAAGTGAATAAAGTTTAAAAAAACCGAATATATAAAAAAAGAAAACTATCAAGTTTGTAGAGTCGTCCAAGTAGGTCGCTTGCGTAAAATATTTGAAATACCTTTTTTAAATCCTACTTATAACAAATTATTAAGTTTTATAAATACTGCAGCTTGTAAAAGGCTCTTCTTTTATCATATATCCTTGTTAGAAACTACTCTTGAAAATAACAAATTTTTAAGCACTGAATAGTGTAAAAGAAAGTTACAAATTTTTTTTAAATTTTTATTACTATGTTTTGCTTTTCATGAGTATCTTTCTACTTTCGCAATCGTTGCAGCATAGAATGCTAATAAGTTATGATTAACGCCAGCATCTAAATAGTTAATTTGCAGTGTTTGCTAATTACTAGTCATCTGCCAATAATATGGTTAGCCTTTTCCACTTCCACAAAGTATGTTAGCTGGCAACAGCCAATAAAAGCGCTTTGTCTGACCTTTTTTGTCAATGCAGCTTAAAAAAACGGTCGGGATGATCACGGTGGCTTGCATAACGGTAATAGAAATTACTAATTATAAGCGGGCAAAAAGGAAAAGCGTGAAACTATCTACCCTCCAGTCAACAATTTCTTGTATTCATTATCAATATGATCGATATATTTTTAATTTTAACTCGAAAGATATTTTATTTTTATATATTTAACAAAAACAAATAAAGTTTCAAGGCTTTCTTATTATATTAGTTTTTAAAAATTATTAATATAATAAAAAGAAGTTCGCGTTGTCTTGTTTTATGCTGAAGGTTTCAATTTTTTTTCAATATTTTCACACCAAGCCAATAAAGAAGAAGTAAAGTCATCCTCTTCAGTTGTATTTCTATGGAGAACTCCGTTGCTCTAATAATTTTACTATTTATTACTTCCTTTATTACACTAATAACCATGGTAATATAATTATACTTCCATTTTTATTATTTATTTATATTTAAAAATATGTATCATTTCAGGTATTTTAGTTATTATCAATTTATTACATAATAATAAAAACCTCGTCTACGAGAGCATTAAGGTCTTTATTTAGTATCATTAGAATAATTATTGAAAAGCAGTGTTTTACAGAAATATTGAGCTCTAAAAAAAAAAATATTACTAAAAAATAAATATTAATTATAAAAAATAAACTTTTAGCGATGAATTCGATTTTTATAGTTTTGTATGGTAAAACAAGTTTTTTTATTACTTGCATTTGTGTAGTTTCTTGCAGTTCTAATATTAATAATAATAATAATAGCAATAATAATATTAATAATAATAATAATAAACCATTTATATAATTCTTTACAAGTTCGTCTTTATAAAAATATTCCTCATTTTCATGAAAAACTTTATTGAACTGGAAAAGATTCAAGCTGTTGAAGGCTTCAAAGAGATCATAGAAAGGTCTCACTTCTACGCATATATCCAATAGTATGCGTAAAATTAAGAAAAATAAGTTATTATTGGTTGCTTTGTTTTTTTTATTATTTTTAAATAATAAAGTTTTTCTATATAAAACTAAAGTACAAAAGTTTACATAAAAAAGAACTTTTTATTATAATAACTTCTCTAAAATGACTCCTTTAAAAACTTTTTAAAGTAACTTTCACTCATCCTTATCCTTATTATATTAGTGAAATAACATAATAATTATAATAAAAAAAATATTATTATTACTATTACCTGAATCACTTTTATAAATTTGAGTTTCTTCAGAAGTAAAAGGATTAATACTCGTTTCTTCTACTCGCTTCTTCTATTGTAGTGGTGCACAACAGTAATTATTGACATCATTTATTATTATTATTATTATTATTATTATTATTATTATTATTATTATTATTATTATTATTATTATTATTATTATTATTATTATTATTATTATTATTATTATTATTTATTATTATTATTATTATTTATTTATTTATTATCGGGAGATGAATGAAAAATACGAACATCGAGCATGACAGCCAGCACATAATAAATTAAGCAAGACTTTCTTCTATAATCTGCTGATTGGTCAAAGGCTTGAAAGGCCTAGAATTATAGTAATAATAATAATAGTAACAATAATAATAATAATAAACCTTATAAAAGTAAGCTTTTGCATCCTGATAGCGAGAATCTTTCATAGCCAGTCGGCCGCCTTACATTTTTATATAAAGAGGAATTCAACTTATTATTATTTAATTTAATCATTATTATCATTATTGAAAAGTTTATAAAATAGTGTACCACATTCATAAATAACGCCAATTACTGAAGGGGAAGGAATAGCCGAGTCAATTTTTTCGCATCTTTATTATATTTTTTGGTTTTATTATTATTATTATTACTTTTATAATTATTATTATTTAAAATATTAATTTGTAATTATGCCAAACTTTTCAAAAAGTTTCCTTAAGAAGCTCAACTCATTTTTTTGCGTGTGCATTTGTATTTTCAGCGCAAAAAGCTGCTTTAAGCGAGTTCCCTTCCTTGCAATGTCCTCTTTTCCATCCTTTTCATAATAGTATCAGCATAAGAATAGTAATAAAAATAATAAGCAATATAAAAACTTTTAATTTATATTAATTTTAAAATTATCTATTAATATATACCAAGTAAAAGCTATTAACGCCCTTATAATTATTTTAGAGCCCAGAAATATAATTTAAATTTACTAACAAAAATAATAACCAATTAAAATTATTATAACAAAAATGCGCTTTTGATTGGTTTAAATTTTATAATAATATCTTAAGTTTATTGGTGTAAGTTTTATTGGTATGGCTGACGCCCCAAACTTGTTTCTAACTGGACTTTATTATGATGCTTTTATCTTATAGGTGGCCTTTGAAAATCATAACGTAGTAAATATCGCTAATACTTGTAGCATAGTGAACAATTATTTTATAGCAAGTTTATTATTTTTTTTAAACTTTACAAAACTTTTTATCAGTTTTTTTTATTAAAATAATATTTTTATATATTATTACTTAACTATTATATAAATTTTACTATTTTTTATTTTTATTCATAAAACTATTTTTTATACTTTTATTTATATATATTTTAAACGTTATAAGTTATTATTAATATTAATTTTTCTAATTACTAGTATTTTTAGTAATATTTCCGTTATATATAAATTTTTGCTACGCTAAACTTTAATATTCTTTTTTAGAAATCTTTAATATTTTTGTAAAAAAATTCATTCCTACTTATTAAGTTTTTTTTTCCACTTAATATTTATTATATATACTAAACGTTTTATAAGGAAATTTAAATAATTAAAATATTTTGAAAAAAATTAAACTTATAAAGGAAGCTAAAACTTTTTAAAATATTTAACAAAATGTTCGATGCATAAAAATAAATTTATATAAAACTATTAATTATTAGTTATTATTTAATTAGGTATTTTTTAATATTTAATACTAAACTTTCAAAAAAATTAATCTTTAGAAATATGATTTAGAGATTTCGAGAAGAAAAATAAATTAAAGATGAAAAAAAAACTTTTAAAAATAATTTATTTAAAAAAATATTTAGTATTCATTATTATTTTTCATTAATAATATAAATTTTTCTAAAAATTTAAATCTTTATAAGTTTAATTTAGACTTCGAGAAGAAAAAATAATTTTATTTATAAAACTCTATTATTATTATATTTAAAAGTATTTGGCGTTCATTATTATATATTCATTAATTAAGTAATACAAAACTTTTTTTAAAAATAAAATATTCTTAATTTTAGTTTAGGGACTTCGAGAAGAAAAAGAAATTTATATATATATAACTTTTATAATTATTATTATGAAGTATTTATCATGAATCATTATATATTTGGTATTTTAATATTATATAACAAAAACTTTTTAAAAAATAGTTCTTTATAATTTAATTTAGAGATTTCATTAAGAAAAATAAATTTATATATCTAACTTTTCTAATTTTTAATATATTAAAAAAAATTATTCATCATTTATTATTATATATTCATAAATTATTTTACAAAACTCTTTAATAATAATTGATATCTTCATATTTTTAATTTAGAGGAGACAAGGGAAAAATAAATTTACATAAAAACTTTCTTTATTATTTATATATTTATAATTTATATAATATAAAAAACTTTTAAAATTAAATTTAAGGAAATTCCATCTAAAGATTTTTGATTGCAAAAAAATATTGAAAATATTCATGAAATCCAAATACTATATTTACCGTTTCTATTATAAATAAAATATTATAACGCATATTACCTACAAAAATGCGCCAATCGTTACAATTGAATATTACCAACTATTATCCAAATAAACTGAAGAACTAAAATAAAATAACAATCTTTTTTTTTATTTTCCCTCCAGAGCAAACTTTATAATGATTTTTGTATACACAAAAAAATAAAATATAAAAATATTTTCCAATATTAATTCTTAATGATTTTTTTTTAAAATAATTTATTTTTCGTAATTTTATGTTCAATATATTATTTTTATATTTAGCGATATTTATGTTTTTATTATTTATTACATTTTGTTTATTTTAATAATGTTTATTATCATACAAAGTTTGCTTTTATTTTATTTTATATTTGCTTATTTTATAAGATTGTGTTTATTATATTTCTTGACATAAAGTAAGCTCTCTGTATGTAATAATTTTAAACTTTTTACTCTTTTCTAATAATATTTATAATTTTTTTTTAATTTTCAAATTTATAATAACTTCTGCTTGCATTATTACTAAACTAATCTTTTTTTCCACTTTAGCAAATTATGAAAATTATTTATTATATATATATAAAAATTTATAAAACTTTTTAAAATATAAAAATAATTAATGTATACCATAAAAAAACAGCAACTAAATAGTAATTTATAAACAATATAGAATTACAATTAAAAAAGATAATTACCTTTTCAAAAAGTAAAATAACAGTAGACTGTTATATTTAAAAGTAAAATAAATAAAAGAAGCTAAATAATTGTTGAGATTCTTATAAAAAATAGAAATCTGAGAGAAATTAAAAAGAATTGCTAACGATCGCACAGCGCTTTTAAAAAGTATAAAAAATTTCAGTAGAATTGTTAAGTTTTTAGATGTTATAAATTTATAACAAAAATATTATAATGAAATTTTTAAATAGTAAAAATAGACTAAGTCAAGTATTGCTTATAACCAGTAATATAAATAATATTGAAAGTAATCGCACACTAATTTTTAGAAATTAAAAAAGTTTGAGCAAATCAGTTAAGTTTTAGATTACATAATAATTTTATAACAAAAAAATAAATAAGCTTTTTAATAGTAAAAATATACTGGAGCTACGTATTCCCTGTAAACAGTATTAGGATTATAGTGTTAACTATAGCACTACATATTTAAAAGTATAGTAATTTTCAAACAAACTTTTGAAGTAAAAAAAAAAATTTTGGGATAAATTTATAACAAAAAAATAAATTTCAAATGATTTAAGGATTAAATACTGGAGTTAAGCAATGTTTATAAATTGCATCTAAAACTTTTTCAAGTTTTTCATAGTGTTCTAATTTTAAATAATGCTCTGCTGCTGCAAAAGACAACTTTGCCCTAAAAAATAAATTAAACTTCATTAAAAATTAAAAGTCATTAAAAAGCGTTTAATAAAAATCTATAATATACTTGAACATAATAAAAGTGATATTCACGACAAAAAGAATTACTTTCATATGAAATTTTGATAAATAAAAAATATAAAATTAAAAGTAAATCAAAGATTATATACAAAAGAAGTAACCAAACATTCTGGTTTTGCGATGAATCAACTAAATTGTAAGAGGCTTCAATAAATTCAATATACTTTGTACTACTTTTAGCTATTATTAATTAGATTGTGAGTGCTGCTAGAAATTAATAATAAAATCCCGTATAATTTCCAAAATTATAAGAAGAGTGTAATCTAAAGAAAGGTATCAAAATTTAAAAACCGCGGCAAGAAATTTGCAGACAAAAAATTAATAATTTTTAATAAAGTTAGTTTATAAATAAGAGTTATAGCTTTTCTTTTGTAAAGAAAATATTTTAAACTAATCAACGCAAATAATTATAAATAAAAAAATATTTTTTTAATAAAAATTAAAAATGTTAAAAAAGCGTTTATATATATGAAAATATATATTAATTATTTAAACGCGAATTTAAACTAAAAAAAAGTTAGTATGAGTAATAAATAAAATCTAAATAATAAAGAAATACAAGTGCTATGGTATCGTTTAACTAATAAATGAAAAAGATTATTACAAAATCTGGGATTATAAAGAATAAAAAATTATAAAATACGTATAAAGATTTTTCTAATCAACAATATGACGTTGTTTATATTAAAAATATAATAAAATTCAAAAACAAGTTCAAGTTAAACAATTTGTATATAAGAAAGTATTATTATAAATTTTCAGTTATAAATTATAAATATTAATTTTTAGAAGTGAAATAAAACTTGCCCAAATCAGTAAACTTTTGAATCGTTGAATCGATATGAGCAAAAGAAATTCCGCGCGTTGGTTTACTGACGCACTCCAACAGTTGTTTAAACTTTTATTAAAGTATTTATGTAAAAAGCTAAAGTTATTATGGAATTTATTTGTTTTATTAAAAAAAATTTAAATTTTGCACGACAAACAAAAAAAAATACTAATTACTTAAAATATATTAAAAAAAATTGGTACATAATTAAATGCTTCTTCATCTCGAGACAACTTAAATGAAAGCTTGACAAGTTGTTTAAGAATTTTAAAGTAATACTCATCTGTTGATCATAATAAAAACAGTACTGATAAAGTAAATCTTTGTAATACTAGCACCCTTTACTAGATGATTAGAATTTGTTTCTAATAATAAATCTTGGAATTTACCAAAGGCAACATGGGCTGGTAAGTAAAAAAATTAATAATTAGAAAGATAAGGAGAAAAATAAAAGAACATCCATAAATTTTTAAATCCTTGGCTTCATAATATTGTTCTTCAAGAGGGTTTCTCACTAACAAATTAATTAATTTGTCAAACTAAATTTAATATTTTCTTATTTTTAATTAAAAATAATATATTTATTAGCTTATTAAATATATTTTAGAATAAAACCAATATTTTAATTTCAAGAGTAAGAACCTTCCTCCTCAGAACCCGAGCAGGAAAAACTGTCTGTCAGGACAGAAAATTCTTCACTAGACATAATAGTCTTAAATAAACGCCGTCGTTTCGATTAAAATACTAAATATATTAGGAAGTAAACTGATGGGATTAAAGTATAATTCAATATAAGCATGTAGAAGTTTAATGTAGCGAAAGACCTCTTTACTTTCAAATGACGCTATTAGTTGTAAAGAAAACCTCTTAACTACTCGAAATGTTGCAAAAAAAAATAAATTTACGCGTTATTACGTTTTTTAAGATGAAGCTTACCGTCTTCCTTGAAATAAATTTTTTTTTTTAAATACAGGAACTTCATAAAAAGTAAATTTATTTTATCCAACGTTTACTAAGTGTTTACTTGTTTGTTGTTTGTTCATTCAATATTCTCAATTTTATTTTTTTAATAAAGGCTTTCGTCATTTTCTTAATATTTTCCATTAAAGTTAATATCAATGCACGACACGAGATATCTTATATCTGTAAATAAGCAAGTTATGTAAATGAGAGAAATTGGAAAAAATTTAATCAACTAATCTACTTAGAAGCAAGGGAACATTTACAACGTTTCACCTGTAACTTTACAGTCTTGTAGATATGTATTATCTTTTTTGTTATTATCCTTCTATTTAAAATTATATTTAGATAAAAAAAAAAATAGAACTTTTTATTATAATTTAGGTTGAGGTACGTTGGAGGTATAGTCACTTTAGAGTTATACCAATACGTATTATTTTGCAGTGTCTTTCTTTTCATTACATGTATTCTTTCGTTTTATATGGAATTGTAATATTATAACAAAATTATTGTTACTTAACGTTAAAACAAATGAAAAAGCAATTTTGCTTAGACATCTAATTTAGTTAGTTTAATTCTTACGAACAATGTAAATTTTGTATAACCAATATTGCGCCTTATTAATACAAAGTGTAAAACATAAAAGAACTATGTGTTGTTACATTGCCACAAGCAAAATATTAAACATGTTGTCTTATATTTTTAAATTTTATAGACTAGGTTTAATTATTACGTTAATATTATAAACTTTACAGTACACGTTTTAAATTTTTTGACAACATATCATTTTGCTCGTATCTTGATATATTTATAAATAAATCAAGGTATTCTAGACAAATTGTGTTAAAGAAGTCTCGTACACGAATGCATTACCATAAATTCGTTAAGTTGACTCAGTTTGAATTATGTTCCATCAAATCTTTTAAAGGGGCTTTAAAATAAACATAGCAACATTTAAAAAGCAAGGGCACCGTCCCCCTGATGTCGAAAAAGCGTTTGACTGAGTTTTACACAAAGGCTTGCTTTACAAGCTATGCACCGTAGCCCTTTTTACTATGCTTTTTGTCGTGATCAAACCTTACCTTGAGAGCCGCGTCTTTGATATATGCGCTCACCCATAAAACCACTGACAACCGGAGACCACAAGGATCTCTTTTAGCACCCTTGCTCTTTGCAATTTATCTACGCAACGTGCCACAGCCTAACGAACCCCACACCTCGATTGCGTTACATGCTTATGACATGGCAATTTATTCCTCTTCAAAATCACCTACCCTCTTGCGCCAACGTCTGCAATACTACCTAGCGACGCTTGCCAACTGGTATCGTCGTTGGAAAATTACTATTATTAAGGAGAAGAACAAAGTCCCTCTTATCACAAAAAAGCGCACTAAATTACCGCCGCTGACCTTTAAAAAAAAGGTAATTCCTTGCTGTCCTCAGGCTTAGTACTTGGGGGTCATTATTGACAATAAGCTCTCGTAGCAGCCGCACGTAAACTATATCGCGGTGAAGGTCAAGGCGGCGGTTTAACCTTTTCACCCTTTACTTTGTGCTCGAAGCAACCTCTCGCTGCACAACAAAGGACGCTTATATTTTTGTTGTGCATCCGACTGATCATGACCACTCGTCTACTGCCTGGGCCTACAACTCATTGGCAAATAGTCTCTTCTCTTCAAGTGAGACAAAACTAGCAGTTACACCTTACGACGGGGGCGCCGTAGTTTGTTCGCCACAGTGCCTTACATAAAGAACTCCAGATTGAACCTTTGGGTAAGATTTTTCGACGCAATGCTATCGCCCACCTACGATTGGCTCATTCAGCACACCAGTCGATAACTGACAAAGGAGGTCAACTACGAAATCTGAGCCTGCGCACGCCATCACCAACCGCGCAGTGGTCTCTAAATATATGAGTTAGGGGTAGAATTATTTTAATACATATATACATATGAGATTGCTTTTACGCAAGCTTAAGCTAATGTGTACAATATCACCCTATTGAGAGTGGGGGCAGATCCGATGTTTTCTATTACGACCCGATCGAGCACCCAGGAAACATTACAAATAAAAAAAATAAAAAAAAATTTAAAGGCAATCAAAAAAAGATAACAATTCACTGCGGGTTATAGCTAATTATGTTGGCATATTATTCTGCGTAGATGTTTCACTTCACACAAGCTGTAAAAGCAAGAGAAACGATCTCCCAATAAAATTAAAATGTAAAAAGCAGTATTATACGGCAAAAGAGCAGGTTACTTTTATAAAGAATTAATAGTAGTAGCTATATTCAATATATATATATGAACAAGTAAACTAAAAAAAGGGTTTATTTTTAATGTATATAGTTCTTTAAATAAATTATTATACTTTGCAGAATAAAAAGTCAAGTGTACATCAGCAAGTACATTAACCTTAGTAATTTGGTTTTGTACTTAATGCCTGCATTACTCTTATTGTACATTAAACTTACCGTGTCAAGAGTGTTTCTAATCTAGTAAGTCATTAAGCGCTTTTTGGTATACAACGAATTAAAAATTCCATCATCTAACCCTTCCTATTATAACAGTTCTAAAAATCTAAATTTAAAGCAGAATCTCTTCAAGTTAAGACCGATAAATAATCCTACAGTTCTTCGCAATCTTTAAAATACAAGAGAAGTACTAAAAATCCAATTTTTAAAAATGCATGGGTTGATAAGCAGTAAGGTTAAAATTGCAAATAGTATTAAAAAAATTCAATTTTGCGCTCTATACAAAAGTTTTTCCTCACAAGTAGTTAAGTAAGTTAAAAAGATAAATTATAGCTTCACCTCGTTTATTACTGTCTGGCATTTCCTTTCGGCTATCCTATTACGCAAAAACTGTGAGGAAAATATTAGTTAACCTCTACTAGTAAAACCAACAAGTTTAAGGAACAGATTTCCCTTGTAATATTGCAAAACAAAGTTTATTCTCTACTCCTTTTTTAAATTTAAAATTATTTGTAAAGCATCACACTTTAGTATCACTTTTATAGTGGAATACAATTGCAAAACAAAACAACCAGAATATACACCAAGCAAAAAGAGTATTTGATCGCAGCATAAAAATTGAACTTTATAACTTTTAACAATCCGTGCGCAATAGTGCAGTAGATATATCTTTACTGTTTTACAATCACAGACAGTATCCACATTGTGTACGGAAAATTTTGAGAAATTTAAAAAAAGTAATCGGGTTCATATTTTTATAGCTTTAAAAGGATTTAACTTTTTTTCTACGTGGAGTTCATAATTTTATGCTTCAGAGACTTTAGTTCCCTAAATACTTAAATTTGTTAGCTTTTCTCTGTTCAGTTCTAATTTTTTGATGTTTTTATCGTAAAATAAAGTTTTACAAATTTTTTATAAATAACTCTCCATTCTCTTTTAAAACACCATTCCCTCCGTGATCGGTATAATGAGTTTCAGATGTAAAAAGTAGTTAAAAAATATTAAAAAACCTATTAATATAGCTATAAAAAAGATATTATACTATATTCAACAAACCATTCAAGAGCTCTGCAGACTCACTAAATAATTAGAAACACGCTCCTAAGCAGCATCTTAAAAAAGATTTCGCCCCTAATTAATACAATAAAACTCTACACCAATTATCAATAGTCATTAAAGTAAAGGACGGCGTGTAGAAGTGATACAAATTATATAAACATGATGCCCTTATTTATCACGATACACTAATATGTAAAGAAAAAGGAATATTTCTAAAAGATGAAATGTAGCCCAACTGGGTGGTAAGCACGTTTTTTGTCCCCTTATGCATTCCTCTCTTTCTACTTGGTTTTCAAGTTTACGTGCCTCATGTCATAATTTTGATAGTACGACAAACGATGGCCACGCCAAAATACCTGTTGCAATCCTTCTCCTTTAAAAAATCCTGATATGAAATGTATTACTACTATGAAAAATATATGTGATGATTCCTAATATAAAAAGTATTTGTAGTTTGTTAATCCGAGTAAGCTTTAGTGGTATATTTCCTTTGCATGGCAAAGTATTTTTCGTTAAACTACATTATGCTCCAGTCTCACGAGAACCCGCTCAACGTAGAGTTAATTTTAAAAAATATGTAAACTGCTAAGGTAATCTAGTATACGATATAAACTTATAATTAAAGCATTAACAATATTAGTATTGAACTAATTCTATATCCTTCACATATAGCGTCAACTTTTTAAAGAATGTGCGAGGCCATGTCAAACACACAGAAGCAGACCTGAAGAACTTCTTCTGGGCAAACGCCATACAGTGAAAAACTTAAAAAAGGATTATTGAGATTTTACTCCTTACTACCAGGGCGCATTCTATAATAACGGCAATAGGCAAAGTCATATCAAAAAATTTAATATTCTTATGTATGTTTTGTTAAACTTTTAAGTAAAGGGAGTCTGCTGTTATCTACTGTATCACACTCAATTTAAAAGGGTACATACGCTTAACAAAAAGCTAATATATGTTATATTTGTAGCACATTAGCATGAATAGTATGTACAAGTTAATAGTATGCCTCTGTTACTACCAATTGAGAATTCGAGTACAAGTCTTTTCTTTCTTTTCCACCTTAAATTTAGTTTTTACTTAGTTTTATTCAAAGTAACTCTGTAATAATTGGTACATTTCTACACAAAATAAAGCTAATGTAGTCTAAAGGTTAATAACATATATTTTCTCTATATTAAAAATGCGTTATACATACCTATATAATTAGTAAAATGGTTATATAATAGGAAAAGGTTATGATGTTCTAAAGAAGTAATAATGAAAAAAGTTAAACACTGCGATGTATTATTATCAATTATTAAACCGTCTATTCTTAAATTAGAATCTTTACTAGATTCACAATGCTTATATTCTTTTAAACATTGCTGGAAACGCTTTTACTAGGTGATAAACTTGATAAATAACTAGGGGGCCTAGTTTATGAAATACATATAACCTAGTAATTTCAGCAGTTTAAAAGGTAGACGGTGGTATGTATTTGGTTAATTAACCTTGACACTAGAGCACCCGAGTTATCTATTGAAGTTAGGTTTTTAAGCTTTAAGAATACCCCTTCAGGACACCCGTAGCTCTCCCTATTTTGTAAATCGGACTATGATTTCAAAATTCCCACTGGTGTTTACCTTTATTTTTGTTACCTATGTTAAGGCATAAGAAATAAGTAGCAATTAGTGTGGCCATAAATGAGTTTCCAAAAAGTCAGCAAATGATTTCCAATTTAAAAGGGAGTCCGTATTCTTACTTGGGCAATGTCGTTTTTAGCTTAAGTAAAGATTATTTGTAAGTCTAGATAGGTTAACAGTTTGGCTTAGCGAAATAAAGATTGCATTATTATACTATTAATCTGCTAAATTAATTAGAGTCAGCTCTAAATTAAAGTTAACCGTTAGTATATATTGTGGTATACTAACACACAAATGTGCAATTTTTTCTTTTTTCTTGAATTTGCATTCCGCTTTTTAACGGTAAAAATTTATCAATATGTGCTGAAAAGGAATGGGTCTTATGGCATGCTATAAGAATCCTGGCTCTACCATGTGGCATGTCGCCGTTAGGTTTTCCAAACTCCAAAAAAGCGAATTTTGTCCGAGCTGGAGTACTTATATATAATAAGTATAATTTATTAATTTTTCGTCAAACTCAAAAGCTAAAAAGTCGTAAATTAAAATAAATATCGCCTTATTAACGCTTACAAAGATTTTACTCCGAGCTACATTTCATAAAATTTTATTTAAGAATAAAGGCTTATCTTTTAGTGAGTTTTTAGAAAAAAGCTAATTTTACTTTATTCATGCTTTATTACTTTAATTAGGTAGTGATACTTTAAAAAAGTAGGAGCATTTTAAATTTAAACTAAATTTAATACCATATTAAAGTAAAGACTTTGTCTTTCTAACTTCGATATCGTATGTAAACCATGCTGTATTTATAACTGTTTACGTCATCACAAACAAATATGGTGGGCTAAATAACATATTAAAAAAGAGCGAAGGCCTCATTATTATTACGTTTATATTTCCTTATTTTAACTTTTTTTTTTAAATTTAAGTTGCTAACTATATTTTGATAATTGGGGTTATAATAAAATTTTATAAATTTTTAGCTCGGAATGCGAGATAAAATAAGTCAAAGTGGGATACTTCGATACAACGGGCATTTATACGCAGTCGAATATAAAGTCTCCCAGAAAGCAAGCCCTATACGCCCTAAATTAACTTATAAATGATTAGATGTTTCCTCAGTTTAACCATTTAAAGTTTACGAAGGCATAACCAGGCTTGTTTTGAACGAAGGAAAGCTCATACAAGTATTACCAACCCAGTTCATTAACGACCGTGTTTTAAGAAACTTAACTTTCAAAGCTTCCCAGTAAACGAAATATATTAGCAAAAAGTTTCGTTTTTTTTTTTGCAAGACTGTCTTAAGGGATGGCAGTTGAAGACTTAAATTAATCAGATACTCTTTAACTATTTTTCAATAGTAAAGTTATTTTATATTAAGTGTCACTGATCATGGACCTGGGATACAAAAAAAAAAAATTATTTAAGTTAGGAAAATAATATTCGATAATTAAAAAATAAAAAAGAAGTAGTAAATCAATCTAGTTGAATACATTCTCCTCCCTTGCAAACTCAACTTTAATTAATACTTGAACATTCAAATTTGAGTTTGATTTTAAAAGAATACAATAGCATACCTACTTCTACGCACTATTTTTTATAGTTGGAAAATTTAGATTAAGTCGGGGTATTACAAAAACGAACGCATTCGAAGATATTAAGCAACCTTTTATTATAAATTTATCATAAGTTGATAAGTACTTCACCAACCTTTCCTCCTTAGTTTAATAAACTGCAAAAATAAATTTTTAATTCAGAGATCCAAACTTAAGTAAACTGGCATAAGGTTCTCAAAAAGATTTATGAAAAGAAAATAATTATTTATATTAAAAACTTATTAACCAAATTCAGCGCTAAATAAGTTTTTTAATGTTCAAATATCGTTACTATTCCAAAAGTTAACCATTTCTAAGTGCAAAGAACAAGAAACCAAAGCTCCAAAGAAAGTGCAAAGGTATTGCTCTAGCGGGCGACCAAAACCAGCTAAAACTTTTCTACACATGTTCCAAGTTCCCACTTTTTTTCTAGTCCTTAATTTACTATAAATATCATGGGTTTTGCGGGTGTGCTCTTCACTTACCTGGTGCGGTCAGTTCGTGATCAACGAGGCGTACTGGCTATACGGTGGCGTGCCATTGCACTGGGGCGTGCGCTGTGTATCATCCCCTAAAGGGGGACTGGAGCACATAATTTATGTTAGTTGGGCGCTTCGCGTTCGCGCGGGCGCCCGCTAAATAAAATTTAATTTATTAGTAAGCAAGTTTCAGGTAGCGGGTTAGCGGCTATGCCTCTCTTACCCTCTCACAGGGCTCCGCCATCTGGTGGGGGGGGACAGCGAGTGGGGAAAACGGGATGGGGTGGCCGTTGGGATTGTTATTATCTTTTTATAGTGCACTGGAGCGCTTTGACCCTTGGGCCTGTGAAAGGTGTGGGGCCGTCTTCTCCTCGTCCCTCGGTGCGTGTTTGGCTTGTTGTGCCATTCGCCTACTCTTGTGAGGTTACCCAGGAGGGAGACTGCTCTGAACTGAACGCGGGGGAAGGGGAGGGGGAAGGGGATGGATGGTAAGTATGAGTGGTTGCGTCCCAGGTAGTGGTGTCACATAGAGTTGCTTAACGTGCAAAGTGGTTTGTCTAACCCAACGTGTAGGCGTATAAACGATTAACACGAACAAAAAGCTTTTAGTGTATAATAATAATGATTTATTTTTATAGTATATATAGGGCAGTGCAGCTACTCGATATTAAACTAAGAGTTTTTATATTACGTAAGTAGCAGAGCGGTTTTGTCAATTTATTTTCGAGGGTAAAAAGTTGAATATTTTTAAGCTTGGCTTGTGTTGATATCTATTTTTTATCGGCGCCTTATTTTGCATGTTTCTGCTCTGTAATAAATAATAATTATGTCGAGCTTGGAATTCAACAACGTGCGTACTCAACTAAAAACAAAACCCTTATAAATGGTGACCATCAGAATTCTAACTAAAATTTTTTTCTAAACGTGTCAGATTACTTAAAAGTGGTTCTTATCCCTCTTGGGACAAAAGGGAAGGAAAAAAGAAAGCATTGTAGAGAGTAACAGTACGTGAATAGGATTAGAAACATATATCTTTCCAATTTATTATTTTAAAAATTTCCTGAAATCTGAATTAGAGAGGCGCTCGCCTTCTTTATTTACATTAACTTCCGCTTCTCTTTTATTAATATCTTTAGGGACAGTTGAGTGGGAATCAAGATGAACTCTGCTCCGTCCAACAGTTCTCGGAACGAGCGCGCTGGAACTAAGCGGTATTCTAAAGACAAAATAAATATGACTCGTAACGGTTTGGTTAAAAAAGGACCGAAATTTAAAGTACGAGTGCTTAGGATCTGAGACGGCGACTTGTATTGTTTGGCCTTCCACCTCCGTTTGGTTAAGCAGAAGACTCTTTATGGCATCTTCCTAAGAATTAACCATATTTATATAATAATAATAATAATAATAATAATACTATTGCATATAGTTACTTCTCTTTCAAACTCGAGATACAAATATCCTTTGAATTCGCCGGACTTATGCTTAACCATTCTAACTTCGCGAATTGCCCCACACTTATATAAAAATATAAAATTCAATAAAGTAAAAGTTTTACTAATAAATCATAAACATTACTAAAGGAAGTATGTAAATAATAGATATTAGATATTAATACTTTGCTAAAAAGTTTTCGGATGCATTCTTCGGTTAGAGAAGTAGGAAGATTCTAAAAAACAAAGCAGATCTTTAATTTTATATTATATATTGAAAAAATTATATGACCTTCACAAATATAACTCTTTTGTTTACTTCATTTGTAAACTTTGGGCGGCTTTGCTGCTGTTGTGTAATGGATTTTATTACAACCCAAAAAGAAATTCACTCGTCTTTGATTAATATTACAACCCTTTTTTCTTTCTCCACGCACTTCGACACGAAGATGGGCCGCCGATTAACAAGAGTGCGATCGAGCTCTAACGCTTTTTTTACTGAAGACTAAAATTATAAATATAATAAAAACAGCATTATAAAAAATCCAGATAAAAAATTTGCCTCATTCAAAAATTGGATGTAACCGTAACCCTTTAACTTTCCGTTAACTTTCACCAAGCGGACTTCCATGACAGCGCCGCACTGGTTTTCAATAACAAATATTAATCGTCCTACAAATCTGCTTACTAACAAGTCCGAAACTTTCTCAAACAAATCTTTTAGTTGCTCCTCGTTCGTGTTGTACTGTAAATTGCTCACAAAAACAGACCGGTAGTAATTGTTACTAAGTATCATTATAATTCCTTAAAGCTCATGATTAATATAATTTTTAAAAAAAGAATTATACACGTGCTCATTGAGCTTATCGCTCTTGAGAGGATCCTCAGCCGCCTGCCTTTCCCTTTTCAATCCCGACAAGTCCTCTTCGACAGAAACGTGCTCCGCTTGCCGCTTCTAAAAACTAATAACAATTTTTATATGTAACTTTTTTTTAAGGCAAACAAGATTGGTTGCGCTGGAAATAGGCTCCTCCATGGACGGCTGACATAAGGATCATTCATTAATTAATTTAATACGCAGCTGTCAAGATTTCGGAGTTACCACGTGAATCTGCTTAAGGGCGGACAGCTTATACACGTGCAAGTAGCCATCTAAAGAAGAGTTTTCACGCTCCCACTGGGCCCAATGTGCGTAGGCCGCCTCGCCGTATTTCCTGGCCATTCTGCGAAACAGATTTCGTATTTTCTCCGCGCTATTTCCGCAGTATCTAGCAGCAGAGTAATAACGATTACTGTTGTAAAAAACGCAAAGCCACACACTTTTCCATGTCGATGTAGCGCAGCCAAAGATGCACTGTACACGAGGAATTCCGCACAACTTTCTCCCAATAGAGTCGAGAGGCTTCAGGTTCCTTAAAAAATAGTGACTGCGAATAAAAGTTGTATAGTTTAGTCTCCATTCTTTTTTAGAAGAAGAGAAATAAGAGACTTCAATATTAGCGCAATATACGTTGATGGAGTTTCCGTGTTCCGAACCGGCAAAGTCTTGAATTTAAGGTAAAAAATAAAATTATATAGAAAGTAGTAAACGAACAAGCGTCCATGTAGGACGAGGCATTGGCCATCTCTCTGCGTAGAGCGAGAGCCTGTTGGTCCACTAGAAGATCGTCTTTTTCCAGAGACCAATCAACGCTACGACGCAACTGGTCGAGACGGAAAAGCCACCAATCCGCATAGTCTGCCGCAGTGGCCAGGCCGGCAGAAAGTCCTTTCAAGAAAACCTCTAGTAGCGGCTGAGCCAATCGGAAGGTGCTTTGCAAAGGTTCGAAGGGGAAAAGTTTACCGTCAATCTCGTGCTGCGGTCGGCCGAGAAGTTCCTTTAAGAGAATAATTTAAAACGTAGCACAGTCACGTGATAAAAGGAGGAAAACGGACTAAAACAAGAAGATATTTGATCCAAAGAGAACTAATCCAAGTGCAATTTCGTACGGCGGAAGTCAAAACTTTTAAGGCTCCTTGCAGATCTTTGACCTCAAAGATCTATAGAAACAGTGAGTAACGTGTGGGCTATATGGAGGGATGGTCAAGTGTGCTCGGACCATGTAATCAGCATAGGAAAGCCACAATATGTGCTCCAGAGGAAAAGCAGCAATCCCGCGCTTGTATAAATTAATCACGCGAGAGGGATCGCCCTTCTTTAGTTCCTCCGAAATATAATTTATATAATCTGTAGGAGATTTCTAATGTGAAGCAAATGTTTCATTCATGACTGGCGTGATAGGAGGTATAATACAAGATTGTCCTCGCGTGCTGCTAACAGTTCGCCGGCCACCAAGCATTTATGCCAAAGTTTTTCATAAGAATCCTTATCCGGGCAGTCTGTATGTATATATTTTAGAATTTATAATTGTTTTAAACCTATAATTTATATAAAACCGATTAAATTTTTTTCTAAAATTTTTATGAAATCTTTAAAATCATCTTCGCTGCCTGTTAGAAAAAATATGAAAGTCAGAGCTAGACAACTTATAATTAAAAATTACGGCTTAAGGGAATTGAAAAGCGTCTCCTCCATAAAGACAGAAGCAAGTCAGCCTGACTTTTTCTAATAATAACATAAAAATATCATCCTCTACAAAAGTTTTCCTAAAGAGTAAACGAAGAGCTCACAAATTGTTCTTCTCCTCCGACTATAAGTAAAAAAATACAATTAGAACATTCCATAGAAAAACTATCCACGGTTAGTTTTACATAAAAAAAGAGAAAAGATGAGCAAAATTTTTAAGGATTTCGAAAAAAATACATGAGGTATACTAAAGGTATCACTGCGTAAAAACTTTTATAAAATTCGTGAAATAAATAATTAGTTAATATTATTATTAAAAATTGCAGCACAAAAAATTAAACATACTTTGGAAAGCGCCTGAAACATCTTCAACTCAAATTCGCAATAACGTTCCCAAATTCTTTTTCCTTCGTAAAAATCCAGGCCAACTTCACTAATCGATCTCTCAAGTAAAGAGCGGATGAGCTCTTTATCTATTTGTTAATAATAAATTTAAAACTATTTAAGAACACTAACATAACTTTTTGATGAATTAATAAATTAAGTATAATAATGAATTTTTTGGATACCTGAAAGTTTTTCTAAAGCAAAAAGTATATATTGTTCCCAGACGTCAACTGAATAATAGTCTTCAAGGGCTCTTTCATAATATGCATAAATTTTATTAGTTTCCGTGTTATTTTTTATTTCGTCTTCAATCCATTGAAGCCAATGATCTTTAAACAAAAGTAAACACTTAAAAATTACATAGGAAATAGTTATTGACCAGGCGATAGCGGAAATATCTTAGACATTTGCTCCCTGGCATGTCTAAGTTCTTCATAATTGCCATACTTTTGTAAATATTGAATATACTCGAGATGATTAGAATAATCATATGGATTCTTGCGGACCTTAAAAATCAAAGAGAATCGATAACAGTACGCTTTTACGTTACAATGAAAGCATCACTTCTGCGATTATGAATTACTTTGTTCTTTAGATCGATGTATCTGCCCTGATTACTTCTGTCGTTAGAACTAAAAAGTTTTTCACCACTGTTTGAAGCCATTTTTTTTATTATTTATACAAGTTTGTGAGCAGACATTCAAGAAAAGAGGTATCACTTCTACTAAGAAGTATCGACTAAGAATGCACGTAACGGTGTGTTATTCGCGTTTGATATCCTTACTAATTGTCAGTGCAAGGGCTTCTTGGAAAAGAATTTGTGCTAGTAAAATTTTGTTATTGGTTTCTAGCAAAATTCAGTACATATAAGTGTTAAGGCATATAAAGGCTGTACTAAATTTACGGATATTAAGAAATCAAATTAAAATGAAATTTTTACTTTAAAGCTCATTTTCTACTTCGTAAAAATTATATGCGAGCTGAGTAACGATATAAATATGAATCATTATTAGTGTCGCTTTTTTAAGCCAAAAGGCTTGACATAAACGGATGAAAGTCTACTCTTTCAACGGACGTAGTGAACTGACTCAATCCAAGCTTATAAAGATAGTAACACAAAAAAACTTCAAACTTTTAAATTCTTTGATAATGAAAATAGAGATCCAATAGTACATTTTTTATATCAATGAAGGAAAGGAGATCAACAAAGTTAACTTAACAAAAAAGCATAGTAAAAAGCTAAATGGAGCCAAGTAATTCACAGAGTTTAGGGGCCTGCTTTCTGTACACGAGTATTTCACTTTTTTTATTTCGCGTTTTATCGACTTTTGTTAGGAGATTAGAAGGAAAAAATAGCGAAAACCCCCTTAGAAAAGCAATACAAAAAGACTTTAGTCATTATAATGACGAAAGCCAGGACAATTTTTCGGGGCTTGTTTTATTTTATTGTCTTTCTCAATCCCTCTTCTTAATAATAGATATCCATTTTTATTTTAAATGGAGCTACATTACTTTTTAAAATCTTTGATGCCCTACACACACACAACCTTATCAGCTTGTAAGACTAACCTTCAGCTAAAACTATATTTACCTCTATTTACTATGCAGCATTTAAAAAGAGGCTTGCTATACTATTATGTTCATTTTATTAAGGTGTTTAAAGCAAAAGATGCTTTGTTACAGGCGGTATTTCTAGCTTCTGCAGTTGCTATTTTACTTTTTATGTACATTGAAAGTCTCCAAATTTTACTGTATTGCTTCCTTGTTCATGGAGTTAGATAAGCTGTAAGGCGCAAGCCAAAATGCGGTAGAGAAAAGGCACCAAAACAGGCTGACCAAACCTCCACCGCGCGCACACCCAAAACACAGTACTTTATTAGGGACTCACATTTACAAACGCTTATATATCATTACAAATCTCACAAAAATTAAATGCATCTTACTTTTTTGTTTTAACTCCCATAGTTGACTTTTTTTAACATACTCTCACATCTTAAACGCAATTTCGAAACGCTTAGCTGTATATTCATTTTAATTGGCCTGCACATAAGCCAAATTATAGTTTTAGGTATTTCTTTAGTACATAAACTTCTGTTAAATGCGTTTTTATTGTATCGTATTTTTTTTGGAAATAAGCAGATGCTTTTCTAAAATCCAACATGCCACAAATTTTTGATTTAGGGCACTGACACTTACTCTAGTGACCGAAGTATAATAGTTATTCAGTTCAAAAACTATATATTATAGTATATTAATCTCACTAACTCAGCGAACCTACTCAACGCAAGAAGCAAGCCACCCTCCGCAACCTCGCGATAGAAGATAGTTGTATACGTAATTTATCGACCGGAGGTGTGAGTCGTCACCGTAGCTCAGTGCATTGTCGCGCAATCTAAAGGTCTCCATCCCCGGCGGTGCCAAATCACATCTTTCTGGTTCGGTGGCTGCGTGTACAACTTACCTAGAAACAAAAATTCTGAGAGAGAAAAAAGATCTCTCGAGCCGCGCCACAAGCTAGTTTATACATAATTTTACAACTTAGTCCTCACTAAGTTCTATGCACTTACTAACTACACAAAGGGCGACCCTTTATCCTCGGACATAAGGAGGAAAGTCATTCCTCAAAATTAAATGGTCACTACAATGTAAAAAGTTAAAAAAATGATATCGTAAACTTTAATTTGCTCTCTTAAGATAGCTTGTAAAGGGTAAATGATAAATTATAACTTAATTTTTATAAATGATTTTGTAAAACTGTTTTGAGAAAAGTTCGACACTAAACCCTAGTAAATATATTGTATTTTATAATACAATATTTTAGCCCCTTTCTTTGTTTTTAAAAAATTAATAGTTTAATTTATTAATATTTGTAAACAAACCTTAAAATCGGATAAACAAAGTGTTTAGCAGATTATTACAGATATCAATTAATTTTGTTATTTTTATAAAGTAATAAGCAGCGCCCATTTATAGACATTTTTATTAACCAACTAGATATGATCTGCTATTTGCGTTGGTGATAGTACTTTCAATAAACGCGGTAGTGCTTTTGTTCTTATATAAATTAGTGACACAAACAGCTGAACTTTTTGTTAACAATCTTTCACCAATTTCAAGGAGATGATTAGGATACTATCTTTAATATACAGCTACCATCCGGTAGAAGGAATTTATTATACTATATCTAAGGTATCTTAAGCTGCATTAAATTGTTTTACTATTAAAAAAAAAATCACAGACGAATAGCTTTGTCTCCATCTTTGCTCGTTTAAAAATTTTAAGGGTCGCCAAAAAAAGGAAATTAAAAAACGAAAATTAGTTATATAAGCATAATTAACTGTTCGAGAAACGTAGATACGGGCGCTAATTATAAGGCTAATAGTTTTATGAATACCGCGATTTATATACTTGGCCATTATTTAAAGTTGAACTGGTATTAGTTTTTATAAAAGAGATGATTTTAAATAAGGAATCTGAAAGTTATATAGACGGGAGTTTGACTTTAGTTAATCTGGCTCCCCGGTATAATCTAAACGATAATGGCAAGCTAAATCTTTGATTGTTCCGTTTGAGAGAAAAGTCGACGATGGCTAATACGTGTCAGTTAAAATCTTTCCTATTATATATTTCTATCTTTAGACGGTTTAATACAACTAAATAACAATTAATTAAACTCTTAAATATAAAGGCTTATGTGTCTATTACAAGTTAATAAAATTTTAAGTAAAAGACCATAAACTATAAATATTAGAGAATTTTGATTATTTCTGAAAATATTCTTTTAAATCTAAAACTACTCTTATAAAAGATTATTTATGCACTCTTTCTTTTTAACCAAACAGCCCTTAAACTATTTTTATTTAATATGAAAACCGCTACGAGAGCGTAAAGCGAAGCAATAAGAATCTTATTCTCTAGTTTTTTTGATTTATGGCATACTACAGTGGGACCTTTATAATTTTTGCAAAGTTTAAACCCTTTGTGTGCACAACCTCGTAGTTTTAGCTGAATCTCTTCTGATGTATTTCAAAATAACGTAAATAGTTTAGATTTAAATTTAAAATTAATTTTCCTTTTTTAAATATCTCATCCAATCATATTGAGACCTATATTGGCAAGTTAGGTTAATGTAAGGAATTTATTTAGGGGTATTAATGTATTGTCTCTATGTTTAGCAGTTGGGTTTACTAAGTTTGGTTGCTTTTGGCGGTTTTCGCCTACGAGATTTAGAACAATGTATTTTATTGGTGCGTAATTGCTTCATTCTATTGACTAATGATGGGAGAACTTTTTCATCTAATATGAAATTGGCTTGTTACAACGAAGAATAAACGTTATTTTTACTACTTAATCCTTATCACCATGTGGTAAAGGGTTGGAGAGTGCACTCCAGAAGAGGGAAAAAAGTTAACCTTTTACAGTCATCTAGTATAAAATTGGCTCTATTTTCTGTATTGTAAAAGGTTAAATACGTAAAGCCATTATGTTAGAATAGAAAGTCCTCGGCGTAGCTCAATGACTAGAAGCAATGATGAGCAAAACTCAAGGTCTTGGGTTCCTTTTTCCGATTTTGAATGGTGGCGTAAGTGACCTTAGCCCTTTAAAGTTCCAATGTATTCATTTACATTTTTATTATTCCCTGGATAAAATTACATCTTTCCTAGTTAGTTAAATATTCTTTCCCATAGCTCAACAACAAGCGACAGTTTCTTGGCTTTTGTTGCAAAACGGATGTATTGGTCATAGAAGACTGGTCTTATGTTTATTATGTAAAGCGTTAAAATAACGGTACAGACAGGCAACTGCTTTTATAAACTATTGGTAAATCTTCAATTTATGCTGGATATAAGATAATCTTTTTCTTATTTTATTTTTTCAATAAATATTTAATTTCATGCTAATTTACTTTGTCTACAAATTATTTAATTGATTTAAAATTTATGGTAGAATTCATATTTTTATATTATTAATTGTTGAACCTGCAACCTTTAATTAATAACCATAGAGTTGCAGCGGTGGCGTTGGTTCTGTTTGACGGCTCTTTTATAAAGCTTCTAGTAATACAAAAAAAACACTGAGCTGATCTGGTGAAGTAAATTTCTTCTTTGGGAGCTTAGCTTGAGACTTTTTTTGTTTTCAATTTTATTCCTCATTCAAGCAACTCTTGGCCGGTGAATCCCCTATTTTAAATTTTTCTGAAAGTATTCAGTTCTGTAAAGACACAGAAAACCTCCACTTTAAACTTTTGGTTTCTGGTGGTTGATAGTAATTAATTTAAACTAAATTCTTCGAAAGTAATGTTCATGTTTTTATAGTAACTCTTATTACTCGATTGAAGCTCACAAAGAGGCGTTATCATGGTTGCGTTCTTAAGTGTAATTTTAAAATTTGGTTTTAATTAACTTTATCCGCAGACAATTAATATTCTCATAAAGCCTATATTTCATAGGTACGACTGTAAAATACTGAACACGCTGCCCTAATAGGTTATTATTAGGGTCACAAATAAGTTAAGTTAACCATACTTAAGATGAGGGAATAAGAAAAGTTACTACGTCTTTACTTGAACTTATCTGGTTGAGGTGAGTCTGTTTAACTCTTTTTAATATATTAATATCTATACTTTAAAAAAAATTAAAATATCCAACTTGTTGTTTAATATATTCGTCATATAAAGTAATAAGTTGTATTTATCATTTTAGAGAAAAATCCAGTTGTTAATCTCACTTTATTGAAAATTATCCAACAGACTTACCTTAACTCGTTAAGAATAACTTGTATACTTTATATAGTTTATTATTTGTTTGAAGAGAAGTAAAAGTTTTTCATAATAACCGCACTTTAATAGTTACCGTTTTAAGAAGGCTAACTCGTCTATCTTCCCAATATAATGTTATTTGTCAAACTTGTGATATCCACCAAAGTTAAGTATAACACCATCATATACTTAGAAAATAAGAAAAAAGAGCTGGAAATTGTTGTTTGCTTTATTATCCTTATGAATATCTTGAAGTTATGAAAATTTTTGTTTGAGTAATGCTATTACTTAAATTTCAGAGAGCTTCGGCTTGGTTTTGCAACTGAAGATCAAAACACTCAATGGTCTCCGAGCCAAAGAAAATACTGCAGTGAGTAATTAAGGTCCCCACAATTTTATGAACAGCCGCTGCATAGGCAAGAGAGCTTATCAACACTGCAACAAAGAGAGGAAAAACAAAGAAACGTGCAGAGTTCGGTGGGATCAGGAACAATCTTTTCGGGATCAAATAGTAGTGAGGGACCAACGCAGATGGCCAAGTTTTCAACAGTCATGCTATTACTTTCTGCATTTTTTGCCACTGCTAGCAGCACACGGAATAATATGGACACCAGCCTAACAAAAAGCAACACTTATTGTTCTCGTTAATCGCGAGTGTAAATTTAACAAGAACAAGAAACAGGGATTAGGTAAGCAATTTAAAACGCTCTTCACTGTTGCGATTTTTTCATCTTCTGGACTCTCAGACACGCTTAAAAGTACCTTGTAGTATTCCTAGTTTACAGAAAAAGATGAAAATGACCGAAAATAGTAAAAAGCGGTGCTAAGCTACCGTAGAAAAAATGCATTCAGGAAGGGAACGGAAAAACGCCTTTATAAGCGAGGCGGCCTCTCTTACCCCTATAAGCAAAAAAAATTTTGAAAGTTGAGCTGCAATACGCTTGTAGAGCGTAACCAAGAGAAAGAACATCGTAGGGATTCCCTTCATTCAAAGTTTCTTGAACGTGCTGCACCGTCGCGCTGTGGGCGGACTTTCTAAAAATTCCTTTAAAAAAAAATAAGTTACCCAACTCACGAAAAACGGGAAGGGCGCTAAAGTTTGCCTAGAGTAGATGGACCGTCCCTATAAATTATAAACAGTAGATCCTTCAGTGGAGCAGGAACAAAAGCAGCAGCTTTTTGAGTGATTAGTGTGTCTAATAAGAGTTAAACATGAGACTTTTTGATCATCCCAACCGGCAAGAAAAAGCGATTAACCGTCATCGTTGCTAGCGCTATTCAAAATTTTGGCAACTAACTCACAATAGTTTATGCCAAAAAATTGACTGTCTTTTGTAGAGCCCGCCGTTTCGAAGCGCGTCTTCGAAAAAACACAAAACTAGTAAAGTATCATCCCCTCATAAATAAATAAAAGTAATGCACCAGTTCAGCAGGAAAAGGCACTTTGGACTTTGAACTCTTGCTAAACACATTTATATTGCCAAGTTTAAGTGTGCTCCTGGACTTTCTGTGCTGCTTGCGCGAGTGACTAGAAGAATCTACCGAAGGAAAGCCAGACGGGGTTTGAATGGGAGACGTTATTTCGCCATCAACACCCTGCGAGCGATATTCTTAAGCTTTAACCAAAGCTAAAGGAGACGACCCTCGCAACCTGATATTGCTCAATAAAAAAGCGAAGTATAAACTTGTACTCCATCTTTTCCTGAAGATAATACTGATGTAGAAGTAAGGGACATTCATAGGGCGCAACACGACGCTCCACCTCCCCTATCGATTCAATGAGGAGATACTTTGTAAATCTTTTTTCATTAATCTATTATAAAATATAAAAGAAATAAAGTGGTTTAAATAATTAGAGATGACATTAAAAAACAAACGAACGCCAAAGAGGGGCAAGGCAAGTGCGCGAAAATCGTCCGCTGTGGAACTCCGTCCAATCTCTACAAACACGTAAGGCGACTTAACATTGCTGTGGCCGTCAAGGTAGACCTGCGGGACGGCGTTTAAGAGAGAATAATAAAGCATAGAACTTGAGCATAGTAAAAAACCTTTACTTCCCCGGTAGATCCAACGGCGGTGGACTTTCTTGTGGCTATCAACTCGGTGAGAACGGAATACCACGTGGAGACTCGCTCCCCCTGCCAGATGTTTCCGGATCAACGCACGCAGTGATATACAGATTAGCGGTATTATAAAAACTTCGTCGTCGGGAGTCAAAAGGAGAGTCGCGGAGGGGTGGCCGAGGACCAAAACGTTTTTATCATTTTTGCTGCGCGCGTTTAGATGAAAAAAAAAATTTTAATAAAAGGACCCCCATTACGCACCTCCAATAGCACCAAATGTTTTCATACGGCCACTCCTTTTCCAATTTATAGACAAAAGACGTTTGAATAGAATTATCCCGCTTGAAAAGTAGAAAATCAATTGTCATCTGAGTGTGAGCAGATACAAAAGAGCGAGTAGCTTGACCTTAGCTAATATTATGACGTCATCAAAAGCAAAAACATGCAAAAGATCACGGGAAATTTTCTTAACAACTGCAAATCCGGCTAAAGTTATATGATCGTGAGTGTCAGGAACCCAAATTAGACGATAAACCAACCATCCATTATCAGCTTCCTCAATTTTTCAGGGCTACCTTCTCTTTTAGTCAAATGCAGATCGTAATTTACAAAACATTTTTCTATAGTTGCAAGTCGCATGAACTGGTTCAATTCCTCCAACTCTTTAACGCTATAACTTTAGCCGTAAAAAGTCTCTGTTCACAAAAGAAATGCATGCCTTTTAGCATCTGGCTGATGTTATTATAGTCCAAATGATTTGGCTCGTCGCAAATTTCATGCCAGAGCATCAAAAAAAAAAGTCTACCGTACATTTCCACAAATTGCAGATTATAATAACAAAAAAGAAGCAAAACCTGTAACGTTTCACGCAATGGAGAGGAAGAAGGGTGAGATACTGTAAAGGAGGAAAGGCCGGCGCTCGCAAAAGAAGATCAGAAAACTTCGTATATTTCTTTTTCAAGTGTTCAATAAGAATCAAAGCCTGAAAGAAGAATCCAACAGTATAAACAAATTAATTACTTCAGATTATTCCTTATGAGGAAGATGACTACAAGACACACTTAATGGGCACACCTTTCTCTAAGTAACACTTCAAGTAAGCAGCAAGACGAGAAACTTTGCTTTACACGCAACAGACACGCTCATTAAATTTTTTGTAAACTTTTTTTTTTAAAAAAATTTACAAAACTTTACAATTTTTTATTTTAATTATCGAGCTGGAGAACTTATAAATCTATTATTACGAAATTCTATCAACACAACTATAAATTTAAACTATATTATAGATTTTAATTTTTTATGGTTAACTTGTTATTTAAAGTTTTTAAAATTTAATTAGATTAGTTAATCGTTTAGAATTGCCAAAATAAAGGAAAAGAGCAAAAATATAAAGTAAAGTTTATTATAATAGTACGTCAGGATAACTTTGATAACGCAGTTGAATTAAGTGAGCAAGTTTTTCCCAATGTTTTACAAAAATTTTTCCCCACAACAACCTCAATTCAAAGAATTTTAAGTTATTTTTAATAAAAATCAGCTTTGTAGGTAGGAAAATTGAGCAAATTATTAATTTACTATCCTACCGATCTCTATTTCGTGCTGCTTCATTGGCTTCTCTCATAATGTTTCCAACTATTTTTAAAAGTTCTTCAGTCCCAGTAAATAAGGTTATAAATTCGTTTTCTTCTAAAAAATTATCTTTCTGAATTTTTTATTCAACAATAGTTAGTCAAGTAAATGTTTGCAAAGTTTAATCTTTAACCTTTATAGGTAAAAAAAAGTACACAAAATGGTGGCGAAGTTGATCGAAAAAACTTCTTTCGGTTTCCAACAACTCGTAGGAAACTTGATCTTCTGGTTCTAAGTCCCCATCATTTGTTAATTGATTCTGGACTTTAGCTGCTTCCAATTTTAGAAAATCAACGTCAAATTCTATAAGAAAAGATAAAATAACTGACAACTTCAACAGTAGAAAATATACAGTACCTTGAAAAAAACTTTCTATCGACTCTTTAGCTACCGTTTCTATAGGAAGCGAGTAGAAGCTGAGTTGAAGTTTTTCACAGATCTCCTCCACTGCGACTTCATCAAGTTCACTGCGAGCTAATCGAATTGTAATAAGTGCACTAGAAGCGTAGAAATAAAGAAAACTAACTACTTATCTGAATCGTCTCATACATGCGCCGCATAACTAGAAATAATATGAGTTTAAGTATTCCAATCCAACACTCATCACACGAAGACAAGATGGCGATAACATTGGACCAAGCAGGAAGGCCAATTGAAATTTCTAATTATCTTGAAAAATTAGCCAAGGTAAAAAGCCCGAAGACCTGATAAGTTTGGCTTTTCTTCTTCGAAGGTGCCCCAACTCCAGCTAGTTTTTAAGCAATTAAAGTTAAGATAACATCTGTAACTAGTATTAATAATGTTTTTTAAAAAACTCCATGGTACCAATCCAGTTTTCGGGGTAATGTTAAAACTTGATAAAAAACAAAAACGAAATTATGGAGATTTAAAAAGTTTGTGTAGTTTGTTACTCGCTTAAGCCTTCGAAGCTGGGTATGCTAACCTCTGTATATTTAAAAGAACAATTAACATATTATAGTAGAGGGAAAAAAGTAAAGTTTTGTGCATATAATTTTTTTTTAAAAATAATATTTCTTAAAGGTTCTCGGTCAGCACAAACGACATTATATGAAAGACACAGCACCCTAACACATTGAAGTACAAGATTAATATATTTAGTAATATCCCTGACTGTTTACCAAAATGAAAGATATATGAAAAAGTTTAGTCTACAATAACCCAAAAAACAAAGTTACTACTTTCAAAGCAAGACAACTTATAAGCGCATAAAAAAAAACGTTTTCATATTCCCGGCTATCTGTAGTTTAGTTTTTACCTGACTGAAAGTTTATTTCCATTTAACATTGTCTACTTATTCAAAAAAAAAAGCAATAGTCATAAGAAGGGCTTATAAGCTGTAATAGCTAAAAAGCTTGACTGAATAATTAGAAAATTGATTGTACTATGATCAGTTTTGTAAAGTCTAGGCATAGAGTAGGAGGAGAGGGAAATTTTTAAGCTTGCGCTTTCTTATTTCAACTCTACGATTTTAATTTATAAACTTTACGTGTTGGAAATTCGGGATTTATGATTTTTTTATAGCTAATTAACTTAAAACCGGATAACTGATTAACTGGAGTTCTATAACGAGGAAATATATATTTAGTAAAAATCACTTGCACGACCTACATTTAAACCTGTTTTATATGTCGTTTATTAGGTACAAGTGTACAGTCTTTAAAAACTATGAATAAAAGTTTATAAAATAAATTTTATAGGTATCTACTATTATTAAAAAACATAGACGAAAGTGTGTGTATTACTTTTCATTCTCTTAATTATAATTTGCTCGTTTGTTGCTAAATTTAATGTCGTTATGCTTAAAGGAGGTTTAAAGCTTTACATGTAAAGGCCAGCAAGAACTCCTACAGGCTTTGTAGCTGTTATTGACCCTTTTTTTTTTTCCTTGCTGTACACATTAGCACCTCCTTAGCCAATACAACTGGCAACGTAAGTGCTAATATTTAACTTTTAAGCGGTGTGTAATGCTGTATAATCTACAGAAATATTTAGAAGTACTCTATTATAGTTTTCACCATGAAAAGTTCACATAACGCTTTAACACAAAAGCACACATCTTTATTATGATAAATGGCATAATAAAAGTTTAGGTTAATATTTGCACTATAAAATATTTGAACGAAACGGCTGATGACTAAAGCCTTAAGGAGAGAAATAAGACTACCGATTTAAGCTAAAGCAGTAAAATTATTACAACAAAATTATCAATACTATTAATTCTATAATTTACTTAATTTTGTGTAGCCCTCACTGATTATACGTTTGAGATCTCTTATTTAAAAAGCAAGGTAGGGAGGCGATATTCTATTTTTACTTGGGCTTAAGCCTTTATAATAGAGCTTCAGTGGGATTTGTGATTTTATAATGATTAGAAAAGTTTCCTAAACTAGAGTTTACGGAGTTTTTAATAAATAAAAACAGTATAGACGAGAAATTTTATTAAAATAATATGTTCTACAAATTAAACGAATTTCTTTATGAGAGATCCTCGGTACCTTTTATAAAATATATAAAGAAGGAAGAGAAGAATTTCTCCACCTTAAATAATAATTATTAATTATTATAATTATTATTATTCAATCCATACCTCCTATTAAGATTAGACTTACAAAACTAAGATTAAGAAAATTTTTTTTTCTTTTTGAATAATTTGCGGAAATTTTTTTTATGCCTAAAAGCCGGTCCTATAAAATTATATAGAAAGAGAAAAAAAAGAATAAATTTTAAAATAAAATTAACCCAAAGTAAACTTCTGAATTCACTTAAGCTTGTTGAAAAGGAATTGACTTGCTTGTGCAGGCTCTTAAAAGTTTTCAATGAGGCTAAAAAAAAAAGTAACAAGCATAGTTAAAATAGTAATAAACAAAAGGGAACCCTTATCATCTTGAGCTTTCTGTTCCCGTATAGTTTTCTGTAGCAAAAGAAGAATTTTTCTAGTCGCAGAAGAAAAAACTGAATTAATGAATTTTCCAGCCACAATAATCGCAGGCCAAACTGAAGTCTCTCTGAATGGTGCCTTTCCTGTTGGTTTCTGTACAGCTCAAGTGAACTTCTTACGGAACTTTCAAGATTTTCAATGGACTGCGCCATCTGCAGCTGCGAGTTCTGCGCCTTCTGAAGAAGAGAACTACCTTCTCTTTGCTTTATGCTCATCTAATTAATTCAGAGTTAAAAAAATTTCTTCTTCCAAAAGTTATTAAAATTTTATAAATAATAACTTCATTTTTTTTTAATCTTTTTACGACTAATTTTAATTTATCTATATTATTTAGTCTGAAACGTTGTAAAACGCAACAAAAAATAGTAAAAAGTTTTATATTAAATCTTAATTAATTAGAATAAGTTCATCTTGCTTATGTAAAAAGGCAAATCTCTTATAAACAATTTAATTTTTTTTCCCCTTCCATGTTTAGTCCGTAGTTTAAACGACACTTATAACTAGAAACGAATTATAACTTTTTCTTTAAGCATTAATAAAGTGTTATTATAAAATCTGTTATAGGAATTATAAATTCCTTAAATGCAAACTTTTAACTCTGCTGCATCTATAAAATTTATCATAAACAAAAAATTTGGTTATAAAATATGTACAGATGTCTTCAAAATAAACTTATTAATAAGATCTTGTAAATGTGTGTACATCTTTTCTTGAATACCTAACTTTTATATTTACCCACTAAAACTTTATAAATAATAATTTGTAACATTAATTTAATCTTTTATAAATATAAAAATAATATAACTTTACTCATTTATAAGGCTTATCTACAAAAAATATTTAATAAAAATTAAATTTTTAAAAATAAAACTTTTAATTGCAATTAGTATAATTCTTCCCTTACAAACTCTTTACTTAACCAACATACTTCTTCGTTTCCTTTAAACGACGTGAGATGAAATGTTTCCACCGATATCAAGTCGTGATTGTCAAAAAGCGCTAATGAGATTTGTAAAAAATTATAAGTCTAAAAATATTACCAAACACAAATCGAGAATATATAAATCTGTAAAAAGTATATAAATTATTTTAATAAAATTTTAAAAAATAACAAATTGATTTATATGTAAACAAAAGAAAAAACAATTTAATCGGGAATATTAAAAGATTTTTTTAATAACAAGATTGCGACCTCCTGTAGAAGAAGTAAAGCCAAAGTGGCCTTTGATCGGCAGCTGTACAGGTTGAGGAGGAAAACAGACTTTTGCCTGTTGCGTTTTTGGATCCAACGTCGAAACCTAAAAAGGAAAAGAGAAAACAAAAAGTACAATTTAGTGAAACTCCGTATAATCAAACCTTCAGAGAGGTAGATTATATTAAAAAAATCGATATTAATAAATTTAAAAAATACACAAAATATATTTTTTTAATATTACTTTAATAATATAAACAATACTTTTCTATAAATGCTAAAAATTAAACGGAGTAAAAAAAGAAAAAAAGAAAAAGATGGCCACCGTTAAGATTTTATTCGAGTATTGCACGGTGACCTCGACGGGCTCTACTGTGTTCCGAAGGCGCGCAGAGCAGCTTCCTATGCTTTGCCCTTTGAAGTGTGCCGGAGATGTGTCAAAAAATTATTAATTTAAATTAATATTAATACTCACCAAAACCATCTTCACCGTGTTTATAAGAAAGCGTTCCGTCATTGACAACAGCAAGAATAACAGAGGGGGGGCCCTTCCGAATCAAAAGTGAATAAAATTAAGCAGTACAATTAATTCTTTTAAAAAAAATCCCCCCAAAAATATATTAATTTCTAGTAGTATTAACGTGAACAGTTCCAAAAAAAAAAGTTGTGATCCTTAAAAGTCAAAAGCACTTACCCTTCCGTCGTTGTTGAAAGTATCCAAGAAGACGCCAAGACCTTTCCAATGATCAGCACTGCCGTAAACAGGGCCCGGCTATATTACCGTAGATAGTTATCATTAAAAAGCTTTTCACCAGCGAATTAAAAGATTTATAAGAATAATGTAATTAGTAAATTAAAAGCACCTCTTGTTTCAAGGAGGTGTACCAAAATGCGATACCGTCAGCTCCGAGATCTTTTGTACCAGTAATTCTGACCTTAAACACAACCTGCCAATCTTGATAATATACGGGATTTCTATTCCAAATCTATTATGGTTTATATATCAAAGCTTTTCTATTGAAATTTTATAGAGGCAGCATATAAAATGTAGATATAAAGAGCGTTATAAATGCCAAAGACTATAAAGCGTAAAATATTGTATGTATGTGTGCGTTATTTTCTATAAGAATTTGTTCCTTTTAACTGAAAAGTTAAAAAGATTACTTGTCCACTAGATTGCGGTAGCGCAGGGACAATCCTAACACTATCTGGTTTAAGAGATGCTCCTTAGAGTAAAAACATTTATCAGTCTTCTAGTATTGAGCGATAAAACAAAAAAACGTTACTTTCAGAAAGTTCCCACTGTTCAAGTATCTGTCCCTCCTTAAAAGGCCCAAGTAAACTTAAATGTTCGGAATAGCGTTTACTTGTTGACGCCGAAAGAGTGTCTTGCGCACTACAAAACTTCAAAAGAACAAAAATCATAGTATTTATAATAAAGCGTACTACCAACTTCATGATAAATAGGAAATAGTATTTAGAAAAACGGCTTAGGCAGGGAGTAAGGAAAAATAAACTAATTTTAAAATTTATCGTGGCTTTCCTAACCCTCCAGTAGATAATGTCGAGCCTACTTCTCTACTGTAATGGCAGCCGGGAACGCCCCCTTTAGAGTTGTGTTACGCTATCAGAACCATAACTTAAGTAGTATTGCGATGGTGTAATAAATATTACTTATAAAGGAGATAAGACATTGGTAGTGAAAATGATAACTGTCTTGAGGGCCCAAACCCAGCCCACTTTCCCTATTAGTGGATGATGCTTTGCGACCCAGCATCGAAGGGCTCGAAAAAGTAAAGTCATTAAAGACTTTTAGCTACCAAAAACAAGCTTAGTGCAATTTTTACACCTAGAATCAATAAACGCTACGACCTTTTATTATTTAAGCCCTTTATATACAACCTTTCCAACTTCATAGCCAGTGAAGCCTCGCTGGCAGCGACGCTAATCAGTGTTTCCAGGAGGCCTTGCATTGTCTCCTTGCACACCTCAGTTTTATTAAGCAATCTGCTTTCGTAGCTGGCCGCGCACTTGCAAACGACAAAGAAAACCCACAGATCGAAGAAAGAGAGTCAATTCCGATTTGAAAACTTATCTTTTAGGCCCTATTCTAAATAACACCAGGCTTAGTCGAAATCTGAATAAATAGTTTTTGTCCCCTCTAGGCGGGCGTCCAATTTGTAACGTGGGAAAGCTAACAAAACTAAAAGCAATGTCTAGATATAATATGCTATCCTCTTTATTAATCTACTATTCACTTATACTTAACAAGACTAACATAAGTCGGGACCTATAACGAGCTAGAGACTCCTCTTATACAAGAAACCCACCCATCCATGATCTTTCGTGGCAAAATAAGAGTATCCCCCAGCGCAGAATTTTTGGGTTATTTCATAGACAAATGAGCTGAGAATTCTAAACCACTTTATGCTCTTTACTAACTATTGGTATCTTATATGTTTTAACAAACAAAAACTTTCTTTGCTTATCAATCTGGTGGGCGCCCACTTAGTTTGCTCAAAGGAGTTGCTTAATCTCTACTAAACCACTACTTGCCTGAACAGAGGAGCATATTTTAAACATATTAAGAGTCCCTTACTCCACAGGCCAAAGAAGTAGAGTAAAAAAAAGTTTAAAAAATACATTATTACATGTGATATAAATACGGAAAGTTTACTGGCCAAAGAGTCTAACGTAAAAGGTTTAATATTTATATATGAAAATGGGGTAGCACATACTGCCAGAAATAAATCTAACGTTTTCGCTCAACACGTGCTCACATTTTTTGAGGGTCCCCCCAAGAGGGAAGTTGGTATGAGACAACCTCTAATGTAATTTAGACTTATTATTTTACTAGTTTCGAAGGAATTATTATTATAATCAACTCGTCAAAAACCGAAAAGGCTGGGGAACCAGAAGGTGTATCCAACGTTATACTCAAACATTTTGCTACTAAGGCTATCGACTTCGTAAACGAGCTTTTTATCGATGTGAACTATGATCTTACTTTCCAACTCTTTGGAAGTTAGTAGAAGTTGTTTTTATTTCCAAATTAAAAAAAAAAAAGGAAACTTTATTAAAGACTTTCGGTCCATCAGTTTACTATCCTTCATTAGCAGAGTAACTAAGGCTATGATACTCACAAGAATAAAACTTTGGGAAAGCAAAGGGCTTTATTCCCAGAGTGCAATTTGGCTTCCCTGAAAAAACATACCATATCTCAAAAGATTCTAAGACCTTCATAATGTGTTACTAAAGTTTTTAACGATCGAAAATATACAGCAATAGTATTTTTGGGCATGGAGAAAGCCCTCGATAAAGTTTGTCCCAAGAAACTTTTCTATAAGATGGCGAAGTATAGTTTTACCAGGCCCTTAGTCCAGTTGACAAAAAATTATTTATCAAATAAAATATTCACAGTCCGTATAGAAACAGTTAATCCAAACCTGGCGAATTTAAACGTGGAGTCCCTCAATGATCGCTTTTATCACCGCTTTTATTCGCGATTTATATGGCAGGCATACCCAGATCAAATGCCGTATCACTAGTCCCCTATGCGGACTACAGAGTCATATCTGATGCTCTAAATCGAGGCACTGACTATTAAAAACTGAGCATTATTTGTACACACTGGAAACTTGGTTTAGTATATTAAAGGTAACGAATTAAGGCCTCTAAGGGTACAGTAATGATAATTTCAAGAAGAAGAGTTGATATTTAAAAGCGCCAGAATCTACGTGTATAAAGCTCTGGTGTTAAGTACTTAGTTGTTAGAGATCATAAATTAATTGGGGAACTCTCATGTTGGGTATGTCCTGAGAAATATTTCGCTGCCAAGGATGTTTTATACCCATCAATATGTAGGCGCAACCAACTCCACTTTATAAACAAGTTGCTTTTATATTAATCCATTATTCATTTAAAATATGGTGTGCTTCCGTTTTTTGTTCCTACTCTGAACGCCATGGTGACTGCCAATTGAAAACAATCAAGACTTTTCTTTATAATTCGCGACCAAATGCTATAAAAAATACTTTGAACATACCAGTAATTTAGTAGCCACTACTGTTAGTTATAATCCAGACCGATATAACAAGTATGAAAGACCTAAACATGTCTTATAATCGCTTTTTTTGAGTCTCAATTTACCACCCTAATTATTTGTCGTTTTCTTTTATAATATAACTAATTTACACATTATTTACTGGTAAATATTCCTTATAACCACCTCTTCCGGTAGTGGATTTTTTTAGCAGTTTTCCACCACATAGGCCGAGTGGCGGGAGTTTGTGTCCTACATTCCCCCTTTTTACAGTTCTTCGCGACCGTCATTATAGTGCAGGCTTTTTCGAGTGGCATTCGTGTTCATCTAGATCAGATTAAGCAGTATACTACTACCTCTTCTGCGCGGGGTCTAGCTGTAGCACGGTAGATAGTAAAAAAATAAAAAGAAACATCAAGGAGAAAAAAACTTTATCCAGTCCAAGCTGAAAATTTAAATCTCTAGGGTCATAGTTAGTCCTGGGCTGGGTGACCATGGAGGCCATCATGTACTCCGCTCCCCCCGGAAAGAATCCGGATATGCAAAGTGCGAGTGACGAAAAATATATGCGATTACCCCTGATTGAGAGCTCGACAATTCGAAGTTGTTAACTCGATCAAGCATTTAGGAAAGTCAGTTATAAAAAAGTAAATAAACTTTAGCTCTCTTTTTCTTCTTGATTTTTATGTTTATAATACATTGTCCCTATATTTAGATGTATTATATATCCATTCTACAATTGTTCGCTTTTATTTTTTAAATTTCTTAACAAAGTGTTAATATCTACAGTAAAGACCGTGGTAAACTAAATTTTACTAGTAAACACTGAAATAGCTCATGAACTCTGCAACCTCATACTATTGTGCGTGCAACACTCAAGAAGTTTATGACTTATCTTCTCTTTATTACTGCCCATTCTGTGTAAAACTCTGTTGTGAACTTTGCGTGACTTTTGAAATTGAGACTTTGTACTGTTCAAATTGTTTATTAAACGTTGCGAACACCGAAGCAAAAATTTATGCCAACCGGTTTTTTTTTGATGTAACTTTTTGTAACCTTTATTTTAATAATTATATAATTGTAGTTGCTGCAAATGTTGCCAATGTCCTATATGTTTTTGTTCCTTGGCTATTCTGTTTATGCCTGAAAGTGGTTATTTCTTTAGTTGTGACTACTGCAAGTGGTCTTCTTTTGAAATTAATCTGGTAGAAGACCGGCCCGATAAGCTAGTTTGTACCGATAGCCCTTTATACTTCTTTTTAAACGCTTGTTTTAATTTTTTTTAAAATATTTGTAGCTCGCTGTTTAGAGCTGGAGAAGAATACTTTGGGTAAAAAATTATTAGCCGAATTAGTTCCTTATTATAAGCAATTGTCTACCAGTGAAGAAACTAACTTGTATATGTTCCTTCCTTAGTCCCCTACCATCTTTTTTACTTAATTAAAAAAAAACAAATTATTGGTACCAAAGCAACAGTGCTGGGGAGTTATTACCTTCGTTATCAAGATATTCCTTTTCCTCAAAATACTTATCACAAAACTTTTATGGTAAAGAAAAGTTTACTCCCTTCTGTAGTGAATTGGAGGAAACTCAAGAACCCTATTGGGAAGATTATGGTATTTCTGTGTGAGTTTAGTTTAATTCATTAATCTATAACGTGATGGATTGCCAATATACTCATCAAGTATTATTCACGGGCTATTTATTAAGAAAAACACCATTAAGTTATTTTATTAAACTTATAGAATATACTGTTAAAATTTGTTGTTTAGCCCTTTAATAAAACGCTTTATTAACTTTCACAGTTTTTGAGGCGGTAAACAAGTTCGATTATCAAGAATTTCTTTGCTACGCAGACACGCACGTGTAGGTATTTTTTTATATAATTTACCGTAACAATACTTACTTTTTGGATTTTTTAATGTTATAGTAGATCTTTTCCCATTAGAAAACCTTTACAATCACGTGTTTCCGGTTAAAAATTTTGTTATAATTATCTCTATCGCTTTTTCTTAAAGTTTCTTGTATATATAGATAAAACCTTTTAGGCACTAGTTTAATGGTGTCCACTGATTTATATAACGTTTTCTTAATAACTTTTGCATTACAATCAAATAAACTGGATTTTTTATAACTTTATTATTTAAACAAACATTATTTAGAATCTTTAATAACTTATATTTTTTTTATTCTGAAGTACAAGTATTAAATTAATATTATGGAACTATTAATTAATTCGCTTGTTTAAGAAAACCTTTTATATATTTTCGAGAGTTTAAATAGTTTTTAGGTTATAAATTTTTTTATTGCAGACGACCGCCGTTAAAGCGCTATCTTGAGATTAATTGTAAAAGTAAAAATGAAATTTCTAAGAATTTATAAAAAATAACATAATAATGTATGAAATAGTAAAATACAAAAGTTAATTTTTATATAAATGGAAAAAATTGAAAGTAAAAAATGTTTTTTAGTTTGTTTGCTTTATATTATATTTTCCTGTTATTACCTAAACTTATTAAGGAGTGACTTTGTATATATAATTATATAGTAAAGCAAACTTTTAGTCATTCAACATTTAATAATAATAAATAAATATAAAGTTCGCGATTTTTTCTTTTGATATTTTTTTTGTAATTAATTCTTAACTAAAATAAAATATTTGAACGTTAGCTTCAAATATTATAAACACTATATATGACAATAATTAGTGATAACCTAATATTTAAATTTTCAAATTTTCAAAACAATATTTACTTATTTCTTATTTCTAGTAATAACAATATTAAGTATAACAATTCAACTTTGAAAGTTGCGTATATTATTTGGTGATAACAACACTTATAAGTTGTTATTTTATATAAATATTTATGATAGAAAGTTCATTATGATTATGACATTAAGTTTTTTTTTAGTAATGATAATATCTTTAAAACTAATACATATTATCAACACTAATAATAAAAATTCTATTATAAAATCTTTTCTACATTTATAAATAATATTTTTGAAGTCCGTTGCAAGGAATGCGAACATCTTCTTGTGATGCCCGAGTTGACTGCAGCGTCTTCAAAGTTTAAGATGAAGCATCTCGCTTTGTAATAATAATATATAAAAAATAAGGAAGATTCATAAAAAAACTGTTAAAAACAATAATATATTTATTATACAATCAGTAAAAAGTAATTTGAATCATCAGTTATATAGTAAATATAAATTTATATTCTTCTAAAAACAATTATAATAAGTTCAAATAACTTACTTCGGTAGGTAATAATACACGATAAAAATTTTGTGGTTTTATTAGCAGAAGACAATAAAAATCGAATAGTAATTGTTTTAGTTTTAAATTTTCAGAAAGTAAAAAAATATATAGAAGATTTATATACTAAATAAATTATAATTTAAAAAAAAATGCATTTTAATAGGATTTTACAAAATTAATTTTCTAAGAATTATTAAACAAAAAAATCATAAAAAAAATAACTACCCAATAATATAAGAAAAAGTAATTTATATTTTTAAAAGAAACATATTCGTTATTAAACTATATTTGCTCTGCGCTGCTGTATATTGGTTTAAGATAAGCAAAATATATACTGAAATTGAAACTTCTCTATAAAAGTTATATAGAAACATTCAATGAGCAACAACCAATGACCATATATTGTCCTGCTCGCGCGGGGCCATGTGACTTTTATGCCGCGTGGTGCACTTATAGATATAAATATAAAAAATATATATAAAAACAGTAATAAATGAAGTAAACAGTAAAAGTTCGAATTATATAATAATTATTTTTAAATGCTTCGGCTTTTTGACGAATTAATAAAATTTATATAAATTAGAAAACCGTAAACAGTTAAAAAATATTTACCTTTTATATAACCAATAACAAATGAGTATACCATAAAGTAAAACGAAAATAACGAAGGTCTATTATTTTTTTCCTACTCAGAAATTATGTCCCTACGATAACTTTTACTGGAAACAAATACACGCCAGCCACTTCTTCGGTGGAGTTACCCGTCACCTTGTCAAATCCACGTGATTCAGCTGTATTTCTGTGAGTCCCTCTCGCTATTGTTACTTTGATTGTGTTGATTATTACTGTAGTCTTTAACTAAATATTGATAATACTAATAATATAAACTTTATTACTTTTATTATACAGAACGTTTAGTGATATTTATTATTCAGAAGGAAAGGTTTATGTATTTGTTACTTATTATTCGCTGTTTTTTCTTTCTGATTCGTTTAATACTTTTTTACTCCAACCAACAGGCGGAATTTTCCTCTTCAGATGTTACGGTGGGTCCTTATGATGAAGTTAACGAATTGCTAGGGGAAACCGAAGACAAAATTAGTAATAACTATTTCAGTAAAAATATATTATTAATAAAAGTTTGAACAAAGAAAAAATACTTGAAACTTTATATATATAACAAATAATATAACATGAGGACCACGTTTAAAGGTTTTAAAGTTAACATAAAAGGACTTCACTTGGTTAAAATAAAATATATTATCAAGTTGAGTTTTTTAATATAAATTTGTATAGACAAAAAGTAAAAACATGAAACAAATATCGAATAATTCTTATATAATGTTATTTCTATAAAGTTTCTTTTTAAATATAAAAAATGAGTATAAAATATAACAAAACTTGAAAACCACTACAAAGTTAGGCAAAACTATAACTTAAATGGTATATAAAATCTTACTACTCATAGTAAAATCCTAAAATTAACAGAAATATAATATATTCATTTTGGTTATAATTAAAATATTATTGATACAAAAGCTCGAATTTTTTTCTTAAAGTAATGAAATGTTTTATAACTAAAGCATGTAAAAATTACGTTTGTGTTCTTTTACTTTTGTTAAGCAATACTAAAAGAATAAAAGTTTTTAATAACGAAAAGTAAATTTTTAATAAGTTCGTTATTAATAATAAATGCTTATTATGAATATAATTGAGTTCATAATAAGTAAAAATAAGTTTTTATCGTATATGTAAAGTTTTTATTTTTACTTTATTACTATCGTTATATGTAAGTTGATTATATCGTCAAAACAAAATATTTATTGATAATTTTTTTCTTTTAAAAACTTTAAAAATATAATTTGTTTCTTATAAACTTTAATTTTGTATCATATTCCTAGGAAATGCACAAGAAAAAGTTTGCTGGCAAAAAGGACATAAAGTCGGCCTCTTATTAAAATTGAACAGAAAAAATAAAGATTTGAAGGGAAAAAGCTTCGTAAAAGTACTTTTATTATTGTTATTATTATAACTTATAAGCACAACGTATGCATATTTTTCTACTTCTAGTAAGTAAATGGTGACAATAGTACGGTTTATTTAGTTTTTATCAAAAAGTTACTTTACTTAAATAAGTATATAAAGTAATGCTAATCTGCATATCATCTCTTATATCTTTACATTTATATATAAATAATATAGAATTTTTTTATTATTATAACCTACACTTTTATTTATTATTATCATTATTATTTATAATGTCGTTATTGCTATCTACTACTATTATTATTTATTATCATCATCATTGGCCAGGCCACCATAAAAGTAGCAGAAGCGTCGCTCGCTGGGAAGACGCTCTCTTACGCCGTTCTTCTTCAACTTTCTGCTTCCGCGCGTTGAATTGCTTTAAATTTAATTGGAAATTTCAAATTCACTTGAATATTCTTGAAATTCGCTGTATTCTTCAAAATCGTGCTCACTTTCTCCGCTATATTGGTGGTCACTGCTGCTTGGATAATCAATTTCTTTGGAGTCAAAATCTATTGAATATATGTTTATTTGTTTAAGTAGAATTAAAGACTCTTAAAATAATTATTATTAGAGATGGCATTAAAAAAGGCGTAAACTTATATAAAGAAATAAATCTTTTTTTAAAAAAGGTTAAGAAGAATATTATAGTTCACCTTGAGTTAAAAGTAGAACTAAATAAAATTATATTATTAACGTAAAACTTTAAATTTCATTTTAAATTCTGAAGTTAAAAATTATTAGAAAAAATATAAAATACTTCAGTGTTTATAAAAAATATTTAATTCGAAGAAAATTAAAAATAAATTCATTTTTCATTTTTTTAATAATATAAAACTACCTATTATAAATTTTCCGATTTATGTTTCTTATCTTCAACTTATTAATTATTAGTTACCCAAAACTAATTTTTTCATATTTTAATTTTAAACTAAACTAAAGAGCAGAACTTAAATTATTAGAGTAATAATATATGTCTGTGTAACGTAAGCTTAAAACTTTATAAAACTCTCTAAAAATAAAATACCTAGAGATCGCAATTATTAGTAATATAATCAGATTATCGAAATAAATCAAAATCAAAATAAATCAAAAATTTAGTATAACTAAAATTATACGTAATGAGTAAAATTAATAAATGGAAGTATAATAAAATGGCGAGTCAATAATATTTTTGGTAATAAACAGATGGCAAATATTTAATAAGCTAAAAATACAATTACTAATCACTAATTTTATAAAATCTTTTATAAAAATCTTTATTCAAAAAAAAAATTTAAACTAAAAAGAAATTTTTTTAAAAAATTAGTACGAAATATAGTTATTAATCTGGAAATAGAGATCAAAATCGTCTCATTAATAGATAAAACTTAATTGTAAAAATTTTTTAAAGTAAATTCATATATTAAAAGCCAGAAATTAATATTATAATTATTAAAGACATAATAAATATGTTTTAGCTAAATTAGGTTAATTTAAAAAACGAGTAAAAATATAAGAAATTACAGCTTGCAAGTAACATTTATATTATAAAATAGATAGTAAGTTTCTTAAGGAAGCATAAAAAAGTAAGTCAATTACCATATAGGAAATCACATTTATTATAGATACCAACAAACGTAAAAAAATTAAATTTGTAGGTTAGCGGAAAGAATGTGTAAGCCGTAATTTATAGCACTCCATCTCTAAAAAAAAAACTACAAAACTTAAAAGCAACTTTAAAGCGCGGCAGTACAATTAAAGTTATTTTTCAATAAATTATAGCAAGATACAATAAGCGAAACTGCAATCTTAAAAAACTATATAAATTCAAATAAATTGTGCCACATGGTTACGTTTCTTTCATATATAATATAATAAAAATTAATCTCAAAGAGCATACCAAAAAAATACGTTAAAAAGAATAAAAAAAGATTGTTTTATTTTCCTTCTAATGAATAAAATATAGTGTTTGCAAAAAATAACCTAAAATATTGAAATAAATTTTAATAAGAAAGTGGATTATCAAGTTCTTTTATCTGTAAAACACTTGAGTTCAATTTATAAAAGTTTCTATTTGTCTTGATTTCTTACAGTTATTCTATACCTACCTTTTCATTTTTCTGATACTATATTATGTGGACTCTCATTTTTTTATAGTTTTATTACAGAATTTAAAGATTTAATTTTTTACGCTCTTAATAAAAATAAAGAAGAGGAAAAAACATGTTTGTGGAAGAGACTTAAAAATTAAATAACCTTCTTCATCTTCACTAGAGGTCTGATCGTACTCATTCTCTAACGATAAATCTTCCTCAAAAGTTTCTATCCGAACGGCGGAATCATCGGCGCAGTTTTCTGGATCGATCATATATATGTCATAAACAAACGAATTATCAGAATCTCCTTTCTTATAAATAACTTCTTCTTTGTCAACTTCAAGCACTGAGCTTTCAAGTAAATGGCCATTGCAAGTAATGCCGCTTAAAATATTGTTAACTGATAAACAAGAAGTATTTTTCATAAATTCTACATCAAAAACACGAACTGAATCCAAAAATGAAGCGTTAACACCGAGAAGCTTATAGATGTTTTTAGAAAATTTGGAACGATCAGGAGGAAGAGTTTTGCTTATTGACTGCCTTTCCAGTAAGTGACCGAGTTTACTAATTGTACGTTTAGATCGCCTATAAAATTTATTAAGTTAAAACTTTAATTTTACCAGGCGTAAGTAATAAAGCTAAAAACGCTAAATAACAATTTATGAAAACTGAAAATCTAAAAAGAAGTTTTCATTAATTATATAAAGGAAAACGCCCAAAACATACTCTTTTTTGCTACATTTTAAAATGTTTCCGTAATTACTTCCACTTAAAAGTTGACCATAAAGATCCGTTTCAACCTTTTTTGAAATATTTAAGTCCCCAGCTTTATAAAGTCGAAAAACCTTTTCCGTTTGATTCTCGGGAGTAGTAATAATTTTTTCTTGTATCTTACTAGAAAATTTTGAGCAATCCAGAGGACAAATTATATTTTTATGTGAAATTGTTCTCTTTTCACAGTTTTCCTGAAGCCTTAAAAGTTTTGAGGGGAGCGGCAAAATTAGAGTGTTATTAGTTTCATCGGTAGCACGACGTTTAACTCTTAAAACTGTGGTGGACAGATTTAAATCCATCGCCTTAACAAAGTAAAACCTTCACTTTTATTAGATATCTCATATTATAAGAAATATAAATATTTCGAGGTTGCCAAAGAGGTAGTTAAGCATACACGAGTTACTTTTATAATTTGAATACGCTTTACTTTATTATTTTACTTAGGACAAATAGGAGTAGTAAAGCAAAAACTTCATAAAGTCTTTTTATACTATCTAAAAAGTCGTATTTTTACCGATAGAATTTTTTAAATAGGTTTTACGTTAAACTAAGTTTTTTAGAGTCAAGTTACTAGGCTAAAGCCCCGCCTGCTCGCCATGTAAAATTACAAATTATCTTAAAGAAAGAAAAGCACAACCTAAGTTTTTTTTTTACATTATGTAGAAGGGAATGATTGAAATAACTTAAGTTAATGAAATGAAAATAAAGTTATTGCGGCAAGGTTAAAAATCTTAGCGCTGGAGCGAAGATGAGCCCAATTTCCACAAGTTTCCATTTAGCCTGAGTTATCTAAACCTATATTATTTTCAGCATTGATATTGAGGTTTAAACTAAAAATTAAAGAATGAAATATTATTTAATTGCGAAAATTAAAAGGTTTTAAAATTTACATAACGCTAAGATCTGTTAATATTAAACAGTTTTCATAAACGATGAGGGTCTAAGGCAAAACGTTTAGATTGCCTTATATTGTTTTATATTTTCATAAGCAAGCAATATTAATCTATTTATAGTATTTCTGTTAAAGATGCTACTAACGATATTATTACCAAATATAATATAATTTTTGTTGAAGACGCTACTATTATTTATAACATCTATCATTACAAAAAAGTTAATTTTAAGTCTAATATTTAACTAAACGCTGCAGATTACAAGGTACATAACTTACTGAAAGTTCAACGAATTTCTTTCGTTGTTATATATTATTGAAGGTAGAAAATATATATTCTATGTTGCAGTAACGATAAGTTTTCAAAAATTAAAAGACCATTGGTTTTCAAGATTTGAAGGAATATTTTATTCTCACGACTAAAAGGAGACTTTAGACTTAAGAGAACAAAAATGTCTTTGTTAAAGTATTAGTTCTTTTTAGTAATATAGGGTATAGAGCTCCCTGATAACTCGACTTTAGTTTTTGTAGTTGAAGGCTTATTTTTTGTTATTGAGCGGTTTGTAATATTTTTCAACTGTGATTAAAAAAGGTTTAGGAGGTGAAATTTTGGTTATATGTTTAGTGTTTAGTGTTTGCGCCTTGGTAGTATACATATTTTGAGTTTTTGAGTTATATTTTTGTTAAACTAACGACTAAAGCCCTATGGGTCAAGAGGGAAACGTTATGTAATAATATCAAACTTGTCATATAAATAAATCTTGTGCAGGCAATCTTATGTACAAGTTAAAAATAAAATAAAAAGTTAAAAGACAAATAAAATGTTTTAAAGTGCTTTAGAGTTGTTAGCCTTTGACTGGTTATAGAACCGCGTTTATAACACTAACCAAATTATTCAGATGGACGAACAGGATAAAATTTAGCAACAATAAACTTTCTCTACTTATAAACCTAACACGTTAACACAAATAACCCGTTTATAATATTAACTTTTACATAAAAAACATCTAAAACTCTATCATCGAGAGTTATTTGGAATCTGAATAATAAAGAGATACTATACTTAATCTCAAAGACACCGCCTACGAACAAAATATTTATCACCTGTTGAAGAGTCAAGCCGCGTAAGGAGAGCAAACCTGAGCCCCTTCAGAATTATTGGTAATGAGGTATATTTATGCATTTAGAAAAATTTAAAACGGCGTTCCTATACTAAGTAGTAAGGTTTACGTCCTAACTTTAAAAAACTGTCCACCGTCGTCCATCGGCAACAGTTAACGAAAGGCTATGTTTATTAGGTAACAGTTAAAATCAAGTAAAATGGCCTACTTAACTCCGTAATATTTAAAAATCTTAAGGGATTATTTAATTTATATACTATGCACGTTGACCAGCGGAAGCGATAAGGAAAGCTAAAGCTTTACACTGATAATAAGGCGAAAAATTATGGACCGGCTTGCGGATGGAGTGAACTTTTGGTTTAATTTTTATAAAAAATCTATGGAAGCTACCTTATTTTGGACTTTTATTGCAAAACAGTATGATCAAAATAAATAATATATTTTTTCTAAATATCCATTTAAGTAAAAAATACCTATGAGCCCTTGAAATCGTAGGTTGGGAAGAAGTCATGGGCAATCTTTTTGTTAGGTCATAGGGAAAATTTACGAAAGTAGGACATTAACCGAAGGATATACTATTTAATGCTAGTCCTTATACTCTTGTAAAATTATTAAGTATATTATAAATTTTATATTATTACTATTAAATATGATACAAATGAAAAATAACTAAGCAGTAAGGTTAGCATATTTCCATTCAATTGCCCAACCACTCAAAAAATAATTTTTGTTAACTGATGCCCCTGAGGAAGAACCCTCACTGGTTTTTCCATCTGAGAGCTTTATTTATAGTATTGAAAACCTTTTACCATAGATCTCAGCCCTTTTAGCAACATGCAATTTTTCTTCTTCAACTTAGTACTTTTAACGTTATCCAGTGTACTGGTTAAAGCTTCAACCACTCAAGTTGGAATTAAGAAGCGCTCTACTCCTTGTCTTAATAAAGCCAAGAAAGGAGACAAAATATCAGTGCACTATACTGTATATATTGCTTATAAGAGTCTTTTAGCTTTTTTTTTTTTTATTTGAGTCGCTAATAGTGCTTATTTTAGGGGAAGCTAAGTAATGGTGATGTTTTTGATAGCTCTTTAACTAGAAAACAACCCTTTACTTTTACACTTGGTGCCGGACAAGTTATTAAAGGTTTTCTTGAATAAAGTTTTATATTCCTGGCCAGCAATTTTTTATATTCCAACTTCTTCTAAGGATGGGATAAAGGGCTACTTGGTATGTGCATTGGTGAGCAGCGCATACTTAAAGTAAGATATAAAAAAGTATAATAACGTTCATCTATAGCTTCCTATTCCCTATAGATACCACCCCACGAAGGATATGGTAAACACGGATCCCCACCGAAAATACCTGGGGATTCTTCTCTTGTCTTTCAAATTGAGTTAATGTCTATAAACGATAATAAAATAGACGAGGATGAACTTTAACGTGTTCATTTTAACATCGCCCCTTTTTTCTTATGAAGGTTTTGCTTTTATCTCTACATTTGACTAAGCATAGTTTATCATAAGCTAATAAGTAGAGTTCTTTTTCTGTCATTCGTTTTAAAAAGTTTAAACAAAAAAGACAGTCATTATTAAACCATCCTGCTTTTAAGGTTAATTGCTGTTTTACAAGGAAAATATAAAGCGTAACCGTTAAGGGCCAATCACTTATGCTGGTTATTAACACTTAAATATAAAAGAAAAAGATCCCGTGTTATATTTTAAGAACTCATAGCCTTAGAGGCGTTAAATTGTGCAAATGTTTTTCTTATATCATCTATAACAATTAAACACCAACCGGTATTTATGTTAAATTAAACATTTTTAGCTTTCATATTTATATTAACAAAACAAGTTAAAAAGTATATATACATAAATCTTCTCTCAAGTTAATATTTGGAACGGCTTGCCACAAGCCGCTCATTCTCACACTTTACTTTAAAAGAAAAACAAGACTGTCCACAATAATAATAGTATTGGTATAAAGATCTTTTTATAAGCAGATCAGAGTGATAAGGTAGTACTGACCCAGAGGATTTAATAAATAAACCTACGTTGCATAATAACTCTGTAATTTCAACTAATACATAATGACTTTTAATATATTTCTAATAATATCAGTAATACAACAATAGTTCTCTCAAGAACTCATGCAGTGTAGTTATTTTCTAACATAATAGAAAGGAGTTTCTAGAATTTGCGTTTGGAAAGTGAGTTGTCTATAGTTAAAAGTGGATAGTAGTACAGTACATCGAGGGTTCTGTTCCTACGTGGATCTATTAGAACATATTGCTAAAAAAGATTGGTAAAAAATGCTACTTCGGTGTCGTTTCCGCCTTAACTACGTTGTTACGCAATGGCAGTATTGGTGTATGGCAATGGTCCTTAACGCTTGACAAAGCGTTAAAAAGGATGTTGCCCCCATCCTTACTTTCTAACGACTGTTATGGGAAGTAATTTGCTCTTTTCTAAGTTAAAGACGTTTTAGTTTAGCTTAGTCGTTAAAACGTTGCGAAAAGGGACGGTCAAACGTATTAACCGGTGCGCCAACCGAATAAGATGCATTAGGTATTCCGGCAGACGATAAGGGGATACACAACACATGACTACATCTCTCGATGCAACGTGAGCAATTATTGGCACGCCTTCGTAATTTTGACTACCTCAGTTAAAAAAGCAGGCAGATCAGATAAAGCGTCGATAAAAGTTTCGTCCAGTCAGTAAAAGTCCCGTGCCCGACGAGATAAGAAACCTTTAATATGCGTCTACGTGGCTCTTCCGAAGTTACGCCTTTTCAAATGTTTCTCCAATGAGGTGTCTCCGTTTTCATTCCTGAAGGTGTAAACTTGACCCCCTTAAATCTTTAAAGCAGCAGCCGTTATTCGAGTAAAGACTGGTTAGTCTGGGGGCCACAGGACATTGACAGAAAAAATTTCATTTTCTATTTTAAGAAGAACACCATGTCGATAGCTGTTTCGCTTTCAGTCTTTTTTTTTAAAGCTCTTAAGTTGTGGTAAGTAAACTCGAGACTTTCTTTCTTCTCTAGCAGAAAGTGTCCTCTCCTTTATACGATCTGTTTGCACTCTCAAAAATTAAATTCGGATGGCAACCTGATTTCTTGCACTCTGAAAGTAAAACTCAAGGCGAACGGCAGAAAACATTATAAAAAAAGTTTACGTTATAAAATAAAGCTGCGAAAATAACTAGCGTAGTAAAAAAATATATACATAAAATTTCAGAAGAGTTTGAAATTCAGCTCTCGTAAGTAGCTTGGCGCAAGTCCCAAAATTTTAGTAAGATTCCCAAAAAAAGGTATTTATATGCGGGTAATAAAATTTTCCCCAACTCAAAGGTTTCAAGTTCTAACAATATTTAAAGAAGTATTGGTGCTCGGTCAAGTCAACAAACTTGCGGTATTTCTACTTCTCGACAGGGTAGTAAAAATTCCATTCCGAGTTATTTAGGAAAAGAGAAAGAGCAGAGTCTGTATATTGCTCATGCGTAGTAGTAAATTACGTTCCTTACGGTTTGTACTGCTAGCTCAAACGGGTTGAAGCCTTCTTTGACTCTGCTAGTAGTAAAGTCTAGCAATAACTTTATCCGACGCACGTTGAAGAACGGATTTGCGGCTAACGCATTGCCATGGGTACCCTCCCGGGAGTATATATATGAAGTGTGCGAGCGGTCCGAGGCGGCACCCATATTCTGCGAGTTTTGTCTGAGTGCGGCAGGCCTTCCACCCGCCGCAGTGTCAACTGCACTCGCGTAGAGTAAAAATTCCTTTGAATCCACCCTGTCCGGAGTCGTCCGTTAAATCAGACCGGACTGGACTACAAGAGGAGGGACAAGGCTCGCCTTCGACCGGATTTTATATATGAAATGAAGAAAAGAGGGTCCGTCTGATGTGTTATCGGGTCCAGTGCTTTTGGCCTTCGGGTGGTATTATACCTTTCTGGCGGTGATGGGCTAGTTATAATTAAAGAACATTTCTTAGTCTTTTATTATTTTTAGTTATCCTCACACTATAGTCTTTAAAAATGCTCTCCTATGCGGAGTTATACTTGTAGCCTTAACTTTTTTAATTTTTTTATAAATGAGGTTTAAGAATTAAAATTGTACAATTAAAAACGAAAGTTAACGAGATCTAATTTTTGCAGAGGATAGGATTAACTGAAGGCCAAAACCACCACCCGGTTAAAACCGTTAAGAATTAAAATGTTATTTAAATTTTATTTTAAAAGCTACATAACCCTTTCTATTTTCAAATTACTATTTCTAACAAACATGCCTTTTTCAAGATCAAATTTTCTTCTGCTGTATGCTATGGTTAAGTCCCACATAAGGATTAGAGTGGCAGCGGAAATAAGCAGAGTTTGAGCATAGTAAAAATTTGCATTTCCGCTGCAACGGTGGATCCACATGTACCAAGTGGTGGGCAAAAGCACGCTTGAGTGGAGGTAGATGCTCCCAACGAGAAACAAAGATTTTGTGTCTGTTAAAAATTAAAAATGTAATATATAAGTACTAAAGCTATATTCCTACTGGCGAAGCTTACAAAGGAAAAGATGCCTCCACAGCGACAACAGCGAAAGGAAAAACCCTTGAAACAATAAAGAATCGCGTTAGCATTTATAGAAGTGAAAAAAAAGTTACGATTACGAACAACAATTTAAAGAATAAAACAAAAGTATAAAAGAATTTTATTACTATATTAAAATTAAGTGATTAAACTAAATATATTGCACGTTATCCTATTGATATTATAATCCCTTTTTTAACTTTTTTTTTTTATTTTCTTAAAGTATTCTTGTATATTATTATTATATACTAAAATTTAAATTAATAAAATTTAAAAATTACCTTTCTCTAGTTTACTTTATAAATTTTTATCAACTTATTTATAAATTGAACTTTATATTATTATTAGAATTTAAATATAATTTACAATATAAATTAAATTCCTTTACAAGGATATAATAATGAAATTTTAAATAAAATTTCAGTACAAACTTTGAAGCAGATTACCTAAATCGCCGAGGGTCGGATAGATTTTGCAAGTATTTAGCAATCCAATAAACATAAGAAAAAGAAAAGACGGGTTATCCCTATAATATTACAAAAGTCGGTGTCAAAATTAATTCAAATGGAACAAAAAAGAAAAGTAAAATTAATTAAAAAATTGAATATTTTAATTGTTTATAATAAATAAAGTTTGAAAGGATTTTAAATAAAAAACATAAACAGAAAAAAATAAATCAAGCTTATAATTGAATTCTATTAAGTTCTTTTAAAATTAGGCAACTGCAAAAAGATTAAAAAGTATTAAGTATTAAATATTGATTAAGTGAACAATGTAAAAAATTAAAGTAAGTCAACGGTTTTTGAGTGATTTTTTGATTTATTAACCCGATATATTATAAAAGGTTTAAAATTTACTGATAAAATAACAAGATGCTTTTACCTGTACTTTATAGTAAGCGGAATTATAAAGGTCCAAAATAAAATGTGGACGGCCCAAATAAAATATGCGCGAAATTGTTCAAATATTTCAGAAAACATGTACCAAAAGAGACCAATATTTGGAGTTAAATCGGGAATAGTTAATCTCCAGCGAAAAAAAAAGATAAATAATTATAAATCGTCTTTATAATAAATTAAAACAAAAATAATTTTAATAAAATACATTTAAATTTAATTTTAAAGAACAGATGATCGTCACTAAGATTTTAAAGGTTAATTAAAGTTTAATGCTGCCGTTTCTAACTGAAAAATTTTTTAGTAACCAATCCTTTCTATTTAGTTAAGTAAAAAAGTTGGATTGGGTACATTCAAGAATAACGACACGCACTAAATTGTTAGATATAAAGTGGTCTATCCGTTTATAACAAAATGCAAAGTATAAAAATTGGAAATGGATTTAAAAACTTTGCTAATATAAAATAGTTTTATATTTGTGCTTAAAAATCTCAACAGCAACATAAAATTGTTTATAGATACAGTGATGCAAGCTGTAATAGTTAATCTTTTTTTAATTAGCGACTTTTATATAATCTAGAAATTTAATTTCTCTAAATTTAAAATTTATAAATTGCTAAAAAGTACGGAAAAGCGAAAGTTTCTTCTATAAAGTCCCACGAGCCACTAAGGACGAACGAAACGTACGTTAAAAGACAAATCCATAAGAAAAAAAAAGCGCCAACAAGTAAAAAGTTGGGGAGATTGGATAAAAATTTAAAAGGGGGCTCAGTATTTTGGTGGATTTTGGGGGAAAGCAAAAGGAGAGTTGCAGGAACCAATAGAATAATCGAGTAAAGGTTAAACCACGTGGCAAGGGCAACCGACAAAGTTGTAAAGAGAAACTCCCCTAAGTATAGAAAGCATATAGAGGGATTGTGAAGATGTGCAAACTTTCATATAACCGAAGCAATATCACCTGCTAAGGCGAAGTAAAAGGCCATCATCAAAGAAGTGTTAATGAAGACTACGGAAGACCGTGCAACAGTGGAAAGTATGATATATGGATTAAAAAGATAACAGAAGAGAACAAAGCTAAGCACATCTGTGCTAGAAGAGACTTGAATTAGCGCGTAAAGTTCAAGCCTTTCGCTTAACCATGCACGCGACGCCTTCGAAGGAGAAGAAAGTTTAGCGAGGATGTGTTTATAGTCTTCCTGGATGGACTCATAGTAGAAAGATTCAAGAAGTCGTGAGGACTTGAAAAAAAGAGCTGCACTCCGATAGAGGAATAGCGAGGTGACAATATCGCTTAAAAGATACAATAGAAAAAGCCCTAAAAGTTATATCAGTCAATAACAATAACAACAAGATAATAGTAATAATAATAACAAGGGTATATAGTCGTAGAAACTTAAACAATAAATGTTAATATGGCATAATATTCTGACTATGTTAACAAATAATATTAATAATTAATATAATATTAAAAGTTTTGTATTATTGATACTTAAATTTAAAAGTCATCGTAAATATATAATTCCTAAAAAAGTTATAATTATTTTGAAAAATATACAGAAACTTATAAAAGTACTATGTTAGAATAAGATTAACAATAGAGGAAATATGTTATCTTCATAGAAAGATGTATAATAAGCGAAAGATAACTAAATACTAAAAAATTATATACAGGTAAAAAGATAACTTCATGAAAATATTTATTAAGGATTCTATTAAAACTAATTAAGTTATAATAGCTTAAAACGGCTCACATCATAAAATAATATAAAAAAATTTTAAATAAAAAAAAGAGGGGAAAGAGTTTAATGAATTCACCAACATAAATCTATAAGTAAATATACTCTTATAGTTAATAAAAATAAATAACACTTCTAATAATTATTTAAAAAGACATTATGACCCACCAGCAATTAATTTTCTTTAGTTCAAAAACCAAAATTTTAAATTAAACTTTGGCAAAGATAAATTACTTAGAGCAAAAATTTCTTCATAGAAACAATATGACATAAGTTAACAAATCAAAATATTTTGAATTAAGTTGAAGGTTTCTTAAAAGTTTTCTTTTAAAATTATTTAAAATATGAAAATAGTGAAAAACAAACCAAAATTATACTCTTTCAAAAGCTCCGCTATAAAAATAAGTAATGGATTTTCGTGGATGGAATCTCCGTAGTACGGTGACAAACCAAATTGTTTATAGGTTATTGCCTCCTTGACTGGTAAAAATTTGTTTAAAATTTATATTTTTTAAAAAAAATAAACTAAAATTATAAATAAAAAGTTTTCAAAATTAATTTAAATCCAATTAAAAGTACACAATACGTCGAAGGAAGCTGGTTGTGGGCCCGGAAATTTCAACACTATTAAGTAGAGTTTCTCCAATATAGTAAAAGAGGCCCACTCTTATCAATATGGCTAAAAGTGAAGCCAAGATATTACAAAAAATAAATTAAAGCCAATTTAAAGTAATTACCTATGATAAAAAGAACAAAGATTTTGAACTTTTTTAAAAAAGGATTGAAAATCATTGAGCAACATCCGATGAAAAGCCCTATACATTATATAAATACATAAACTATTAGCTTCACCTACACACTTTAAATTTACTAAGATAAATATTAATTGTATAATAAATAAATTAAGCAAATTTTAAACGTTGATATATTAATACTGTAGTAACATAATCACAACCTGCCTAAACATGCAAATAAATATTCATAGTTATTAGAAAAATTTTGCCAGTTGGTATCCGTATAAACACTAGAGAATTCGAAATAGTGGGGGCTGCACGATTATGAACAGGCATGCGGCCCTAATAATAGTTTCCAACAACATTAAGGTTTTTAAACCTTCATTGGCAAACTACTTTAAGAGTTAGTTTAGTTAAAATGGTTACGGAAAACGCGTTTGAGTTTAGTATCACGATAATAAAAAAAGAAAGAAAAATGAAAAAATCAGGTTATCTTTTAAATATAGTTAGTTAATCCATATTCATTTTAAAAGTAAATATAATTAATACTGCCAAAAGTTGGGTTTACACACGGTTTTTTTTGTTTTTGTTTTTGTTTTCTATTTCGTATACTGTCCCCTTGATAATACCATTTGCGATTAGGTGAATAGATGTGTTTGTTTGTTTTTGGCCCTTAAGAATTTATAATAAATGGTATTTTTACAATTGGTTAAACAGTTTTCGTGCTTCTGCTCTAATTTAAAATATTATTTAAATCAGTATTTCGAGAGCAGTGCCATAGTTTTAGCAAATGCTACAGACTAGCCGGGTGCAATTCTTTTAAAACATTAACTACACCCTCACCATCTGCGTGCATACACCATTATCTGTTAAAATAATTCATTTAACTAGTTTTTATTAAAATTTATAAACGCCATAGCATTGCTCAAAAATTTTACTCCACAATGGGTAATCGTATCATTTCTGTTTGTCTGATCTTTTCAATAGACGGGCTTTCCGAACAATAATACAACCATTAATATTAGTATTTCCTAAATTTACTTTTAAATACTCCGCCACGGCTGCGTGCCAGCAGTGAAGTATAAAAAACCTGTTTAATTCTAGTTACTATTATATTACATTTATAGGTCGACGAAGAAAGTTGACATACTGAATTCAAGATCAAGATTTACCTCTATAAAGTGACTTTTATCTTGAATATTTAATAAATTCATTTGCAGCACTCAACTATACACTCATCAACTTATACGCAACAACTGTTAATAAATTACTCAAATAAAGTAAATGACTAGCATACTTTTATTTTATGAATATTACAATAATCCTCATGCGAGAATGCCTCTACAAAAATTTTTATCTATAAACTTACGCGCCGGCATCAAATGGCTAAAGAGTATTGGATGAAGTTTGATATTCTTTAAATCCTTTGATAATAATTTTGGCCACGTTTTTCTTAAAATTAAAATTTAAGATGCCAGAAAAACAGGGCTTGGACTTCTATTAAATTCTATACGTTTAGTAGCCAACTGTTCTAATATGGAGTAGGATAGACTGTTGTACGTGCGAATTGTTGAGCATTGTTGGAGCGGCAGCCCAGTTGTGCATATTTGTTACGCAGCCTAACAAAGGGATGGCGCGAGAGTAGAGGTTAGATAGTGCCAACATGACATTTTTTTAACTTTGGCAGATAATTTTCTTTGATATAAATAAAAATTATAGATTAGCACTTGTTAATGCAGATGTATAGTTTAGATATACACTGCCTGCTTGATTCTATAAACAAAAGTTTTTGTTATTTCGACCGAATTATTGGCTAAAAATTGTTTAAATAATTTATTTAGAAAATGAAGAACAACAGAAAGAATATTTATAATTTGATGATCAATATTTTTAAAGAGAACTATTTACTTAAGCATGCATAGCTTGAAATAATTTAAATTATATATTAAATTGCACTATATTGTTAGAGTACACCCAGTGTAAAAAACTAGTTGCAAACAATACTATCCTGTACGAACTACGAAACGTTACTGAAAAACGTCTAATACGATAACCAGCTTTATAGCATCGACTAAATGTTTTGGCATTACATAAGTCATACCTTCCAGTACCACTTTGTTGATTATCTGTGATATAAACTTTGATAAAATCCTCTATATCGTAGCAGAACTTTTTCAGCAGCGACTATTTACCTTGTCATTGACTTGCACAGTTGAAGTTAATGGATTAGAATTTATTAAAGGGAACAAAAACGCGGACGTATATAGTAGCAAATAAAAACTTTCACAGTGTAAGTCGAGCTTTTCTTTTATTATAGAAAAGTTAGTTTTTCTTAAGCAATCCTTTAAACCTTATTATTTAAAATATTAACTTCCCAGTAGATAGAATAGTATTTTTCTTGCAAGTTTACTTAGAGCTCTAGTAGGTCTTTCGTAAACCCTTTATACCAATTTTCACTTCTTTCAATAGAATTGCCCTAACGAAAACTTATAACCTATATAATTAGCTATATTAATGAGCAAAACAAATATAAGATTAAAAAAAACTGAATTATCTAAATTTTCTCAAAAATTTTGCGTTCCCTTCTCATTACTAGTAAAAGGTGAGGGTACGCCATTTCCTTGTTAGTAAATTATTCTCTTGTTAATATCCCAAAGTTACTTAAGTCCTTAGTCGAATCCTCTGCATTTGTACTATGCTCACATTTGCTGGCTTAGGATAAATGCAGCAGTTAGATGTTATTTAACTTTAAAAGTAATTAGATATGAATCGAAATTTTTAATTAGAAATATGCACACAAGGGCTGTAAGAGTTGTATAAATCGATATCATACGTCAAGATTTTACAATCCGGACGACTATCATCTAAAATGCATCCGGTTTCGAAAAATCATTAATGGGATATATCAGGACTAAATTCACTTAGGGTTTGTTAGACTCCATTCAGCGTCCAATTTAAGACAAGGTTCACACCGTGATGAAGTCCTTATCCTGTTGAATAGGGCTTAATAGAATTTTCTTTTAAAGAAACTCACTAGCCGGCTACAGAAAGATCCTACTACTCTCCGATGCCACTCCATGTCCAAAGATTTAAAGGAACATCTAAAAAAGGTACTTATCCCCACAAAAAATAGCAGTAAGGCTGTAAAATCTTGTTTACCACTATTGTCCTCTTAAAATTTATTTTGTTTTTTTATTAAGTTCTTGTTTTCTGATGAACTTTTAGTTTCACGGGCAGATACATAAGTGCTTTCAAAAGATATAATAAAAAGTAATAACCCGGATCCCCCCTCTTAAAAAGTTTTTTTTACTTTACTATTTTTTGTAATCAGTAAGTTAACTAGTTCCTTTAGTGAACTATTTAAGTTACTAGAATTTAATACTTAGTACATATTTAAACAACTTTTTTTCATAAATAGCTATATATTAATAGTTTTAACTATACAATACCCCTTAAAAAATTTCCAAAAGTAATACTTGGCATTTCTGTATATAAGGAATACTGTACAAAAGGAATAGTAAAATTGAAAGTAGTATTTGATAAAGGAAACACCCACCGAACATCCCTGGAGGAACCCAGGGAAGCTGAAGTTATGGGGAAAAAGTCAGAGAGCCCAGAAAAAGACAATTCAGAGGAGGATACTTTAAATATAAAGGACTTTAAACACAGAGTTGCCGAGGTAAGGGAAGTAATCTATGAGAATCAGAGAAGGTTGCGATAAGTGTAAGAAGTTTGTGATCCAGCAGAGACTACTACAGCTTGTTTCTAGAGGACTTTTCGGCGGCTTCTCTGCTTCTTCGCTACTCCCGCTGGTTGACAAGAGAGGGCAGTGGTCGTGGAAAGACGGCACTCCCTGCGAGGGGGGCCTCGACAATCTTCGACTTACTCCAGGTTGGTTGTTATATACTTGACTTAGCATTCTTAAGATTTCCTTTATTTGTAGGCTGGGAATGGATCGACAACTGGAAGTACACGGTTTCCGCAAAATATGACAGGGACGGTTGGCAGGTATGAGTGTAAGTTGGGCTTGACATAACTATTAACTAATGCCGAGTTATAAGTAATATTTCTCAGCCTAGAAAGAGTGCCTTTTTATATTGTATTAATCCTGTAACAAAGATGTCGCTTTTCTTCTGTAGAAACCGCAATTATGGGAAAATATTAAAGCTAATATTTTTAGTACGCTTTTAGTTTTTGGGACTCGAATTGGAGTAGTGAGCCACAACCGCAAACATTTGTTCGAAAAAGAAAGTGGACCAGAAACAGACGGATGATTGTCGATCCGAAGCGGGCAGAAGAGTCCATCAAAAAGGCAATACAGCCTTTTATAAAATTTGTTTATTTTATTATTACCGAGCGTTGTTTATGGGTACAGGCCCAGCAGGACCAGGACTTGTCCGAGTCTGTGCGACACTCTCTCCCTACTATTATAGAATCGAAGCTAACTTTGGCAAACAATTACACCCTTACTATAGCAGTCACCCTTTTGCTACTTGTTACATCCATCGTTTTACAAATTTATATTATACACCGCATTTAAAGGAAAGCGAGTTCGTTACAGACAAAGAAATATTAAGTGAGTATATTAATCAAGTATTATTAATTTATACACGTACGACATCAATAAATAGGACCCCTCAGTACTACTACCTTTAAATGCTCTACAAGGACATCGGCCTTATAAGGGAACAGATTCTAGAGCAGTAAAAAGATGTTTGGTGTGTTTCTACTTTGCGTATAGAACAGCTTATTCAACCTTTTCGTTAAATGACCGGCAAGACTTGTACAACGCCTGCAGCGTGGCAGTAAAAGTTTCAAGCAGACCGACTTTTCTGGCCAAAGACAAGACTTTGCTATAGTGTTTGTCGGCGCTTAAATATTTTAAGTTAAGAAGGAGGTACTCGAGGAGCGGCGTTTCTGTTAAGCAACGATGAATTTTATAGAATAGAAGCCGGTCGAATCCAAACGGACCTGAGGAGACCAACCAGTCTATAATTAAGGGGACATCAAACTTTATAGCGTCCAGTAGCGCTAATAACGACATGTGGAGGGGTATAAAAAGGCTCACTTCCCCAGCTGAAGGGGTACTCACTATTTGGGTGCTCACTCCACGCCCCCGCAGAGGCGCAGGAGCAAAGTCCTCACAGACGCTTGCGAACGCATTAACTTTAAACATGTTTAGCATTGTGCGAACCAATAAAGTGTCGCTTTCGGTAAGAGAATATAGGAGCTCTTGTGACAACAAGAAGAGGCGTTCATCCCCTTTCTTGGTCAAAAAGGAGATATTTTCACGCAACTTATATTCATACGCTGCAAGAAGAGGACTTTACCACCATTTGCAAATAATAGATGATAAAAACCTTCAGCTAACTGGTTCCAAAAGCCTACAAAACGGCTGAACAATGCTGGCCAGTCCTCGCCATATGCTTCTGTCTTTAGTAGTATGTTGGCAGCCTTCTCTGAAATCACTTCCAGGGTTCGACAGCAACCGGCGACCCATACAGAGATGGCCAAGGGCAGGTAAGAAAGGGTCCCCGCTCTGCTGCTGCAAAGTTGGTTGTCGAGTTGTTCAAGTAAGCGGACTTCATATATGCTTAGGCAGTCGACTAATAAAACAAACTATTTATTTATAAACATCTAAGTGCTTAATAAAGCTATAAAAGTTAAAATATTTTTTAACCTTACCAAAATTATTGATACCAGAACAAAACAATTTTGATAGAATTTTTAAAGACAACTGTACGCAAGCGTAATACTTCTCCATATTATCAATTTGAAACTTAAAAGTCTACACTATAAAGTTTCAAGCCAACAAGAAAATATGTATATGTATCGTAACAAGGATGATTCACCTGTCGCAGTACAAGAAGCTCGTACTCACTAAAAAAATACTTTCGGGAAAGGCTGTAAACAAGTTGTAAGATACTATACATTGTGGGAAAATTCATAGTTTTCTTTTATTAAAAATAAAACGAATTATAAAATCACAAAACCTTATTTTTTTTTATAGAAATACCACCTTCTTCTTTAATTCGAAAATTACCAGGGCCATCGTTAAGCTAGCACAACTAAAGCTTCTGGATCCGAATGTTTGCTGATCTTTAAAGTACCAAAAAAGTTCGAATTCAGTTAGTTTCCCCAAAAAATCGAAGATGGAACACTTTTTAAAGGTTGTCTACCAAGTATTAAAAGAAAGAAAAGGGAAATTGCGAAATGATTATGAAAAAACCGACTGTGTAAAGTCCTCACGTTCCAAGTTAAGTCTCAATAAAATTTTCAAAGTTACGCAGTCAAATAAATCCTAGTTTGATTAATAAAGTTTTGTAGGAACCTAAACACTATAACATATAACTGTAGAGCAGGTTTTTAAAACATTTAAAAGTTCCTCACAGGACAGATGAGTTGTTAAAAAGTTCAAATCCTCATAAAACAAGTTGTTTTCCTACCACAAATATAACTATAAGCGTAAAACATCAATGAAAAAAAAATTATATTATAGGGGGAAAAGAGGTTTATATTAAAACTTTAAAAACAAACTTTTTGGCTGCAAAAAGTGAAAAAACCAATAGCATTTGATATATTCATGTGAACTGCGAAAGGCTCCAATTTCTGTTAGATCGAAAGCGAATATTCTTTTTAAAGTTTATAAAAAAAAAGTTGCTGATTTTTCTACAAAAAGATTTATAAAAAACAAAGACATTTACGCTATAAGTTATATATATGACAGAAGTAGAAATTACAAAAGTAATTAGTATATTAGGGTTATACGAATCTTCTAGCCCTACACGGTATAACTACTAACATCTAATATGATGTGTACAACATCACCACCTATATTTTCCAGTTTATTATATTATTTATTTATAACAATAACATTACAGAGCTATAATTATAGCTTTTAGCCGCTTTCTCACTATGTATGCGTACATCCCTTCGTGTTCAGAGAGGGCTTCACGTGACTCAGCTCGGCAGAGGACGAGGTCACTTCCTACAGTCGCCAGGTTCGTAACTTAGAATATTCTAAACTAGAAAGTTCTAAGGCGTGCTAATTCAAAGAAAAGTTTTCTCGGGAATAAATTAAATTTAATAAATTTATTTATAATGTGAACCCTTTATATCATAATAAAGCGGAGTTTTGGTACAAACCATGGAGCGTTTGTAAACAAATGAAATGGTGGCTTTTTATTAAACCTGCAGTCTTAAAAGTAACCTATTGAGGCGATAATCAGAAGAAAAATCATGGACAAATACTGAGAGAACAAATATTTTTATAAAAGAAGAACTTTCTTTTTAAGATTAAAAAACGGCTTTGTCTGTGTAAGCATGTATATAAATAGCTCGTAATTCGTTTTGTTTTAAAAGTATTGCTAATAGGTTACTCATATTAATTAGTATCTAGCACTATACCAGAACACTTAGCCTTACAACCATAGGAATCTTCTGGGTGAGTAAGCAACTCTTTGTCGGTGGGTCGCCCTTTTTACTTTTTAATAATAATCCGGATTTAAGAACGTTAGTGTTAATTTTTTTCAGATATTTTACTATATTTGAGAGACAAACCTGAAAAAGGTTATGGACCAATTTATCGCATCTAAAAGATATACTATTTGCTCCATGGTCTGCAAAAAGAAAGAGTTTAGTATTTTAAGTGTCCTGGAAAGTCAGACATGTAGACTGAAAAGGGATAGGGAGAATAAGATTGAGCCTTATGGAAACACTTCAGCTCATTGTTACTGGAAACTCTTGTCTTAGTTCTTCTTCGCAACCTACTCTACCTCAAATCTATATGATTAATTGTTAAGTGGTCTTGCAAGTTTTAGTGCAAGCGCAAACTTGAGGAGTGATGCAAGTTGTTTACCCTCTTGATGGTTGTGTGGTTCTTAGTGTTAGTTCTATTCTCTTCTGTTTCTTTTGTTCTTCTCTGTTACCGTTGACCTAAGTTATTTATAAAAATATTAATATCTTCTGAATTTGCAGTATTTGTAACAGTAACTCTGGTAGAAAAGGAGGTTTAAAAGTGATAAGGTCATACATTCGAGAGGTATTTGGGAATGTCTTCAATTCGAACAGTACTTCCATCACACCTGCTCCCTTATTGAATTTTTGTTTCCTCGTGGCATTCATGACAAATTGGAGAAATGAATCCAGTGGAAAGACTACTTTAAAGTCAAAATTGTTTTGTGAATCGTGTGAAGGCAGGTAATAAATTTTTAAAATAGTAAAAGTAAAACAGCTTAAAACTTTTTCTACTATAGAAATACTATTAATAGACCTATAATCGACTACAAATTTTTTTCTATTAATATAACCAGTTTTTATATAGTCAATTAATAAAATTTAAAATGTTATTTTGTTAAGTTTTTATTAATATTATGAGGTTATCAGTTATTAAGTTTATGTTTTCCAACTTTTCTTAAAAAGATAAATTACATCTGGTGCAAGCCTTTGCAGACTTTATTATATACGAGAGTATATTACAAACAGCCTTAGGCAAAAGAAAAATTTTTTGAATTAACTTATTTTTACTGTCGCTTGAGTGCGCTTTTGTATTACACCCATTTTGAACAATTCAATTTTTGTCTGCAATTCTAAATGTCTATAGTTTTTAACATTTTCCTGTTTATACAAAAACTTATGGCCTACACCTAGCACACTACCTTTAACAAATTCCCATCCCGTCCTAGGTAGCCACTTGAGTGTCTTTGACTTAGCATTTTTATTATTGTTTTTTATACCACTCTTTTTAAATCCATCTTATACCATTAGATACTTCATTTATATTGTACTGATCATAAGCTGATTCTGCAAGGTAAGTTCATCTCATTACTTGAAAAGGTTATTAAAATCTTTATTAGATAATTTTTGGTTTTTTATGGTTCGGCGGTTGCGTATAGGTAGTAAACATTTTTAGATAACAGCTAGTTAGCAATGGTAAAGAAGTCGTCCTTTTGTAAAGTTAATTTATTTATTTACTTACATTAATCTCATCAACTAGGAAGTTTTTTTATTACTATAGAGGTAAGAGTTGTAGTATAAAGTTCTTACAGCATTTAAAGATTCCGCTCTTGCAAGATATGGCACTCAAAACGGAACTATATTAATAAATTGTCCCATAGATTTCTACAATGTTTATTTAAATTAATTACTATTGTAAACGTTATTATATAATATAATTTAATTCTTCGCTATAATATAGAACTGACTTTATTGTTTAAGCTTTAACGCATTATCTAAAACTTTAATAAATAAAAGTATAGGAGACAAGTCTTCACTCCATCTGATATCTACATCACTAATATTTAGATCTTTTAAAAAAAAATTGCAAATAATTTATATTTTGAGATAATGGGGGCGGCTTTTAAGGTTATCAATCCTTATGATAATTTTCTAATAACTCTATATGTTATCCAATTCTTAATAAACAATTTTTTTGACCGTCAGGTTTCTGAAATGAAAGCTAGCTCCACCTTTTTTTTTTTAGCCTTTAACAAATTTTCTTAAATTTTTTTTTTGCTATTTATGTAGGGTAGCGGTCTATTAACTTTTAGATAAAAACCACATTTCTGCAATAAATGTGGACGCTTTTTATATCAAATTTTTAATTATCATTGCAAAAAATTGTTAAGAGCAGAACAAAACGACGATAGGACTTAGTACAGCAAGCAACGCAAGATCAGGCACATTAATTGGAAACTATAAAAGTTTAAAATATTAAGTAATAAACAAATTTTTGTATAAGGATATAGAATTATATTTAATATTTTAACAAATTAGAAAATTTTTGACGTTTAATTACTCTTAATTTACTAATCAAATTGAAGCGCCTATACAAATACTGAGCTACAAAGAAAAGTAATTATTAAACTGCTTTGCTTTTACAATCTAACAACGGCGATGGTGCAGGATGCGCATTATACACATGTAACTACTAATATAGGTTACTAAAAAATGTGAACAGTACACATTTCTTTTCGGGACTCCCTGTTAACACTTTGGTACTTTATAAGGGTAGTTTCCTATCTTGTTGTCCGCCTTTTTCGCAAATGCATTTAAAACCACCCTTAATCCTCTTAGTAACTTGCTTATTACCAAGTTTTTCATTCTTCGGTAAGCGGAAACACTAAGACCCGAGTTGTTTCTCTGTGCTAGCTTCTACTACTAAAGCACAAGAATCATTGCTAACTAGAATAAAATATTAGCTATGGAATGAGTTGACATCTTGCATTGTTATCTATATCTGCACAAGTAATTTGCCCTCCTTCTTTTAATGGGTATTAGCACTGTTGTAAACCTTTTGAAGGCCACTGGGCGTCATGAAACTCTCTAAAAATGATGTATAAGAAAATAGGACCTTGTTCCCTTTACTGTTGCTTGCGCATGTACCTGCATGCTAACTATACTTTTTTTTATCAGGTTTACCTTTTTTGCGGAGACATGCGTAGGCAACCTACCTATTGCTTCGATCATCGCGAGGTACACTGCGGTGAACCTTTTAAGAAACATTTTTGTCAGCGGTCAGTCAAAGCTCGTAGTGGGAGCACTTGGCATCTCTTGCATTTCGCTGTTAGCTATATCTCGCAGCTTTTGTAACAGGTAGTACACTCTTGATTAAAGTAAGGATAGCTTTTTGCCCTTAGGTTAATCTCGTAAAGTTGCCTAAAAAGATTGGATTATATATGAAATTCAGCAGTTCTACTGTAAGGTAGTTTTTATCGAACTGCTTGGAGGTGTTACTTAAACTAATTAGTTGGTATCCTAGTATCGATCCGTCACGGTGGATCACCGTACGTTGGCTGAAGGCATATCATAAAGTAGTAACTGACATTCCTTTTGGTGTTTAGTAACCCTTTACTATATGGGGCTCCCTTTAGCTTGAGATGAAACATAAAAGTAGGCTTGAAAAATATCTTAACTTTAAAGGAATGGTGAACCCCCACTCCCCTCCGGGTCGTGACTATGGTTGCCGTGCTTGTGACCTACGCTTCAACCCGTCCAATCTGAGAAGTCAAATCTCCAGGACCTCGGTTAGTCTGCGGTGGGTGACTAGAAGCCTAACCGTACTGCACCCCCTCCCCCTTCTCTTACAGGAAATAAGCCCTTTAAAATGGTAAAACCTTACGTATACAACAGACCTGAGAAAGGTTTTAGATTACCTTTGTCTTGAACAGGTTTGACTTCTGATTACAGTTTCACTTGAGCTACATTTGGAGGGGAAAGTGGTCGGATTTTCATAACTGAAGTTAACCGCAGTGAGGAGTCGTCTGTTGCATAAAACTATTCGGAGGCTAATTAACCTTTTAATAAAGAGCTGCTACTATTGGTGTACTACTGTACTGCCTGTGCTTTGCTCCTTGCGCTTCTCTACTTGGGGCCCACAGATCCTTTGCTGTGTGCAATTTGAAGGTTAAGTGACTTGAATACATGTAACTTAACTTAGGCGAATAGTTGCGGACGAAAGCTGTGGTTTTTTTAGGTTCAGGTTATGAGTGGTACGTAAACAATGCTATCGCATCGCTTCCAGATGCTTCCGAACTAGCTTTAAACTGTATCTGAAATTGTGCATTGCCCTTTGATAGTATGCAAGAATTGCATATCTCAACTTTGTGACAAGTGCTCTAGTAGTTGGTAGATTAAGCTAAGTTATGCCTAAGTTTGGCTGAGTGCTTGTTGTTAGTTGTGACTAATATAACAGTGCTTACTTCTAATAAATGGTCGCGTTAGTATAATACTGGTAAAGGATAGTGTTTAGATAGTGTTGTTTAGTATATATGTGTGTCTGGGCTTCCCAATGCATTGAGTTTAAAACTCGAAGGATGTAATCCAAGTTTGCATTTAAACACAGTAATCAAAAGTCACTACGAGGTATAATTAGATTTTTTAACCTAGTTAAGGTGTCCAAGTAGGTGTGTTGCGCTAGCTTCAAAGTATCATGTTCGTTGGCATCCTTATCTCTCCTAATAGAACATTAAGTAGGAGTTCTACCTAACATGACCTGTGGAAGCACAATGTAAGTTTTAAAACTATGGTTGTATGGAAGTAGCAAATAACTTGGCATTTAAATGATGTCGTGCATGGCTAGCAACCCTATGCTATCTCGGTCTTCCTTTACCTTGCGTTGAAACGCTTAAGGATGCTATTCAAAGCCGCTTTTGTAACAATTATAAATAAGTATATAACCTCGTTCTTACACACAGGAATACTTCTGAGCAATGGCTTAAAAGTAGAAGTAGTATGCTAGCTACCTGTATCTTTAAGAGCACGCATCTTCTTTGGCTAGCTCACTATCCTCATTGGAGCACTACTGAAGAAACAGGGTAAAATAATAAAATTATTGATTCTAGGTAGGTAGTTGTAATTGGGGCATTTTCTAAAATCACTCGGAGAGCTTTTCTCTAAAGTAATACGTTAAGTAATGTGCTATTTGATTGATTCGATCGGTTGAATCTGGCATTTTAGATCAAAAGTTTATTGCCTGCTTCTTGTCTAGTGCATAACAGGGTATGAAGTTATAGAGAATAGAGAATAATACACTGTATATAGTGCTCTTTCCAAGTCTATGCCCCATTTGTGTGCTGTAGTTAATTTAACTTACTGACCAATGAACTTGAAACTTTTAGTATCTTTGGAATTTGTTTATCTCTAAAACCTTAAATAATAACACTTGATACAAAAATCCATTAAGTTTTCCTCTTAATACAAAATTTTACTTTATTGACTCTTCTAAATAAATCTGAAAAGCTTGCCTTAAATTTAGATATAAAAATAGAGTAGACTTACTCTCTTTTCTAATGCTCAAAAAGTCAAAAGAAGTTTTACAATTTACTAAAAATTGTCATGTTATATACAATATCGACTCGTGTACTTTGTAACGAATTAAGCACCCAACCGTGCGGCCTCCTCTTTTTAGAACTTACCACAAATCTCAACATAAAAAATTTTGTTGTACAGATTTTATTTTTATGTGTGGGATACATAATACTACACATAGTGCTGATATAGAGGGTCTCATACATTCTCCATAATAGCATTAGTATCGTTTTTAGTAAGTTAGTTAATAACAGCTCTTCAACTATGAAATCCATAAATATAACGGAATTTGGACATAAAAAAGGGGCCTTAATCTGTTGAATTCCTTAGCTAACAAAAACTATTTAGATGAGGTTAAGTTTGTAGTAGTCCTTTGATGTGGCATTATTTATCTTAGTCATCACAATAGTAAATATTAATTTTACAGTTAAACTTGAGAAGAGCATTGTCACGAAGAATGAGTAGGACAGAAAAAATAAAGTACACTTGATGCATTAAAATTTAATAAACGCTGTGGGCTCCCCATAATCAAACAGGCTGAACTAATATAATTATGGATACATGTAACAAAATCTCAGATTGCCTTGCACACCTCCAAGTTTGATGCTGATATGCCTCCTGATTACCAGCGGTATATTCTTTTCAGACGGCAGACTCAAAAAGATGAGTAACGGGGCTTAAAAGTTAATCTTTAAAAAAAAAAACTACAGCGTGATAATTCCCAAGCTATAGGAAAGGTACAGGTTTAAGAGAGATATCAGAAAGTTTTTTGACTTGCAATTTGAAAATCAATGTGTTTTGCAATAATAAATGAGCATGGCAGATCTACTAACCTATTAAGGCGCTCACAAGTCTTACATCAGGTAAGGGTAAAGTGATAGTGTGTAATTAATCAACATTTCCTTATATGAATTAACCGACAGCACGAGCGCTGCTTAAAGTACTTTAAACGCTGTAACTTGCCTACACGTTTTAACAACTTCCAAAAGTTATTATTTACAAATCTGCCTGGAATTATTTTGAGCAGAAGCTCAATAGTGAGATATTATTTAAATTTTTTTTTTACTTTAACTTGAAAAAACATAGGCTGTCTAAGTTTACCTTGTAAATCTTACCGCACCAACCCTTAACGCCATCGCTTTACCCTAAGCTCGAGAATTATGTAAATTTAGTTTTGTTATATGTAGTCAAGGGCTGACTGTATTAAGCACAACACTAAGAAACTATAAGCAAGGAATACTGTGCGCATCAAGCTCTACTTTTTCAAAGTCTAATTGTTAGTGCCTGATAGGTGGCGGGTGTTGTGCTACTCGAACCGTTCAGAAGCAATTTTTTTATATATATAAATTATAGATTTTAATCTTTAACTAACCCTATATTGGCTTCTTTATAACATATTATATACTGTATTACTTAATAGTTCATAATAAATGCCTTCGAAGTTTAAAGTCTATAGATCACTAAAGTACGGACTTAATCAACTCAGGTGCCCGGCGTGCTAAATTTAATATACCGATAATTAGAGTTGTCTTGTAGCTCAGAAGTTAAGAACACTGACGTGTAAACTGAAGGTCCAGGGTTTAACTACCACCGACGCGATTATTCAAAGGGTTGTTTATATAACCTCGCCCCACCTACCGTACCTTTGGCCAGTTTCTCGCGAGCAAGCAGTACCGACAGATTTTGTGCTTAGAACTGCCCATTAGCTTTTACAGTTGCCATAAGTCTTTAATAAAAGGAAGGTAGAGTAAGAGCTTTTAACTCTATTATACTCCCCATTTCTTTTAAGTAAGCTCTTCTCCACCGCACTGACTGAAAAATTCTTTTAACTTTAATAAGGTTTTTCCATAAGAAATGTTAAAGACTTTATTCACCTAAAAACTTAAATTAACAACGTAAGTTGTCTCAAAAAATATAAGGAAAACATAAGAAGGTCTCACGAATATAGGATAAGTACAACCCAACTGTAAATACTACCGTCTTACAAATATTTAGCTTTCAAGTTCGACGTTTCCTTCTTCTACTCGGAGATTTACTAAGTAAGTCACTAGACCGAAGTTTTCTAAAAACGCAGTGATTTAGGTAAATTGTCTCTATTCATGTATCTCTCTTGTGTGGTGGAAATGTGACGGCGTTGCTCAATTCTACTGTATCTAGAGCGGTGGCAATCACTCTTACGCGCACCAGATACAATTTTTTCGGCTCTTCTACTCTCACTATTATCTACCTTTCTACCTTCCGACTGCAGCCTTTCTTTATTACTTTTTCGTTTTCCAGGCTCTCTAAGAGAACACTTCTGCGTACGGTTTGGAGCTTTTCTCCTGCTGCTAAGACTCCTAGAATTAGTAGCAACGCGATGAATTGCCTCCCTACCAGAGGAAAATACATTTTTCTGCAACTACTAGCGAGATCACTAGATAAACAAACCTTTCTTGTGCAATGTTTTTTCCCGATTCAAAAGTACAAACCTCTTTTAAATCTCTCTTGCTAGTTTTCATTTTTTCTAAATTACAAAGACTGCTGTCAAAAGTATTATTTTCATAAGGACTATTAATGGTGGGTCGGCTAGGGGCCAGTCTCTCTTTAAATTAGGCGACTGTTTGTAGCGAAGAATATCATTATTTTGGTAAATACAGTTGCGATCTATCTCTTCGCCGCCGCTACGCCTCCTATCAGAATTATTACGCTTTTTCAAACAAGTTTTATCGGTTTCTTCTAAACTATTTATAACAAAATTGGAAGAATTAGTACTGTTAAAAAGTAATAAGGAGGGCTGAAAATCTCGGTGTTCGGACAGCAAAGCGTTATGCGAAACAGCAGCTGGCGGAAAGGAATCACGCCTATTTGTCTTTTTATCAATCCCCCTTTTATTCTCACGCCGTTCTTGAGACTCGCCCGTGCTTATTTTACCACTACTTAACTCTGAAGCCGAATTTCTAAACTCTTCTTGTTTATCTGGATTTTCTGCGTCTGTTCCGCAAAGTGCAGAGTGAGCGCGAAATTCCAAGACTCGGAGTCGAACGGCCTCGTTTGGAGCGAGCTTGACAGGTGATACGCGCTCTCGATGGCAACTCGGACACGTAAAATCATTTTCCAAAAGATGTTCACGAATACCTAAAAAATAAAAATAAAAAATTATTTAAGGTGTGCACGGTCGCAATAGTATTTAATAATAAATAAATAGTTATAGAAAGCATACAAGAATCGCAAAAAAATTTTCCGCAGCAAGGCGTGTCTACAGCATCAGTTAAAAGTTGGTTGCACAGAGGGCATTGCAATTCGGTAGGCACAGGAGCCTCTCCTCCGACGCTACCCAACACGGTGGATTGTCGTTCCCACTCGTATCTACCAGAAGCAAAGTATATTGGTGCGGTATAAGGAGGGAAAAGTCCAGGACAAGGTAGCAATACTTTAGCGATAGTACCATTCTTGGGTTTATTTTTAAAACTAAAAAAGATGCAGGGCCTTTTATGAATGCTAAGTTACTTAGTAACTAGTTTTACTTCGATAAGGCATTAATACTAAAGTTTACAAAAAACAACAATTTAATATTTTAAAGGCCTACAAAAAGTTAAAACATCTTAACTTAGATTATTATATTTCGAACAATGAAACCTCAAGTTTACCAGATTAACGAATAAACAAAGAACCTATTAGCGGTCGAAACTGCGTAGGTGCCATCAGGCATCAACATAGCTCCTTTAACGTGCTCCCCCTCCTAACATCATAATACGTAAGTACAGAAAAAAAGTTTGCTTAGAACTTAAAACAGTTTACCTCAACTTTTTTCAAAAAAACTTTGGGAATGCCAGTTGGCTTCTTTACTTGCTCAGTGTTGGGACAATCAACTATAAAATGCCCTGATAGAATATTTATATGGAACGAGTGAGATGGTAATTAAGAAGTTCAAAAGTAAAATCCCAAAAAGAGCTCTAATAAAACGATAAATATAATAAGCATAAGCAAAAAGGAGGAGAACGACTTACCAGGCTGATAACAGCGATGACAAATGTAATGCAAGGGAACTTTTTTAGGCACAGTTCTACCGCCTCTAATAAATTTAAGGTAAAATATAAATGTTTTAACTTACAAGTTAAATAACATACGCATGTCTTTTTAGTTCTTGCCCAGATTTTTTAAAAACCTGATCAAGTTTGTCTTCCTCAGTTAAAAAGGCCTTTTTTGCCTAAGGAGTGAAGAAGAGAGACATTCATATTATAGTACGAAACCAAATATTTTATGGTAGAAAGAAAAAATTAAAAAAATACAACAAATATAAGATTACATTGTAAAAGACAGGCCTTGATTCGCTATCCCAAAAAATTTTGTCATCGAAAGGAAAAGTTAGTTAGCAAAGAAAGTATGGATTATCAAATCTGAAGTTATATTTTACGTTGAAAGTAGGAAAGTTCCACTGCTAGCTGATGGGATACGTCTGACAATCACACAAGTATTACGGGGTATAAGCTCATGAGAATCTAAGTATTCTGTTATAAAAAAGCTTATAACGTGCTCAAAAAGACCTTAAAAAAAGGTGGCAATTAAAAAAATAGGTAAAATAAGTTTAGCCCTAAATAAAAGTGGCGGATTCAATAAGTTTTACTAATAGAGGTTAAACTTAAATTTAAAAAAGTAGTACCTTCACCAGTTTGAGCATTAAAAATTAATAAGTCCAAACTCCCATCACCAGTTAACCTATTAGCTTCTGCAATTTTCTGCTTGAGCTCCTTCAAAGTTACACCAACACCATCAAAAGTTATAGTTGAAAAAGTCTTGTGAGCTGAAAATTTGTAAAAAACCGAAGACATCGACTCGGCAAAAGCACAACTCCTTGGATTAAGCCTTTAGTTGCAGAGAAGAAGCACCAGGCAGATATCCCTAACAAACGAGGTCTAATTAGTAAAAAGGGCCCGTGTTAAGCTGAACTTAAAAAACATGCGTTGCTTTTTTCCGTTTACATAGCTAAATTAACAAGGTCGGGAGGGTAATAAAAAATGATGGTTAATCATTTTAAAAAATAGATTTACTATTGGTTCTTCGCTTTAAATTATAGGTTCATACATATGTAATAACTTATGCTATAACCAGACAGAAAATTAAGGTGAAAGCCCCTTTCTAATAGGGATCTCACCTTAGGAGAAGGTAATAATCATATACTAAGGCATTTGGCCTTTATAACTAGTGTCGCATATCAATAGCTCTAGTATTTTATTATTTAATCTTTACTGGGTTTTTTAATACCAACAATTTAAAGGATAAAGACTTATACTAAAAAAAGTGATCAAGAAGTAAATAAGGGGACTGAAGTATCAACTCTAAAGAAAATAACAATTGATGCAATCACTAATTTAAGTTATGTAGTCAATAATAAAAAGGACAAACAGGAAGTTGCATTCCTCGTTTACACTTGAAGTACTCCAGCTTGCTTGAGCAAATATAGGTTATATTCGGTCTACATTCTAAATTTAGACTGTTTTTATATTTCTTTAGTTAAATAGTAACTGAAAATTTTTCTGCAGATGGCGTTTTCGAAAGGGGTTAAGTAGAAAAACTTTTTTTTTTAAATTTAGTATCAAGACCCTTTGTAGATTGTGAAAAGGGTTTAAAGTTCTTTTACTTTATAAATTTGTTAAAATTGTCGAAATTGTTCGTAACTCCAAAAAAGGACACCTCCACTTGGGAGCTTTTACCCGTTTAGTAGTACACAAGTTTGAGTGTCTTCGAACCTCCGCCAGACGAAAAATTACGTGTCACGTCAACTCTTAACTTTAAAATCGTCCATAAATAATTTAGGCCTGCATAGTTTATAATAATAACTTCTTAGGCATCTTAGAGCTGAAATAGATATCTTGTGGTACCTGAATTTCTCTTTTAAAATTATATAACTTCAAGTCTGTAAGGTTTTTATTTAACTATATTAATATTTAACTGGTACATAAGCATTTGCTAACGAATATACCCTTTGAAACCCTACATGTAAATATTGTGATCAAGTGCCCCGGTTACTATCTGTAATACACTCTTGCATCTCAAAAAGAGTGGGCTCGGGTTTACGATATGTCCCCGTTCTCAACATCATACCGAAAGGACCCTCCCCTCCAGCGGCGACTAGTCCGTTGCGAGAGATGTTCATTTAAACCTGGGGTCTTTCTGCTATGATCTAGCGTGCGTCCTTTGCCTTTATCTCATTTACTCAAATTTATTTAATTGCGACCAATGGGTTTCCAAAATCGTCCATTTTCATATTTACGTAACTCGTAAACAGCTACTTGAGGCTTATCACCTAGAGTAGGGTTCTCTGATTCTGTTACCTCCTTAAGACCCCTTTTTATCTACTTTTTCCAATTTCTAAGTTCCATTTTTATTTTTAAGCTTAGTTATAAATTCTATTCTCGCCTATGAATAGCACAACTTACTTGTGCCATAGTTCTAATCTTATTCTAAGATCTAAGTTGTATCTTTCCGCCATATTAATTACCCCTTTTTTGATTCAACTGTCTTAGCTTCTAGAGAATTTAATTGTGAGCGCATACCATCTTTAGAGAATCTTACTACTACAGGGATTGTTACAAGCTCAGAGATCCCTGTGCAGAATTTTTTCTCTAAACTTACTAAATCCCGGTGTTCCCAAGACCCTAACGCTTGGCACTAAGGAAAGCTTAGACGTCTTAGGCGTTTCGTGTATGTTATTCTGTTATATTTCTCTACTAAAACAATAAGAACTAGAAACTGCGGTGGAGAAAGCGTTAAGTCAAAAAGTAAAGTAATACAAACCCAAAATTAAGAGAACAGGCCGCAACTAGAAGCGCTGAAATAAATTGCAAGATTAAAGAATAGACTTACGAAAGAAGCTCAGGTGGTTGAAAGCAATGACAGTCACCAGATGTGCACTATATTGTAGTGAGCTTAGCAGAAATTATCTACAAGGGGATACTTGCATCAATTTTAAAAGGAGAAAATTTATCATCTATAATTTTTAAGGTAAAAAAATCTAATTACAACAGGATAATTTTTCAAACATGAAACAGGGCCAAAAACAAAGTTTGAACGTAGTTAAACCCCATGTTTCTCTGACCTGTCTTTGTTCATTTGAAGCATTAAACTTAAAGCTGAAAAATAAAATGCGGCTTCACAAAAGGGCGTCTGTCAGTTGGTTCAAACAGCTAAGTTCTTGTAGCTATTTGCTATATCTCTATTCTAGTTACTAATGTAGCGGTTTTTACCTTTGTGGAAGATAAAATAAATAGCTTTTTCAGTTGAGAGCACTTATAGTTTATATACAGCTTTTAGCCAAATAGAAGGACCAGAAGTTACAAAACTGATGCCTGCTACTAGTGTATGCTCGAGCTAAAGCTGTAGAAATGCTCGGTGCATTTTTAGTTATATGTTTACTTTTGTTCGTAGGTACACCCACATTCGTTGTTATCAACTTTTTTTGTTCTCTTCCCGTAACCCAATGACATGTCTTTAATTATATCTTGATTAACTTGGGAAGAGTTTTTAAGGTTATAGCACTGTTTAAAAAAAAACTCCGCTGCGTAGGTTATTACCCAGGGTTTACTAGCTACTACTTCATACTCTTGAAGTGTACCACTGGCCGCGATGTGTCACTGAGAAACGACGTTTTCGCATATAGAATTTAATGGATTCAAATATATTAGCTAGATTGGCGGTTGAAATCTACAATATTTTGAGTTAGAATGTTATGGAGCTGCACTAAGCTCAGGTGTCAAAGTATATAGGTGTGTTTTTGACGGTAAACATAAGTTAGCAGCGCTCTGAGAGATTGCTTTGTTAAACTAAGCAAACAGCAGTAATATAAGCAGTTGGAGGCTTCGTAATGCTCGTAACGACTGATGATTGCGAAACCTCAAGTCGCCTTTGTGAAATGCGGCAAAGGAGCATACGTTGGTGTTGAAACTATGATCAAGGCGTTTTAATCAGGTACCTAGAAATCGATTGAGAGCTACAAATTAAAAGCTCGATTACAAAGAAAGCAAAAAAATTGTTTAGTATACGAAGATTATCGATAAAAATTTTAGGTCGTCTTTAGCAAAGAATGAGTTCCATTCTCTTCAAAAATCGGTAAAAAGGCTCAGTTTTTCATTGATTTAGTACTGCCTCGGTCGCAAGTTAAATTAAAATATAAGGCATATAATAATATTAGAAATTGACGTGTAACTATAATTCGAACTGATAATCATTAACCAGGAAGTTAAGTAAAAATTTAAAATTATATATTAATGCTATCGAAAATTTGTTAAAGTTTTACGTTGAGAACAAAATCTAGCACAAAAACGCAAGTTACCATATATACCTGCCAATAATACGGCTACTAATAGTTTATTTATCTTAACTAGTGGATGGCTTTCATTGGAGAAGATAATATAATCTATATAAGTTTGAAGTTTTATACGCTCATTAACGAGGGCGGTGGAATTTGCAGCGCTTATCCTTTGGCTGATGCGGTTTCGCTTCTCTCAGGGCGCAGTATGAGTTCTTGAAACTACATGATGATGTCACTGGCTCGTCCGGTTAGAACCTCGGCGCCGGGCAAAGTCATTTTACACGGAGAGCATTCAGTTGTTTACGGAAAAGTACTTACCTTATAGTTTATTGCATAGAAATTTAACGTGCTTTTGTGCTTTCTTTTTCTTTATTAATTTTAAAATTTTTTTTTTTGCTTATGCTAATTTATAGTTATTTTTCTTCTCATTACTTTTATATTATCCACTCTTGTATTTGAGTTTTTAGCTTTTAAACTCATTCGCAGATTGCTTTCTCCGCAAGCTTAAATCTCCGCACTAGCGTTAGTTTTCACCCTGAATGCGTGTCCAAGAAGCCTGGCTTGCTAGTGTTTAAATACACTGACAAGAACTTAAAGTCAGATTGGTCCTTGAGCTTAAGTACGCAAAAGCTTCTTTCCCTCCTACAAAGGGAAAAAGATTTGAAATTTTCTATGTTGGAGGATAAACAAAAGGCTCCACACTTTGTAAATAAAGATCTGGTTCACTTTATAACTAATTTTTTGGAAGAATATACCTCGGTACACCTCATACACTTCATATCTACTTTTTTAATAAATTTTTTTTTTATCAGGATAACACAAAATTGAAACCCCTGCTTGTATTTTTATATGTCTATTTGCTTCTTTTTCTTTCCCACGATAGACTCAGGTCTGATGGACATAGAATGCCGTCTTAACGCTTGATAATACTGAGTAAAAAAGTTTAATAGGTTCGGTTGTCTCTGTGAGTTCGGAAATACCATTGGGTGCCGGTCTTGGTAGTTCGAAAACGAAGTGTTAGAAAGTATGTTTTATTGTTGACAACTCTAATTTTAGGATCTTCAGCCGCTTACTGCGTTGCGCTTAGTTCATGCCTCCTTTCTTCAATATCTATCATCTCGGTGATATATGAAATCTATTCGTGGTAGCTTTTATAATAAAGATCCTACAGTGTCCGCCGGCTACAGGAGGTCAACGCTTTTACCGTTGGCCTCAAACTGACCTAAATATTATCAACAAATGGGCTTTCCTTTTAGAAGCACTAATCCACGGGGTACCCTCGGGAATTGATAATACCGTTTCTTGTTTTGGTTAAAAATATATTATAAGTTAAACAAAACCTATTTTAAAGTATATTTTACGCTCAGGCGGCTGTATAAAGTACTGTCGAGACTCGAGTATAACTTTAAATATATTAGAACGATGTCGTATACTGCTGGTCAATACACTCGTCTCCAAAGATACCAAAGTATTTCCAAGTCTGCTTCATCGAGAGAACTAAACGAAGCTTCCTCTCTTAAGGTTCTTGTGGAAAAAGTGCGCCAGCGAAAGGAAGAGTTTCCCGACCTGATTCAATCGATTATGGCCTCAATAAACGAAATTTGTGTTCAATTTGAAAAGCTTTGGTTCGCTTTGAGTCAAACTAGTGAAAGTACGTTGTTTTCTTAGCTATGACAATTCTCTTTAGTGAAGTGTTTAAGTTATTATAATGCTCGTGCTAAATGGAAAACTTCCATTTAGGGGCAAAGAGGGACTCGCTTTATTCTAAATTAGAAGTACTTGCCAAGTTATTTATTACATCCTGCTGTCTTGTCAAACTTTGTGTTATTTACTGTAGACTTTGATCGATGTGAATCAGAATTTATTAAACGCTCTCGGGGTAGGTCATCCCTGTTTAGACAAAGTGTGCCACTTAAGTTTGAAGTACGGCTTGCACGCAAAGTTAACAGGTTTTTAATAAACAAATTATGGAAAATTAAAGTTGTTACTCTGCTTGAGATTAAGAAATTTATAACTACTGAAAAATAAAAGATTCGATTTCATGCATGACAAATACTAATAGGATCTGGAGGAGGCGGTTGCGCTTGGATACTCTTAACTGAAGGTCGTACTATAAGTTTCCCATCAGTAACGAGTTAACTGGTGGTCCCGTAGGCACCCCGCAGAAAGTTGTCGACAATCTAACGCGAGATCTTCAGAATGAAGGTCTTTGTCATATTGTTCTGGAATATAAAAAATATTAAATATGAAAAGTAGGATTTGTTAGCTGGGAAACAAGCATTGGGGAACTCGGCGTTTACCAAGAATTATAATAAAGAGATCAGTTTGCATCTACACGCTTTATTAGTCATTCCTGCAGACTAAAAAACAACTTTTTTTTCACTGGGAATTAAACTTAAAATTTTCTTGCAAAGATCCATCGAAAAAGTAATATTAACGGTTGAGTCGCTTTCTGCCGAGGAGTGCAATGCCTCGCTTATTTGCTCAAAGTCCCTGAGGACTGCGCCAAAACAAGCGTTGGCCTCGTGCGCAAGTTTGCTTCGGTCGATAGCTTTAATGAGCCTGCCAACAGTAGAAAAATTACACTGACGGCAGGCGGATGTGTACTTTGAATAACCTCAACTCGCTCAACTTTACTGGGCCAACTCTTGCCGAAAAAGTCTCGGGCATGCAGTCAGCGTGGGTGGCAGCTGCCTCCTCGATAAAGAAGCGCAGGTGCATCCACACAATGCTAAGAGAGTGCTCAACAATGTCTTAAAGAAGGCAACTTCACACGCATAACAAATATATTAGAATGCAGTCGTACATATCAGAAGCTCCATAGTGCAGTGGGCAAAAAGGGCGGGCTCCTGGTAGGCAGGGTTGGCGGGGAGCACGCGGGACTTTAAGCTGTGCACAGAAAGCCGCAGGCACAATGCCACCACTGAAAGTGGGCACATGCCGTTTTTTTCATCTAAAATTATTAAGATGATGGTGGTAAGCAAGGTGATCAGAAGGCAATGAAAACCGTATGCCGCTGCTTCAGTAAAGTTCAACGCATGTTTCAATGTGGGAGTGAACAGGGGCGTTGGCTTGCCGCGTTCGTGTGCCACTTGGAACTGCGCCCGGCAGAACGAAAGTACATTGGCCAGAATGTGGGTTTGTAAAAAAGATAAAGATTTTTTGTCAAGGGCAGCCCAGCAGTAATTGGATGATTTTTGAAGTTCATGAGGTCTCATTCGTTCAGTAGATAAAGAGCGCGCGGCGTTAATGCAGATCTGTTTGGTGGAAAACCGTTCAATTTCGGCTCCATCAACGAAAATAATTTTGTTAGTAGATAACATTCTCTGCAAGGGAAGTTAAAAGGCCGGCTATCTCCTCGCACTCCATTAATCCGACCATCCCTTCGCACTGGGCCAGCACAGCATAGTACAAGAGCCCCGTCAGCAGGCTGCACAAAAGCATTCATTTAAAAAGAGAAAGCTAAACGGGATCTGCTATCGCCCTAACTTCACCTAATCTGGTACAAGGGGGTAAGGTTGGTCTCTGAAAACTCCTTTAACGTCCGAATGATGTCTTGATACTTTTTTCTGACGAATGATCCAATAGCATGGCAAACTTCATGGTTTCTGGTGCTCAGAGTGGTCTGGATGGTGCTAAGCAAGCGGAAGACTTGAGTGCAAACCCGGCTGTGAGGGTTCTCTGCGTGGGCGGTGTCCCCCTACAGTGGTTTGTAAGCCCGAAGACAAGGTAAGCAGCAAGGGTGTCCGACTACATACAAAAGCTGGGCCGGAAGTATTGCCGAACAAGAAAGAAGGAGAGAGACGGCCAATGATCCCTGTATTGTTGACAGCATGAATAAGTATTGCTAAAGTTATTTAAATAAGGGGAGTTCATGCACACACTGCGCCCCGAATTAAAGAATGGTACACTAAAAAACTAAAGGGTATACCAGAGTGAAGTAAAGCGTGCGCGCCTCGCACACTTTGTGCTACACTTGTTAAAAAGGAGAGCTTTCCTTCGAGTACAGCTAATGCATTCACAGACTCCGAACTCTTCTTTAAGGAGTATTAGATAAACAATTAACAAATAAAAAAGAAGAACCACTAGAGTGTCGCAAGTCAAGTTGTCTTCGAGATCCAATGAATGGACAAGTTGGCTAATAGCCCCACGGTCCGCTAAAAACTTTAAGCAAGGCGAAGCAGTAGCGCCGGGCTCACCGATGGCTTGTTCGCCCTCAGCTTGTAGTAAAGCGTCCAAGAAGCGGAGGGTAATGGCCACAGTGGTCATGTTGCCCTTCAGAGAGTCTGCTATTACCAATGGCAGGAGTGCTTTCAGGTCAACGCCTTTCAACAGCTGCGACTGTAATCGCCAGTGGGTTCCAAAGAGTAACAGGTACGCGGAAAACCTCATGGATCGAAGGATGATGATCGCCTGGCATGCGTAGATAAACAAGCAGACTACTGTACAAGTAAAACCGCGTTTTCTATAGTAGCAGATGGTATTTACTAGTAGCAAATAATTTGTTGAAGCCAACGTACTTGAGAGTCACGGGAATCCGTAGAAGTGGAACAAATGCAGTCCACGGTCGCAGTAAATAAGTCGGACAGCTAAAGTACACTAATTAAATAGGAGCTAACCAACAACAACCGTCATACTCTCTCGAACGGCGTTCGTGTATGGAGTTCTCTACTCAGTAAGCATGTGGTAAACGAGCGGAACAACAAACTATGACCCGGAAAACCTTAATTTGTTGGAAGAACGCAGTACAATAGAGGAAAGCGCAGTGGAAAATGATCCAATCGGAGAGCTGCGGATGTGAAGGAGAACGCCATGGAGGAACTCGTAGAGAGCCCCTACATTGTCCTGCGTCATGAATGGTGGATATTGCCAACTGGCTCGAGGAAGAATAAGCCAAAGCAAACCCGATCCGCTAAAAAGTGCAGAAACCGAATGCCCACAACCACGACTTCCTTCCACGAACAAAAAAGTAGTTCCTGCGCACTTTTTAATTCGAGCTTATAATTGGCCAAACTGTATCCACTCACAAGCTTAAAAGAACATATATTTCCGAATGCGTGCCTCTAACTGATTTCTAAATAGTTAGACCTCATGAATTTCAAACTCCTTGACATGAGAAAAATGGCGGAGCTTTTCGGTGATTTGTTCCGCAGGCATGTGCTGGTCTATAAAGCAATCTGTGTCAAATATAGACAAAGAAGGAGAAGCAGGAGGTTGAGACCTTTCAAAACTTCCTCTTTACTTTTGAGCTTCGCCGTTCAGGCAAGCGAGTGAGTAATTATATTAGTACGAGTGAAAAATATGTGACATCAGTGGCATCTACGCACCATTTCCTCCATAATCCGGTTACACTGTCGCCTTATGGCCGGCACGTCGTATATACAAGTCTTGCAATACAAATATCGCAAGGGGGATGGATCAACGGGTCATAAAAAATAAGACCTTCCGAAAACTTTTGGTTGTCAACTTTTCTAGCCGCTCGCAGCAGTTCGTCGACGGATAGACCGCGTCGTTGAAAGTGGTGCGTGTCAAGCTGGCTACTGCCTTCTTTACGTGGCGCACTTCTTCTTGGTAGCTTAGTATAGCGCTTAAAAGATCGAGCAGTTTGGACCTACTCCACAAGGAAAAAAGTCAGGAGACAAAGCATATTCACAAAATAAAACTTTTGCAACGGGAAAGTAAACGGATCCCAATTGCTATCCATATGGAAGGGGGCGAGAACACCAAACTTCTCGGAAAGCAGTGGTAACTCTGAATATTGTGCGGTGCACGTGCGCGTAAACAACATGGACAAAAGCTTTTTGCTGATCCAGCGTTCCGGTTCGAAGCGGCTACAAAGAAGACGAAGTTCATAAGCCAGACACTGGGAGTAGAACGCAAAGATTATAATGATATCTAGTGAAGTAAAAAAAAAAAAGGAAAACCCTCATAAACCAGCCTTGAATACGAAATAGTGATATCTTCTTCTCGTCAAAAAGACAACCTTCACAAAAAAGCTTGCCTTCTGAAAGGCTGCTGCATAAATTGCATCGACAGCATTGGTCCTCACAAAGCATAAAAGCAGAATTAGAGCAAAAATAGAAGAGACGTACTATAATACATGTAAAGGTAAACGGTTTAGGTGGGAAATGTGGTCGTTGGCAAGCTTTTCATGGCACTTCGCACAAATGTTGGAAGATGAGGTCGAATCACACGGTGCCGAGTCATTCGGCTTGGAACAAGCAAGCCAATGATGTTGCTGCTGCTGCTCTTCCCACGAGGAAAATAACAATAAGTGCTTCAGGTGATGACAAAAAAAGTCGTTGTTCTGATCAATAAAAGGCGAGCCGTATATTTTACTTCTCACACAACACAGCAAAACATACGGAGTTTCTCAGATACTGAATGGTGGGCTCGCTGGTGCAGGAACTCGTCATTAGAAAGTAAATCGACTCATAACACAACTCGACGAGGCGAGGGTGGCAGGAATAGTACTGCTCCCCTTCGTTGTGTAAGGAATCTTCCATTACGGTAAGAAGAGCATGGAGCAAAGAGCTCTCTTTCCTTGAAAGGTCAGTATCCTGCAAATAGAGTCACGCCGTGATAAAGTGACAGTGACATAATGAAAAAGTTTAAAAGCGCACACGGAGAGAGTCTAGACGGAAGCCAAGTAAAAAGTGGGCCATGTTAGGGGCTGCCAACTCGCGAAGGTTGTAAAGCACCAACCCAACAATGGCTTCCCGAAGAGCACTTTTACCGCTCACCGAGCTCCATTGGTCGCTATAAGAAGGTTGCGGCGCATACACCATCATTTTTTTAACCAATCCTGAAACATATCGATAACAGAAACAGAAAGCTACGCAACAGCTAAACACCTTTGGTAAGTGTGCTCCGCGAGCTGGGGGTTTGCTGAATGAAGGGGACAACTGAGCTAGAAAATCGGGGCGACCGGCAGCAGAAGTCGAGAAACTTCAAAGACTGCGAGCATATTTCCAAATTTAAGTCGTAATTAAGGAGCGTGGCGACCAGAGAAACTTGTAACATACATGCGAAGCTAAAGACACGTTAAAGAATTATAAGCAAAGACAGAGACCAAAATTCACAGAATTCGGCGCTGAAAGCTTATTTTTGGTCAATAGTTTTTCTTCCACCGGCACCAAGGAGAAGTGAGTGTGCGGGTCATCACGGAAATAGCGAAGAAAGGCGGACTGTATCTACATAACTAAGTTAGAGGCATGTGACTGGGATTTATATAAAACGCAAACCTCGAATATTCGGTTCACGACCATCAACAACACGAGCACACACGTTTCCATGGCGGTACTCACTTGGACCTGTTTTTCATCGAGAGGACTTGCCGAGGAGAAGAGCCTCCAATTGAGCTATTTGGTGGCCCAAGACGACTCTTAAGCCATTCAAGCAGTCTCATAACAAACTCACGTCATGCAGTACTTCTACAGATGCCTCTTCAAGTATGGAGAACAGTTGAGTGCTAAAATGTTCACGATCTGCGCTGAGTAGCTCGATCAGAACAACGCAACCAGCACTTGGTTGTCCGTTTCCTTTGGTAAAGACCATGACCTTCATCGTGTTCTACTAATATATAAGAAGGCATTACTGTGGTCAGCAAAGTCTGTTTCTGAAGGGGTATAGTCCAATAAAATCTGCTCGAGTATTCTCAACATTAACAAGTTGAGCTTCCACCTTTCATGTGAAACACAGTACAAACGACCATTGGACCTGAAACGAAAATGTAAGGAATAAGCAAACCCAGAGAAGCGATAGCTGAAGTGCGGCTAACCGAGGAAATAGGAGTTCCAGCAGAAAACAGAGATAAGGATTAAGAGGGGCCCAGTGGCGGTTGTTGTGACGACAAACCGCTAGGAAAAACTCCAAGAAACCAATTAGCTCGTCGTATTGCTGATCCTTCGCCAATACGGTTTCCACTTCGTATTTAAGCCTGCGAAAACGGTTATCGTGAGACCTCCTCTGTACCAAACAAGAAGTGTCGGGCACCCTTCCAAAACGACGGTGTCCTGAAAGAGGCCTCCCACGATGGACGCGTTCTGGTCAGTGGTAAGAGACGCAATAGCTAAAAACAATTCCGCTTTCAGTTCGTGCGGAACATTCATTTTCTCAATAAAGAAAAGTAAGTTTTAAAGCCACTAAGAAGATTTAGCTCGTAGGAAATCTTTCATCGAGACTTAACACAAAGAGAGTGATACTAAAAGCTATCTAACCAGCAAAGAGAATATCCACGGCACGCACTCAAAGAAGTGCTCGACAAGTCCGCTCGAGTGACGCCCCACGGTGCCAATGAGGCGGAGGATGGCCTTGAGACACTTAGCTTCCTCGGGATCAATAGCCCGCTGCAACGGCTGTCCCTCCCCTGGCAAGCGAATATAAAGATGGATAGCAACAGCCAACATAAAAAATTATAGAAGACCAGCGGAGTAAAGGCGAGGGGCCTCCACCCCATAATAAAAGAGGTGGTGTTTAAATTTATCCCAAGAAAGAAATCGGTAGACATCAGCGTGGCAGTTGAGCAGTTCAAAAAGGCGCTCTTCAGGCAGCAATATAAATAATTAGCTTGAAGTAATATAATTAAGCTCGAAATAAATAACCTGCAGCACATTTATTACGGGCCAAAGCCTCAAAAAGTTTAAGATAAGCCCTCAACATAGAGTGAGAAGTGATGTCGAATCGAAGCAGATCCACAATGTCAAATGAGCCGTCCTCCATGCAAAGGAAAGGCTAAAAGAGAAGAGCAGGAGGTGGGAGGGGAGGAAATACATGGCCCACTATATCGCAGGGGAAGAGAAGCTCAGCAGCGTCCGGAAAACAACGATACAAAGAGCTCAACGTTTTAATAAAAGAGTAGTAAAGGAGGGGCTGGCCTCTATTGCGACCGGCGTCCTCTTCTCGCAGTTTCATTATATGCTGGAACTAAATCACATAGTAAGACTGGACGGAAAAGATAGCAGCTTCATGGACACAAGAAAAGTAACAAGTACAGAGGTATAATATTTCTTCAAAAGACTCAGCAAAACCGTGACAAAAAACGGATTATCATCGGAGATGGTAAGGGGATACCTTTTCCTACAACTCAGTTCTGTTATATATAAATTGACACGGTTAAGCAAAGAAAAACCAAAACAAACAGATGAAAGAGAGGTAACGAATGAGTACCTGCTATGACTTTTTTGCGAACGAACGAGAGGAAGGCGTAGTGATCTGCATCACTAAGTGATGTTCTAGATTTCTCATCTGAAAAAAACGACTAATAAGCGCAAAACAGTAATAAAACTAAGAAATATGGCTCACCATTAGTAACTAATAAGTAACAGATTACTTTTATAACAGAGTGAAATTCTACGTCAACCCATTCGTTAATAGTAAGCAACTGAGTAAAGGATAAATAAGGACAAAAGGAGTAAACGACTAAAACGTACATTTCTAGCAAGAGAGGTCGCGTGTTTAAGATTATTATCTCCAAGGATGAGTAAACATTGAACTAAACAATGAAGAAGAACAGTAAGAAGTCGAAACTCAGTGCCAGCTTGTAAAGAAGCTTTCTTAAAAACACCAACAATTCTTTCAATAACTCCGATATTTGAAATCACTTCCAAATTTTTTCCTAAATCAGTATTTAACATCACAAGTTATCCTATAAACTTATAATGAATAATAAGAAAAATAGAATATGGAATACAGTAAGGCACCTAATAAAAAGTATATGAAAACAATTTTGCAAAAGATCCTACTAAGAAACTAAGATAGATAAGTAAAGGAAGGAAGTACTCGATGAAACAGAACTACCGGTGCAATAGTGGACGCACAGAAACACACAAGATGTGGTATACAGGGCTTGAGTAAACACCCAAGCCCTCTCTCTTTCGCGAAATTCTTCCCCTCTGTCGAGTAAGAGTTCGCAAGAAGATAAAAGTTTGCTCAGGAGATTATCCTGATGTAAAATTAAAACATCAAGTTAGTACGTGGCCTCTCAAACAAAAACCAGTTTAAAGAATAGTAACTCGAAGTAACTTGTCCGTAAAATCAGAGCAAAACTGACGAAACTCTTTACAACAGTTAGCACTATTTCGGCATAAAAATAGCTCTCGTAGTATGAGAAGTTCATAAGCCTTGTAATGGTAAAAAACTTGCAAAATCCCATTTTCAACGTCCGCCTGGAATATAGCTATGAGCAATATTAAAGTATATAATAAGACAAAAACCTCATCCTTGACTTGCAAGTATAATTCAAAGCATCGCCTCGGACTGATTTTCAGCCGAGATGAAAGAAGTTTAATTAGTTCAAAGATGCCATCACTTGAAGATAGTAAGTTAAGCTTGTCGAGGATGTATGTTTCTTGGCTTTCATCAAAACTAGAAAACTATTTGAGGTAATCTACTGTAAACTTAATTTACAAAGAATAACAACCTTTTCGCTTGAAGTAAAGATGAGTTTATAAAAATTATTTAGGTTTGCTATAAGTTTCTTATAGGGGGTTGATTTCAAAACATGGGTGTTTTTATTTGTACTGATCTCTTTTAATAGAAAATAGAGGTTTTCGGGGTGTAACTTATCTTTGTCCATGACTTATTTAAAGCGTACTAACAAAACTTTCTAAAGCAAATAATTACTTTTCTTTACTCCTTTGGAATGCATACACATATACAACCACATAAAGTTTGGACTAACAAGCCGCCGTTAAAAGTTGAACACATTAATTATAGTGCCGCCCTTTGAACTTTAACGGCAGAGACTAGAACTCGCGAAGTACCACATGCTCCTCTACTAAATGAGGCCACGACCTTAAAAACGAAGTCTAATCTCTATCTTTATGGATTCATTCGTTTGTTTGTTTACTAATTACTTAATAATGCTAGCATGAACAACCCTAAAACCACATTTATAAAGTCTTATATCTGTTAAACCTTACTTTTAAAAAGTTTAACTGCTTCTTGCATGTCGAAAAGTTCTGGTTCAACTTTATTTCACTTTCCTGTCGGTTGTTGGGTTATCGAAGCTCCTTCTATCAAAGCTGGAAGTTAAGCCTGATAAGGTTATATATAAGCGGATAGTATACAATATATTAAATAGAAGAGTAGAATTACTTATTATCATAATTATATTTAATAGCTAAGTTTTTAAAAATGAGGTCCTAAGTTATAGAAGACTTGGGCTATGAATTTCTAACCTTAACCCTAACCCTAATTCACTGGGAGAAGTCAGAAAACAAGGGCAACTCCAATCCCTTAATTTGCTTTTTTTGGCAAGGATGTTATAAAAAGCTCTTTCACAGCTTAATTGGCCAACCCTTCTCCTCAGAAAGTCTGGGTATGGATGGCTACAATAGTACTCTCCCTAAAGGAGTATTATAATAGTTCCAAAGGGACTGAGTAATAGCTGTTAGGACAGAAAATACATACTGAACCCGGACCACCATTTAACATTAAGTGATGAAAAACATCTAAAATTTACCACTCAGAGGTTTTTACAGTTCACACTTTTTTCCTAGCTTTCACTCCACCGATCAAGGTATAACCAGTTTGTCTATTTTTTAGTGGACACATTTGAGTTCACATCATAATCTCACTTACTGTGGGGATTAGAATGGTTTGGGAATATTCTTAGTTAACAACAGGTTCTAGCTTGTTATCGTGAACTACTATAATTGGTGTAAGGTAAGGCTAAGAAAATCTGAAAGTTTTGTATGAAGGTTTGCCCCTCGGGTCCTGTTTCCACGAAAGTATTTTTTACCATTACCTTGCTCGATATATTGTTGCATGACGTTATGAATAATAATTAAACTAAAGAAATAGTAAAGTTTTTCTTTCTATCTTATGTCATAAGCGTGTCTCCAAAATTTGAATGCATTAACGATATAAAGGTCCGTACTGAAAAGCTAGTTTTGGTTATTTTTTTTTTAAAAAGGCTTCACCATTATAATCTTTATTTCTGCTTTTAGTGTTCTCAGTTAAATTTTTTTTTAACTTAGTAGATGTTATTTTTTTATTAATGATATTTCCTGGTGCTCGACCGGGTCATTGAAGAAAAACACCGAATTTACTAACTCTCAGCAAGGGGCTATTGTAATCATTAGCTTTAAACTTTAAGGTTGTGTTAAACCATTCTCATATTTATGTGTATTACCCCTAACCCATATTATATATTTAGAGTCCTTGGCGCTGTTGGCGATAGCGTGCGCAGGCTCAAATTTCGTAGTTAACCTCAGCTGTCAGTAATCGATTGGTGTGCGGACTGAGCCGATCGTAGGTGGCGATAGCATTGCGTCGAAAAATGTTACCCAGAGGTTCCCCCTGAAGGTCTATGTAAGGCACCGTTGCGAACAACCCAAGGCGCCCTGTCATAAGATGTAGCAGTTTGTTTTGTCTTACTTGAAGCGAAGACACTATTGCCCGATGTGTCATAGGCCCAGGCATAGACGCGTAGTCATGATCGGTCCGATGCACAACAAAGATACAAGCGTCCTTTGTTGTGCAGCGAGCGTTTGCTTCGAGCACAAAGTTGAGGGTAAAGAGTTTAAACCGCCGCCTAAAGCTTCGCTGCGATATAATATACATGCGGTCGCCATGAGAGCTTATTGTCAATAATGCCCCCCCAGGTACTAAGCGAGGACAGCAAGGGATTACCTTATTTTCAAAGGTCAGCGGCAGTGATGATGTAGTGCGCTTCTTTGTGATATAATGGGCTTTGCTCTTTTCCACATTAATAATAATATTCCTACGACGACACCAGTTATCAAAAGTCGCCAGGTAGGACTGCAGAAGTTGGCGCCAATAGGGTAGGGACATTGACGAGGAGTAATCGCCGTTTCATCCGTATATAAGGCAATCGGTGTGTGTGTGTGGGGGATCCTCAGGCTGTGGCACGTCGCGTAGATAAAAACAAAGCGTAGGGTGATAAAAGAGATCCCTGTGGGACTCCGGCTGTAAGTGGTCTTAGGGGTAGAGCACATCGCCCACTCTTTTATTAAACACGCAGCCCTCAAGGTAGGGTTTGATTACGTTAAAAAGAATAGTAAAAAAGACTATGGCTCGTAATCTATAAAGCAAGCCTTTATATTAAACTCGCTTAAATGCTTTTTCGAGATCAAAAAAGACGGCGCCCGTTGCCTTCTTTAAATTGAAGGCACGGGTCATCCACTCTGTCAAGCGAAGGAGTTGTTAAGAGTGGTGGGTTCTTGTCGAAATACAAGTTTGGGCTCTGACAGGGCGAGGCTTGCGACAAGAATTGCTTTCAAGGGGTGCAATAGGGCCTCCCTAGCTACGTTGCCAAACGACTGGCAAGAAGGTGATAGGCCTGTATTTTGCTTGCCGTAGATGCTGGTCGTGTGTCTTCTGGAGCATCACAAAGCTGCCATCCTCCAGCGCTATGGGAAGGTGCCGAGAGCCACCGTAGAGTTGATGAGGCAGCATAGGCGTTCTACAATCACAATCGGTAATTGCTTTAACATCAAGTTGGTGATACCCTTGGGGACAGGTGCGTTTCGTCTCGGCGAAGCGTTAGTAATCTTCACAATTTCGATTTTAGTGATTGGCTCTAACTGTTCCTCGGCAGCAATTAATTTTGGTTCACGAAGCACTTCATCAGCAACTAAATAAGCAGGTGGTACGCACTGAGTAGCGAGTGATGGCAAAAAAAAGTGTCGTTTTGTCAGCGTCATTTTCCGCCACAACCAAAATTATTGTCTCGCATAGTAGTTAACGGTAAACGCGCTGCGTTTGTGTATTTCCTTACGAACTTCCAGGAAGAGACGTTACCGTTACAGTTATTATCCGGTACATTACTTTGTCCCTCAAAATGCGTTATGGTGCGCCAACAGCTCTTTCCTAATGCACCGGTGTAGTCTATTAAGCCTAATTTATCTTCAGGGCATTGCGATACCGTAACCACTCGAATAATTCGTCGCCCCTCGCGAATAAGGGCCTTCAATATTCATCAGGCAAGCGGTTAATTTGTAACTCAACTTCACGTGTCGTCTTGGTGGTGTGATACGCCTTGGTCAAAGCGCCCTCAAATTCAGCAACAACAACGCCAAGTAAGGCGGGCGTATTAAGCAAGGCAAAATGTTGAAAAAGTTATACCAACAGCCTTAGAGAATTGAGCCCAGTCCGTAAAAGTTTTGGTATATGCCCTCAGTAACTTCTTTTCGTCGCCTAACCTCAAGTAGCACTGGCAGATGGTCCGACGAGAGTTTGTAAAGAGCTTCAATTGCTGTTGAAATAAAAATATTTTTCAAGGCGATATCCAGCATTATTTTGATATCTCTGTCTTCGTCATGTGGGTTGGGTGCTGTAGTGCTAAGACACGCAGTCTGCACTCTTTGGTGTAAGATTCGGGAATTGGGCTGTTTGGGTTATTGACACGACTGCTCCAGGAAGGATGCTTGCAGTTGAGGTTCCCACATACAAAAACTGAGGGACTATTTATAAAAAGTGCATCATGATGGAGATAATAAATGGCATGCTGGAGAACTTGTAAGGTGCAATTACCGCCAGATCCCTGGCTGGTTAAGTGGAGGGAAACATCAACCGCCTCAATGCTTTGCAGGGCTAGCGAAGATATCACACTGTGTTGAATGTTTCGGCAGACCAGAATAGCTGCGCCTCCACCGCCCCTATTAAGGCGATTTCTGGCGATTCGTCTAAAAGTTGCAGAGGTTGAATGGAACGTTGAGTAAAAGAGTTGCGCTAATGGCAAACAGATCAATCCTTTCGCGTTGCATCAATCCCTGAAATCTGTTTCCTATGTGGAACGCCATTTGCGTTCTAGAGAGGAAGACGGATATGACGAGGCTTGTGGGCTAATAAAACCATTGCAAACGAATTCCAGGACCTTTGCCATTCTATCATCGTTGACAGGTTTGTCGTCAATATTTAAAGCAGTTGTCGAAGTGTTGGTTGGGGTTTGTGGTGGAGATGTCTGAGGGGTTGTCTTTGCGGCCAAGAGATCGGTATATTAACGTGGTTACATTAATAGTGATCTGTTTTTGAGGTGTTGGTGGAGCAGTTTGATGGGATGATGTTGGTCATTGAGGGCAATATTTGCAGCCACGATAATTGGCAGTATGCGCTTCACCGCAATTAAACAACTGGCAGGACTTTCTCGTGCTTTTGTGCACCCTCACCACATTAAACGCACTGGAGGGCCTGCAAAGCAGAAACTTGGCTGTGTTCAAATATCTGACAGCGGTGGTACTGTCCGACTCGATTACCCTTTCTGAGCTCTTCCACTCTGACCTGAAAATAGAAAACAGTTTTTACTTCCAACAGCTTTTGTCGATCACACCTTGGTATATACACTAACATCATTAGTAAAGGTCGTTTAGTGCGTTTCCCATCGACAGTATCCTCAGTGTGCCTCCTTGTCACGCGGAGGAATGAGATGCCTTGCTGCGTAAGCCTTCCTCGATGATTTGTAGGTCGAGATCGCAATAGATCCCGCGGAGCACAAACTTTAAAGGTGTCCCCTGGTAGCTGATAGGTGAAATAAAGTAGCGCTTCATCTCACATTAGCTAAATGGTGACTTGGCACTCGTCTGCTGTTGCTGGAAATATTTTAATTCCTTGACGGGTATCCCCAGACTTCGGGACCTTGTTGACGCCGTTGGCTAGCAAAAGTTTTACGAAGTGATTCCACCTCTTTTTCTTTTCGCAAAGGAACACTGGGAACTAATTATTTCGCCTAAGAGGAGGTGCAGCCGCGGAAGGTAGCTTGAAGTCGCTAGAGGTAGCTCGGATGTTGGGAGAAGTATTGCCCATCTCTAAATCAAGGCTATCTTCGTGCTCTCTATTAGACATATCCGTGTCATTGTTACTATTATTTAAAGTAGAGAATTTAGTGATATTGCTAATAATTTTACTATTAAGGTTCATACAGTCATTAAGGTTATTCCCTTTACTAATTTAATTACCAGCTTCCAATTATTTTTTTTTTCTGTTTTATTATTATTATTACTGTTGTTGTTGTTATTATTGATGTCACTATAATTCTTTTTATTGCCCTTTACCCTAGAGGCATTTCCTTCACTCTACTCTTAAACTTCTTCTTTCCAAGGTTCGTTAAGTATATGGAGAGCAGAGCAAGGATTAGAATTATTATTTATAATAGAGGAATTTTCTGCAGGCTCTTTTCGTCGTTTGGTCTAGTTTTTAAAAGGAGACGTTTTTTCGAAACCTTGGAACTTCCATTTAACAACCACCAATTCTTTACAAAGTTCCTCAATAGTAGCTAATAAATAAGCATTTGTTCTTCGTAAGTCGGCTTCCAGGGGAGAGGAGCCCATTTTATTAAATAACAAACAACCTTTCTTATGCAAGAGCGCCAATAATAATAAGAAGGCCCTTTATCAGAAGCTTTCATTCGTAGATGTTATAAAACTACCGGTTTTTAAGAGAGTATTGTGTTGGAATTATTCTAGTAAACCAAGTGATCACACCGCGTGATTTTATGTTAGATCCACATTTTGCTTTTCATTCATAAAGGTATAGATACTCTTCCCCTAGAGAGTGAAACGCCTCATTGACTATGAGTAATCTCTTTTTGCTCATGATCTACCTTATAACTTTTTAATTCGTTAAGTGTTTTAGGTAGGTGTTATAGAGTTTTGACACATAGACACGCCATAGTACGGATTAAAAAATGCATTTTAAAGAAGTTACTTTTCATAATCAATTAAATATATGTGAGCTTGTATATAAAAATGTTTTATTATTAAATTGAATCTTTGAGTTTGAGTAAGTAATTTAAAATTATTCAAGTTATAATAGTCTCCCAGCCTCGACAGCTTCGGGATGGTTTAATTACAACAACTTTAGTCCAAATGACCTTTCTAGATTCGCTGTTGCTCTCTTTGGCTTTTAAAATACATTTATTAAGTAGGGCATTATCAGAATAATAATTTATAGTGAATTACTCTTAAAATTTGCAAGATAATAGAGAAGCATCCAAAACAAAAAATTAGGTATATAAAACTTCCCTCAGCAAGGCTCTGAAATTTAAATGTATGGCAATTAGTAATTAAAAATTGTATTAAAAAAGATATGTACAGAAGCTCTTGTTAAGCGCCGAAGTTTTTGTTTTAAATATTCCTCGGGAACCAATCGTTAGATGCGAGTATTTTACTAAGACACTCTTTTAGGTTAAAAGGTCAAAACATGGAAAGAGACAGCAATTATCTAGAAGATTTGTCATCAATACACAGGCAGTCCATGTATAGATTAAAAAAAAATACTCAGTAATAAACAAGAGATTATTCTATTACTTTGAGCTCCCTTGTTTTAAGGTTATTGGTTTTTTGTTACAGGTCTTAACCTCAAAAGCCAAAAAAAAACTACCGAAAAGAAAAAGCTAGTAGTCTGTAGGATGTCCTGGAACAACTACTATTGTGACAGCATAGTTTTAGATAATCCAAAAGAGTTTAGAAAGTCATAAAAAAAGGGGTACAATATAAACCAGTTAAGGGCACCAGTTTAATAATTAGCGTTATAAATAAACTAAATGTCAAAAAAAGAATATTAAAAGAAAAGATTTAATGGCTATCCTCACATATACTGCTCGTGAACAGTATATATATTGTTGAGGATAAACAAGTATCGAGGGTATTCCGCCCTCTAAAAGTGGTCGATGACATTTGAGACGCCTTGCCAGAGTTTCATTTGAATTTCGGCAAGGGCACTCAACGACCCAGCAGCTCCTCCCTTAATGGAATAGACCACTCGTGCTTTTAAACTGAAGAAGGCAACTTCCTTGGTAGGGAGAAGGCATCTGATCAAGTTGAACATGATGGTCTGCTGCACAAACTGCGCTCGTTATCCTTTCCTCGTGGCCTTTACAACGTGCTGAAGTTATATCTATATTGCCATGTCTTCAGCGTGCGCGTGGCAAATACACGGTTACCGCTGCGATCTTTGACAGCAGGGGTCCCTAAGGTAATATTCCCTTCTTTCGCCCCTTTTATTTGCGAATTATATGAGCGACGTGTCCTTGCCATCAAAACCACACAAACAAATCGCTCTCTACGCCGAGGATACGGCTACTTACTCATCGCCGAAGTCTCCCACCTTGCTATGCAAGCATCTACAATGCTATCTTGAGACCTCGCTGGCTGGTGCCGTAATTGAAAAGTTTCCATAAATGCGATGAAGGGCAAAGCGTTTTTAATTACTAAAAAAACGCGTCCTCTTCTTGACACCCTTAAATTTTGATGGTGTGAAGATTTCGTGGTCTTCTCAAGCGAAATACTCGGGAGTCATCACTGACAACAATCTTCCCTGGCAACCGCTCTTAGAACTATCTACTAGCGAAGGTCAAGGCAGCAACTAAGGCGCTTTAACTTTATTATGCGGAAGAGCAAGATTTATCTACGAAACAAAAGGCTTGTGTATACCTCACATCCAGCCAATAATGACAACGCGCCGTGGTTTGTGCGAAATGAAGTTCTTCCACGGGACCTCCAGCTGGGCACTTTAGACGTCGGCTTCCAACGTGATGCAAGTGCCTTTTACGACAGGCTAGCCAGGCACTCTATCGCCTGCTGGCGAATGAACTTATTTATGAAACTTGGGACGGGGCCTTTATCAAGAAAATTGATACCGTTGCGATTGATAGCTAATTAGTAATAAGTCTGCGATCACTCTTTATTGAGTGCTCGAGTATTCGGTTTTTTGACTCGATCGAGCACCAGGGACTCTCATTTATAAATAGATAAGTATCGAGGGCCGTAAGAGCTCTTAGTCGTGGAGATTGACTGGCGCTCTGCAGGCTGGTCTCCAGGCGGCCTCGGGTATAGTACCTAAAAGTTACCTCTCCAATGATGGTTTTTAGCGGTTTTCCATCATCCTAGGTCGAATGACGGGAGTACGGGAGATGTACCCCTGGCACCCACTGGTTTTTCGTAAAAGTCGTGATACTCGTTCAGGGGATTTATATAATGGACTTAACATTGCTCCAGAGAAATTAATTATAACATGATTTAATATATAGGAATTAAATCCTACCCATTATTAAGTAAACTCTTTAATAAAATTAATTATAACCTTTGACTTACAGCGCTTTTTACTTGGCTTTATCTTTATTGTAGACATAAGAAGTTAAATAAACAGAGTCGCCGATGAACAATTATTTTCTTTTTATGTTATGGAAGCCTGAGTTCAGCGCTATTTCACACCTTTTTGGATTAATGTATTAAATTTTAATATTATGATTTCGATATTTTGCTCAATTGCCTACGACTCAATATTTGCCTTTCCTGGTTACAAGAATTACGCAGTTAATTTTAATACTATTTTCCTTCTTTCTCTTAACGTACACTTGTTGCTATAAACTTATAAACAAAGCGCTATTCTCAAGTAACTTGAGTTTTGTTGTTCTCTAACTTCTTTCCGTTTCAACAATCTTTTCTTAACTATTTCCACGATTTTAGTATCCTCAATTTAGTTTATTTTTCTACGATCTGGTTTCTATATTCGTGGTAATTTGGCTTTACTGTCGTTCATTTGACCTTAAAGTTTTAATCATTCTAACATTTGTCACTCAGATTATTATCATAGAACATTATAACCGACTAGGTTTTACACACTCTCTTCTTTTCCCGCTATTTCAATAATTTTATCTCTCGTCTTTTTCGTTAATTTAACTATAAATCTTTGTTTATTTTACCTTTTTCTAAAACTATATGGTTACTGTTTTTCTAAGAAACTTGAGCTTGCGCGCTAATTTTTTAGATGTATACAAAATGTTTTGTAAGTAATTGTCAACATTAGTGCCTATTGCCCCTCCCCTCAACACCATTATTTTGCAAGCAACCAATAGAAAAAGTAACCTTACATTACTTGTTTTAAACATTTTCATAACAGAAAAATGATAAAAGCCAGCTTATTTCCGACCTAAACTTTCGTAAGAATTTATTACATTTGGAAACCAATAGATTGTATAAAAAGCTAGTATGTTTCCTACCACCTCTTTGGTTTAAGTGCTATAGTTTACAATTTAGTTAAACTACGCGTAGTTAAGATGCTTCGTTTTCCTTCGTTTTTCCCCTGTTCCCCTCTGATTTCTATTAAGACCCCATTTAACTTTTCTTGCATCTCTTAGAGGCTTTTAAGTGAGAATAACATTTTATCAAAATTCTTTTTGCTTTCTGTTTAATTAGTCTAGTATAGCCTCAAATATCAATGGATCTAATTAAAAGTTAAGGCAAGTTAATATAAGCCCCTATTCTTGTTTTACAATTATACAGCTTTTTATATTCAAACTTAACCGCGATATTTATTTATTTTTAAACAAGTATTTACATCTGTTTCCACGATAGCTTGTTTTCCAAGATAATTTGAAAAAGACTTCGTTGAAGAAATCTGCCTAGTGCGTCATGGCAGTAATGGTTTATAGCTTCTGAATCTAACCTGATCTTTTTATAACTCATGGCATAAATTTCTTTTTTGAACGCTATCGGCTGATGCTTTAAAAAATAATAGTTGCTTATATAATTTATTTATAAAATGAACGCAGGTTTTACTTGAATAAAATCTTTTAAGGACTTAAAAACCGAGTAATCGCTTTTCTTCCAGTTTTGATACAAACGTGCTATTGAGTCATATAAAAGTTAGTAGCTCATTCGTTAAATGAACAATGCATAAATTTTTACCTGGGACGTGGCTTTCTTGAATTGCGCTGCTGCCGATCCCCACGAAGCGTAAGTCTTGAACTTAACATTTACAAGGTTTTCAATTATAGTATCTTTCAAATAATTTTATTAACTGCCAAACTGTCCGTGTAGCAAATGGTTTAAGCCTTCAGTGTAACTTCTGAAGATGGCAATTCCATGAGGCTGAAAAGTAATTTTCTGAAACTGGATTTATAACCGTCTTCAAGTAATACGAATTACGTTAAAGTCGACTAGGATTGCGATTGGTATATCGAATGTTTTCAGAAGGCTAAGAACATAGTGCACATTATAAGAGGGATACCCCTGCCCTGCATTATATAAGTATGTTTGTAAAATATAACGTTATTTTATTTATTTTAAGAACTGAAATTAAGTTGTGCTAAAGCTTATTTATCAATGATTAAAACCTGTTAGTATAATTGCCGGGACCAGAAACGTGAACTTTACTTTTTCGTGACAATGTATAGTTTATAATGAAATTTAAGTTAGTTTTTGGGTAAACCTCCGGCACCTACAAACCCTAATCGAGGACAATAACTAGAATTCCGGTGCCGGAAAGTTTAGTGTATATACCGTTGTCTAAACATATAAATTATTGATTTTATATTTATATTTTACTTTAATAACACTTTTAACTTTGCTTAAGTAACTATAAGCTTTTTTCTTTCAAGTAGTACAGAAGAAATTAAACACCGAAAATATATTACTTTTGCAGTCCAAATCAAATTCTATTTACAACTTAACATTAACCTTCTTGGTAAGTAATTTATGAACAATATGATGTTAAAAGAAAATATTTGAAACTTTTTTCGTTAGTCGAGCATATGACTTTAGGCAGGAATCGTTAAAGATAAAAATATAATCGTTTTAGTTGTATTTGTAGTGAACGTTATAAATAGTTAATACAGTGGTTACTTAAAAGAGACGCAATATATAATAAAAGTTTTAAAGTTTTTCTAATTGTCAAGAAATAAATATAACGTTAGAAAAGACCTACAGGAAAGAAGATAGGAAAACACCGATTCCTTCTCGCATATGAGGATGATCCTCGCTCCATTATTTTTAATAATTATATTGTCCACCTCTCCGGGGAGAGATATATAAGAACTCTTGCAATCTGTAAAGTCTTCCTCTTCGCTTTGCTTACACAATAATTGAACTTAAGAAAACTGCAAATTTTCATATGTATATTTTGTTAATTATTAACCTTGAATAAACATAAGCCAGTTAAGAATCCTCGATGACTGGAAAATAGGTTTAATTCTGTTCTGGGGCATTGCAATATTCCTGTGATATCTTTGACACACATTTATACTTGAGTTTTGTATGTTTACTGTAATATAACCTTTAATTAAATTGTCAGAGGAACGCTGGGTCGAAAACTCGCTTCTGTAAGTGTAATATAGCTTGCGTATAGTGCTGCGCTTACCGCTTGATAAATTTCTGTGTATATAGTTCAAGAAGAGCCATACTTTTTATTATCAAAAAAATAAAACTCTTAGGTTAAATAATTTTACGTAGAAAAATTAATATGAATCACTACTTAGGGAATACTTGGTGCAACCCCTTAAAAACCTTATTTTTAAGTATTTTTGCAACTGTCCCTCAAGCTTATAAATTATTACTCGATATTCAAATAGCCAAACCAAAAATAACTTTAAAGAAACCTTTATAAAGTATATATCGACTTCCACCCCTTGAAAAAGTTCCCAACACAACTTATTACATAGGCTTTCGATTTTGATAATAGGAGATAACTGTTCACCTTTTAAACATTATAATGATATGTATTGATTTATATCAAAGGAAAATACCTTGCATAATACTAAATATAGTGGTCATTTATACCAGTTTTTCAAAGGCTTAAAGTCAATAAATAGAAACTGCTACACTATAGAGTTTGTTGGGCGAGAAACGTTGGGTCGAAATTATGTCACTATTTTTTTTAATCCTCTAAAGTAATCTCTTAGAACTGTACTTTTCCACGACATATTAGTGTAATATTTGGCCTGGAATGCGGATTATAGTATATTAATCTCTCTTTACCTTTTACAAAAAGGCTTAGGCATAAATTTTAACACAAAAAAAAATTCACCAGAGTTAGGTATAATGACTGTTTACAGGACTGAGAAACAGCGGAGAAATCTCCAGCTTTATTTTCGCCATACATTCTGTTGTTGAGGAAAACCGTGGACTAAAAGACAAATAACGCTGAGCTCCCTGGAGACCCAGCCAGGCTTTTGCGACTACAAATTCTACCCTATTTTATACGGCACATCGAGAACAGGATGCCCGCCTAATGGGTATATTTTGCTGGGACCATCCTTTAAGAATTTCATTTTTTATACGCCTCGAGTTTAAAAAAAAATTGTTTAAAATACAATTTGAAGTTCAGTGAGCAACAATCTAAAATTTTTAACACAAAAAAATAAGTCGTTTAAAATTTATTTTAGAATGACCCCTGTAGACATTTAAGTAGAGATATGATTTTGAGTAGTAATGTTATATCTTGCCCTCGGTATGCGTAGTTTATAAATTTACCCTATCACTTATTACCTGGAAGAAGGGAGAGTATAAATCAAGCGGTAAAGACCTGATTAAAGATCAGCCGTAGAGTGCCAGTGCCAAAAAAAAAAAAAATGAAGGATTTAGGTTCCTTGCTCTTTGCTCCGCTTTACTCTTCTATGAATCCCAGTTTATTGGTGTATTCCTCCTGATTGTAGCTGATTTCAATTGTAATGTTTTTAGTCTACAGGGCTAGAACGGAAAGGACGATGATCATTTTAATAATTTAGCTGTTTAGAAATAGTTGTTAGAGAAAGTTTAGAGTTAGCCAAAACGGGACACCTTTATGCTAGCTTAATGTGAGCAGCAAAGTAAACTTAGAACAAACTTAATAACCAGAAACAGTATTGGTGGACCGTTTACTAGAAGCAATGAAGGAATAATTCGGTTATTAAACGAGAAGACATAAATACATTGGGTGACGATAAGTCTTTCAACGCGAATGAAATTTTTTTGAAGTATGTGACGCTCTTAAACAGTATGATGTTAATATCTGAAGTAAAAGGTAAACTAAGGCTCCCGTAAAAGTAAAGGTAAAAAACTTAAAGTGCTTGCTTTTCTTTTAAGGTAGAGATAAAGTACATATGGCTTAGGAATGTTATATTTAAGGAAAGGTTGTAACGTTCTATGAAGATTAAAAGCGCTAATTTTAGAAACCAGCGTAATAAAAATTCAGATATTTATTAATAGTTATAAATAAAGCAAGCCAAGATTAAAGTATAAAAGATAAAACAAAGGCAGAAAAACGGAGAGTTAGAGCAGAATAGTTAAGGACTAAAAGTAAGAAGAAGCTTTATTATAAGAATAATACAAAACCTAAAATTCTCTCGGATGGGAAAATTACTACAAAGTCATCCTGTCCATTTGAATCTTAGTGCCTGAAAAATTGAGTACTAGGAAAAGAGAGGGTATGTAAAGGTGAGAGCTCAGAAAGATGTTGAAAATCGCCTAAATTGTGACCTAATTCGCCGAAAAGTTGGAAAAATTAGGAAAAGAAGGTATACGGTTATGACAGTTTTCAAAGATGGAAGAGCTGGTTATTATAATAATAGTAAAAAAAAATTTATGTTAGCAGAAAAAGAGGTAGTAGTGGTAACAGTATAGTAAAGTTAGTAGTGATGTTCGAACTAGTTAAAAATTCAATAAGAACATAAATACGTGTAACTATAAAGGTGTAGAGAAAGTAGTTAGGACTTAAGTAAAGGTGTCGTGTATAATGAAACTATATCGATTCTTTGCGTTATAGTGGTTGTGTCAATAAAGATTCAATGAGGAAATTAGGTAGGAAGCTTTGTAAAACGGGAGGCGCGATTATTTGATGTGTTTGGGTGGGACACTGTAATTCCAACGATATTTTCTTGATTAAATTGTTACCAAACCAGGGAAACCTCATGATTCGAATTGTATGTGCTCCACTAACTGTTGCTACGTTGACTTTAGGGGGATAGCTATAATAGAACACCACTCTCGTAGTGCCTATTGCAAGAAGGGGTAGTAGGTTTATTGAATAGTTTTAAGACTGCATTAGAAAACAAGTAGGGGCTAGGATTATACTGCCTAATTATTAGTTCGTATTTGTATAAAAATAATACTCAACCAAATATGGTAATGTGCAGGCGACTAAGACTACTCACAAGACACCTCTTGGCTAAAAGGGAGGTCTTTAAAGCAAAAGTAATTTACAAAGTTCAAAAGGCTGACTGGCATATGTCTATAGTTAGCAGAAACAAAATTTCTTATAAAGTGGAAAGTAGCTAATTGAACCCAATTTTAAGGATTAAATTGACTTATTAACCACAGTATTGTTAAAATTTTTGATAAACTATCCTGACAAAAAAATTTGAAGGGAGTGGATGATAGAAAATCTTCCTGGCTCAACCTCAAAAATCATTAAAGAAAACATCTACAATGGGAGGATATAAAAAGCTTACATTTTTATAGTTGAGGGCGTCCTGCTTCTCTCTATTAATGAGCTCGGTTTTGGTTCTGACCCTTTTGTCCTTAGTTTTTTTCTTGGACTTGTTCTTATACTGCTATTCTGCTTATAGAATAAATAATTTTTACTGGTCCTTTTTTATGCATTTATTATTTATTATTTTTTTATTATTTGATTTGTAACTTTATCGCGCTTTATTATCATCTTGGAACTCTTACGACATTAAGATTGTGAAGAATATGTGTGATAGGCCCCAGTAACCCAAGTTCACAGCTGATGAAGAGCATATCTGCCTCAGTTTATATACCAACATTGATAAACATTGCTGTTATCACGCTTAAAAATATTTCTTACCAATCTACTAATGTGGAGAGGAAAAAAACAAGTTAGTTTAATATAAAGAATTTTTGAGAATACAATCCTTTTTGTTATAGCTTTCCGTAGTTCTCTAGACTTAATTGTAGATTGGCGTACTTAGAGTCGGCGCCTCTCAGTCTATATAATTGAGCGAAAGTAGACAAAAACCCCGTTTGTTTCAACTTTTTTATTTCCGGAAAAACTTAAACGCGTAACTACTAAAAGGGAAAGATATGCAATTTCTAAACCCCTAATTGACAAACGTATCTTAAACCAAGTAAATTTTAGGGTTAAGTAAGAGTTTTTGCTTTTTTTTTTTACGAAACATGAAAAGACGATCTTATATTTGTACAAAGGGGTTGAAGAACAAAACTAAGCCCTCTTTTAAATTCATAAATAATTTATTACGTAGGCCACGCCGTATAGTTCTTTTGGCCAAATTTTGATCCCCACTCCACTTCATCTATTAAAGATGACAATTGCTATATTTTTCTTTTTTACCCAATTTTTCCCTACACTGGTAAATAACGGAAGCTCAGTTATTATCTGGCACTTACCTAGAAGTTATTGAAGTGACAAGTACTCTTTTGCTTTAGAATGTTAGCGATCCAGAAGGTATAATTAGTTTGATACTTAAAACCTTATTTTAATTGCATATATTTACATTACCAAACTGATGAATTTTTTTCTTTAAAGAACAAGTTCGTAAGGTTATTCATGTTATCATGCTCCAGTAAATGACCAGCCTGTTAGTTTGCTTTATAAAAGTCGCGGAAGTGCGTGTTTTAAGAGGGTTGTAAAATTTGGTGATGAGTTTATAAATGTATCTGGCCTTCAAAAGGTTCTTTCACCACTGAACAGACCTTGAGAATCCCTAAGCACCTTACAAAGCGTTAAATAAAAAAAGCTACCATTCTTGTACTCTTAGATGCTTATAGAGCCCTCGCTAACGTTACGGTAAAGAGGGTTAAACATAAAATGGCAGATTGTGAAATTCTTTCGTACCTAACGCAATTTAGTTGAGTACATTGTTAAAAAGAATAATTTATGGTTAAGACGGAAACTTTAACCTCCGCTTTGTACTTTTTAGCTTGCACCGCACCAGGCTCCATTTAGTTCCCTTTGCTGGTTTATAGAACTTCTGGCCTCCTTACAGCCCAACAGGATTTCCTTTTCTAGTGTGCTGATGAACAGTGCAATTTATTTAAGTGCTAAACCAAGCTTGATGGCATAAAAATATACAGTTAAACTTGGAGCGTTTTAAAAACTGCTTCAAATTTAAGAAACAAACTAAACCGCCAAATTAAAAGACCTTACGGAATCACATGAAAGAATGCATCATTGGTGTGGAACCAACCATTTTATGGCAATATCCTCTGGGTTTGGAGGTCACCTTGGATTACTTCACTATATTTTGGAACTATTAAGCATCTTCTATACTTCTCATTAGGCAAGAAGAGCTAGTTTAAATTTGAGTAGTAAGCTGCTTCGCTATAAATGCATGCTTATAGCCTACACTCGCTTAAGCGTCTTCCGCTTGAGTGTTCACTCTTTAAAAAACACTTAGGATTTATAAGAAACTTGCATCTGCAACGAAATGTAAGATTTAATTGTTACAAACTTAATTTTAAAAAAAACCCTCGCTTCAATAAGCTACTATTTACGATGAAAACAACGGCCTTCTGGCTTAAGCACCTGTTGAACTTACCCAATTAAGTTGTCAGAGTACTAATACTAACTCTTCGTCCTCAACAACTATTACTACTAATAAAGTAAAAGCAAAAAAAAAAAAATAATAAACAACTTTAAAAGTCATCAAAGAAGATAGTAGTTTTAATAATCAAATATAGTCTTTACTAATATATAAGTTGAAAACTTATTTATATATGCTTCATACTAGACAACCATAAAAGGTTTACTATCCCTACTTTTCGATTCCTCCCCGGAAGGGAAATAAGGGCTAAGAAGTAGAAAAGATCTTCTGTCTATGACTATAGAACGGCAACTTTATTAGTACAAAAATAATAAAAGAATTTTATTATATGCCGAGCGATCTCTTTACATATTATAAAGTATAATTGCTATGTAATTATTATAAAAAATTCATTTGACACGTTAGATTAGGTTAAAGGTGGCTTCATCTTAGTTTTATTATTTAATTTTCAAGTATATTAAGTACTTTACTAATGCTTTTACCAGTCGATATAGCCGGTAAATTTTTAAATAAACGTATGTGGTATACCAATAGAATTTTATGAAAGAAAAAAAAGCGTATACAATCGATGATAAGGTAACAACTAAGACTGTAAGAAGGGGGGGGGGGAGGAGTTTAGAGAAACCAAAATAAATCGTGACTACCTCAAAAACGCTTAAGATGAGAGAAAGCGCACTTATGAGTTTTAAGCGTTATTAAAATGAAAGTAAACAAACTCCGAAAGAGATGGAAATAATTAAACCGCTGCGAAAAGGTTAAGAAAGAGTTACTAGGTATGATCCGCCCTTTTGAACCAGGCTGCAAAAAGGTCCTAGTCATAAAAAGCTAAATTGACATTATTAAAAACTTTCGCTAAAGACGTCTCCCAAAATTTCTTAATAATTTTATAAGTTCTGCCTGTCTGCCTATCTGTTAAAACCTAATATATATGTGCATGCAACCAACAGATGGACATCACACAGCCTTCCTAAAACTAGGCAACTTTTTGCCAGTAGTTAAAAAATAAAAGACTTAGAGAATAACATTGTTTTGAGTTATTAAGTTATAAAAAAAGTTATAAAAAATTATATAAAAGATAAACGAGGTTGTCCGTAAAAACTTAATCAAGTTAATTAAGTTATATATTTAAAAAGCGGCAGTGCCATTGTCATTGCTTCAATAGGAGGAACAAAAGAAGAAAGTAACCTTTATTATACCTGTAGTCAAGTATGCTATATGCTGAGACGTATAAATACACAAGTTTAAACATAATGTTTGGGTATGAAAACTTATCTTTGTTAATATTATCACACAAAGTTTAAGGCTTGCGATATGATGTTAAAACGGGATAAATACTTTCAAAAGCCCTGTAAATCTCCCCCCTTTCCTAATATATAAAAATGAAAATCTTAAAACTTTTAAAGTTGCTTGCATATATTAAAAAAGCTTCATACTTTTGCGCCGGTAAGCACAATTTTTCCAGAGACAAAAATAAGCAAAACAATTTTAGGATCTCTGATGCGGTAAATAAGACCGGGAAATAATTCAGGTTCATAATCCGCGTGATCAGGATGCGCTAATGACAGACCTTCTAGTCGAATAGGAAATTTTACGTCGCAGCTTCCTACTATGTTTTGAATTTTAAATTCAGTAAATCTGGCAGGGAATCCAAGTTTTTGAATTATCCTGGCAAACTTTCTTGCGGCCAGTTTCGAATCTTCTTCACTGGTAGCGCCTGTGCAAACCATTTTACCGGAAGCAAAAACTAAAGCAGTGGTTTTCGGTTCTCGGATTCGCATTGTTACGGCAGAAAAGCGCTTATAATAAACTATTATTTAACTAAACATTAATAAGGTATATAAGGAAACCTTAGGGTTGTACTCCGCATTACGAGCTTTAAGGGCGATTGCCTTTAAATCAAGCCGGGTTCCAAGATTGACGGTGGACACAATGTTTCTAAAGAAATAGGAAGAACTTTATACAAAAACTTTTTGTTAATTCGCTAAATATTTATATTAACTGTAACTGCGGAATAATTCCTGAAGGATGAAGCTTGTAATCTATTTGGCTGGTTTGATCATAACTAGGAGATTGTAATTTTTTACTTTCGTGGTTTGTTGGTCTTACGAGGTGACCAGAGAAGCTGGAGGTATTTAGGCCACCATCGCTTTCGCAAGAACTTTTTTGTGAAGAGTATAAGTTGTTCTGATGTTTCAAAAAGGAATCCTTTGATAAGGATAGTCTTCGTTTATCTTCATTTGGTAAAAAATTACCTTTTATATGGTTTTCGGACATAGCCCTAAAAACTTAATAAAATAAGCTAATATAATTAGTCTTCTCGAAAAAGAAGGCAGTTCTTGACTAAAGGACTATATAATTTTAAACAAAAAACCAATCCTCTTAAGAAGGGAGGAGTATAACAGCAAAAAGGTTGAGTAAAATTAGTAAAAGTCATGTTAAACTATTTGCGAAGAAAGAAAGGGAGAAAAAGTACAAAGGAACAATATGAAAACTTCACAGGAACCTTTTTAAGAACGCCTTTATATACCCTCTAGTGGTAATTATTTTAATGGCAAGTAGTTCTTTTTAAGGTTTTAATTTTTAGTACAGAAGCTAAAATATAGGAAACAGCTAACGCGTGAGGGTTTCCTTATTAGGGTTCTGTGCCGATATTGCACGTCATTACAGGTACAGTCTGCAAATTTGAAGACTAAGGTGGTTTGGTTCAACAAGAGGTTAAGGAGTACCTTTAAATATTTCCATTTTATGCTATAAAAATAAATGACTAGAGTTCAATCCTTTTACCTGTTAAAACTCTAAAAATCTGGATAACAACTTTCTTTAATTAAAATAAATTGACTGATATAATAGGTTTAATTGAATTTTTTGACAGCTTGAATTATTTTTAATTAATAAATATAGATACAAATCTTCTGTCTTATGAGTTTACATTTACCCTCTCTAATTTTTTATAATTACAGCTTATATATAATCTTTTTGTCTCTGGAAGTTGCTAATAACCGTCATTAATATAGTATAGGGTTCACAGCGGTTTTTTTTTTCTTTTCACACACTTTCCCACTTTTTTCTGATAACCCTACCTCAGAGATTTTTCTGTAATGGAGAACTCAATTAAAACATCAAGTTAGCATAAGGAGAAAAGACATTTTTTATAAGTAACATCAAAAGTATGCAATAAATTTATAGTTAGAGAAGGGAAGATATGAGGAGAAAATGCTGAATATTTTTACTAATAAAAGAGTTGACGAGGAAATTTATTATTTTACTCAACAACTTGTCGAATCTAACTTTTAACCGCTAAAATAATTTGCAACCCCAGTCACAGAACTGTAACCCTGTACCTAGAATTTGTCGAAACTGTGCTAGGTTAATCGCACTCATTAAGGGTGAGGTTAACCGGGGGCTATTGTAGACCAAAAAAGGAAGCCGCCTCAGTGGGTAGCAAACATACAACTGAATAGATAACAATAGATACAAAAAGGTCGCCAACATACTCTAACTTCTTAGTTATATTTCGAAGAAAATATACTATACTAAATCCAATAAACTCTTCAACTGAATATGCAAAATCACGAACTAAAAAATTTACTTTTTATTAGTTTTTGAGTGAAACTTCTCATTCTCTGTTAGATTTCTCACCCCGCCAAAAAGTGGAAGTTTGCCTTGCGGAGATAGGAAATCATTTATTAAGGTATCGAGTATTAACAATCTCCACTTGAAACTGGTAATAAAATTTTACACCAAGTAAAAGTCATTATAATAAACAACGTTGAGTACAACAACTCTAATAAAATAATAAATTTTCATTATTTTTTGCTATATACAAGAATTAAAAAAAATAGCCTTCAGTAAAGTCGTGAATAAAGCCAATTGGCTTGTAAATAAGAAAAAGATAGCTGGCAAAGAATGACTTCTAAGTTATGTAAAATTTGCTTAGAACTTCCTGCATATAAACTATGAGAAAGAAAACAAAAAAGAACACAAGGCATAGCGTTCGGTCGAGCATTGGACAACGCCAAAAAGTGTACACCAACCTTTAGGGGCGCCAGGAAATTATATATTAAGGCGCCAAGCCCTAATACCCCCCTCCCCTCGCCTTAGTATGCTTCTTTAGGTAATGGGTATTAGATAGCTGTAAACTAAAAACACTTAATTTGTAAAGTATTAATTTGTATTTTTTTAAAGATCATGTGTGGGAGGAATGGTCCCCCATCTCTGGTTAGGAACTCGCAGTCAAAAAGACCTAACTGGTGTGATTTTCCTACAGGTTATACCTAATGACAAACCCGTGACTTTTTTCCAAAATTTAATCAGTCCTTTAGGATAGCCATTATATTTCCTTCATGCGCGTGCACACTTGTGGGCCATTGTGCACCATCCCCTCTCGTGCTAGGAAGTATAGTTATGCCAGTACCAATAAAAAAAATTGTGGGCTTGTCCATTTCTTCGCTCTGCGTTTTCTTTCTCTCTAAAAGTGTTCGCTAGGGTTCAGCTTTTTTTTTTTATCTTCTCAGCTTGACGTTGGTCTATAGGACTATATAAAAGCTTAGTGCCTATAGAGCGTTTAAGTTAGGTTAGTAAGATAAATTTAGTAGTCTTGGGCTCACTAAGTAAATGTTTTGTAAGAGTCTCTAAACAGCAAGTAAAGAGAGATACATCGACAAGGTATTTTACAACCAGTTGAATTAGTTGAAGTTATTATTATTTTTTTCTTTATTTGTTGTATATCACAAATAATAAAGGTTTTTTATTTCTTTTTAATCAGCGTCGTTTACCATGAAGACTATTATTTATAGGTGTAGAATTTGTTTACCATTTTTAAGTGGGCGGTTGAAAGAAAAAGTATTTTGATTAGTTCGTGATGCTAATCTGTTAATAGTTTATTGGATCTACTATAATTATGTTTTCTCTTCTAAATATAACTTTAAGTAGTTAGAATAAGTTTTTGGACGTTTTGTAACTATTTGCCTCTATTTCTTATTAATATATAGCTAACAACAGCCTGTATACCTACGTAGGTAGATTATTACTTCCTTTTAGAAATGTGGTAAACGCGGCAGAGTCCCACGCTCTGTAAGTTGGCGGGTTTAAGACCCAGAGCAGACAAATTCTTACAGTTTCTAGAATCTAAAGTGTTCCAAAAGTGGGCTTGGCTCTAAAACCTCTGAGCTTGCCTTCTAGCCAGTCCCAAGGGGTTGCCAGAGATCTAGGAAAACCCAGAAGGTAAAGTCTTAAGTTGGACCGGTGTATTGTCGTACCTATTTGGAGACGTTCATAAGAGCTTAGAAAGCTTTAATGCCCTTAAAAGGGTTACTTTTTTTTGCTAGAATGGAAATTTCTTAAGAATTTTATTTCCGTTTAAAATAGCGTTTTTGGTTTTTTTTAATATTAGTGGTTTTTAAGTGCAATAAGGGGGTTATAGATGATCGCTGTATACAATATTTAGATAATAAGTGCTTTTTGTGTGTTTAAATTAAAAACTTTAAAATATAACCAATTTTATTATGTTAAAAAAGTTAATGAATTCGCGGTATCGCAGGCTTTTGAATAACTTAAAAATGTTTACCTTGTATGTATTTATTAATTGCCTTTAGTTGCATTTGATTCTAGAAGCGTAGATAATAGAAGTTGTTGGACAAATAAAGGCTTTAAAAACAGCTCTTCTAGATTTTGACGACTTGTTTGTAGTTCTGAAAACTTAACATTAGATTTTTCATTAGAGTCTATTTTAGCTTTACTGTAGCTCTGAGGCCCTTTGCCTTTCCTTCCATAAACCTTTAATTGAGGCATTTCCTCATTTACTGAAACGGAAGACTCCTTAGAAGTTGGGTGAGGGAGGTCTGTCCGAATGTAACTATAACTTATAGAGTGACTGGAATCACTTCCACAGAGAGTTGATGGATCTTTATGATAAAGATTGTGAGGAGGGGCCTCTCTAGTATGGCGTTCTTCGTCTGTATGTGCTTCAGATTCAGTACCATCGTATACACTCTCGTTAGCAGAATTATAAAATTCACCACTAACCTCCCTTTCATTAATAATATATTCATACTCGTCAACTTCATAGTCGTCTGCGTGAGAGTTAGAAAAAGTAGAATCAGGATTTAAGGGCCAATGACTTCGACGAGAGGATAAAGAAAGGCTGTTAATTTCGGGAGAGAGTTCCGACCATTCCACTCCGTCTTCCTGTCGGTCATCAAGCAAAACATCCTCTATAGTCTCAATGCCGTCAAGGTCAACAGAATCTAAGTTATTTAATAGTGAGTCGTAATTTTCCTCTTGAGGGGCGAGGCTGGACATTGCAAGAAGGATATTAGCTAGTCGGGAGGATGGCTCGGTCCTGGGGGGCCTAAGAGTGGTGACGGAGCCGCTGTGAGAGGTCTTTTTGCTAAACACTGAAGATGCAGTTGGGTTTTTTCTTCGAGAACAGTTATGTTCTTGTGTAAAATGATTGAAGAGCTTATTATATAGTGGAGGCGGCTGTATTTTGAACGAACATATGGGACAACTCATCGGCTTGTTAAACTCAGTTCTATCTGTTCAGATAACATATTAGAGTAAAAATTAATATTTAAAAGGAAGTAAATGGTTAATAATTAATTAAAAAACCGTGGTCCTGTAAAATATGGACTTTAAGTCGCTGTTCCGAAAATCCAAATTCCCCGCAAACAGGACAGGTAAAACTGAAAGGATTTGGAACATTTTCTTTTAAAGTTTGCGCTTCTTCTGTCTTTCCAAAGTAAAGGTTATAATCGTTTGGTGAAACATAAGTTTGCATGGAATGCTCAAGTTGGTGTATACTATCAACATAGGAATTTAGGTAACAAAGATGACACAAGTCAAAATTTTTACAAATAAGGCACTTATGTCGTAGACCTAAAGATTTGTGAAATATTATAAAAATAATAAAAGAAATATAATAAATATCTTTTATATCAGCGCACTGTTTTTTCTTACGAGTTCACAAGAAATAGTTAGACTCATACTACTAAATTTAAATTAATTACCATTAAAATTTCCAGCTTTACAGCCATCACAAGAAATTCCTATATGGCCAACCTGATACGACATACGACAATAAAAAGCAAGGAAAAGGCTCACCACTAGCAAGCAATAAGCAACTCCGGTTTTTAACCTTTTAAAAAAACTAACCAATAGATTGTACTTAGCAACGAACACGATTGGGTAAGATGCTTCTTGTGTTGATTAACAGCTGTTACCCAGCTATTTTGTACACGTACAATTGGTGTTTAGTTTCTGTCTTTCAATAAACAAATTTCCACCGCTTCAGGGTTACCGACCTCTGTTACCTTAGAAGGAGCTTTATTGTAAAAAAAATGCTTATAGATAAATACTTAATGTATTAAAAAATAATTAATATTATTGGGTTAAGTTTATATCTTTTACATTATACTAATTGTAAAGTCATTAAAGTATGCTCTTTGGTTTATTATTAAATAACCAGGGATCAGAATTTATTTATTCAGTAAACTTTTGATCATTAAAAGTTGGGGGGTTTTTAGTTATTATTAGCCCATTCTTGAAAAATAACCTAAACAAATATAAAGTACCCTGAACACTTGAAAACTTCAGAATATCTTAAAAGTAATGATTTTGATTAGTTAATTTGTAGTGCGTAACTAAATGCTGGTAACTGTTTATAAAATATAGCAAAAAGGGTCTAAATAATAATATCTTTTCTTAATTGTTAGCTTATCGGTTTAAACTAAGTTGTTGATATTTATAAAGATAAAGGTTTTACAAAAAAGAACACGTTTTGCCTGACCGTCGAAATGGTTGGAACTGAGCAGAAGGGAGCTTAACTTTGTTTACCACCAGTCAAGATGGCTAAATTGACTAAACTGACTAAGCAACGCCATCATCCTATCTTTGTGAGCATTAATAAAGTATTAGTGAGTTAAGTAATGAAAAGTTGTTTGGCTACAGTACATAGACTAATAGAAAGTATTAATCCCTCCACAACCACTTCGAGGGGAAGGTCTTTTCAAAAGTGTTTAGCTAAGTTTTTATTTAAGTATCAATCTTTCTATTCTTTAGAAAGTGTCCTTGTTACAGTTAATTATCCATTTAAATCGCACTTATGATAGATTAATGTTCATATTATTGTTCTATCTGGTCTTCTCTAAGGTTCTAAGTTGTTACCAATTTACAGAGACATTGCAAAAATGCATTTGTCTTCGTTTACTCATCTATCGTACCTGTTTTTAAAACCCTCTTCTTCTGACGTTCATAATACTTCGTCTTCCTAGATTTTATTGACCTACTCTTACCGATAACTAACAAAGGTCAATAGCGAATTTGGCTATCCTTTTAAGGTCGAGCTTAGTTTGCTCAACTGATTCATTGCCTCTTTTTTGAGTTTTTCTTAATTTAAGTTAATAAAACATAATATCTCCCCTTAGATTGTATAGCAAAATATTAAAGCTTTTTGTTTATACAATAGAAATGGTAATTAAGTTCTTGAAAAAGTCCCAAAGAAGTTACTGAATTTAAGATTAGAGCTCCCTAATAAACTTAATTCTTCTAAAAACGCCTGAAGACTTACAAAATTAAATTTCTTAATCACAGACAAAAATCTGAGTTAATCGTTGACAAGTAACTAAAGAGAAAAAAACAGTGAAAGTTAAGATCTTAAACTCATAAAAGGTAGTAGAAGGTTGACAAATACCTTTTTGATCTGGGTTGATATTGCTCTTCAGGCGAGTAAAAGGCCTTTGTCTGTACTGAAAAAGGTAACTCCGACTTCGTTTCAAGCTTGGTGGAGAAAGTTTGTTATGGATAAACTTAAAAAACTTTGTAGGAATTAAGTTTTCGTTTAAGTCTTCTCACCATATCAAACTCGATTTATTGATAGCGACAGCATGACTTTTTTACAATATTAATGGATAAACAGATGCTTTTATACTTAAATATTAATAGTAACCTCCAAATGCCCATTATCATTTCACTATCATTTTTGGTAACCAACCGCTTTTACAGGCCCCCACTAGCTTCGTGTATAGAAGGGCATAGGGAAGGCATGCAATACTATGTATCTAAGTTGGAAGATTATCCTAATTCTCGGGCTTTCTTAAATGTATTGCACATTGTTAGGGCCGTAAGAGAATGACTTAAATCTTTGCATGAGGTGATAAAGGCTACCTCACTGCTTTAATTAACAACAATAGTTAAGTTTGACTTAAACAATAAGCTATATGGCATGACTATAATTTTTAAGTAAGGTGTTATAATACTCGCGGGAATAAAACTCCAAATTCGGAGCTATCTATTTGTCTAAACTACAATTACAGCAGACAGTTTGACTTGCCTCATTATCTTAAAAAGATCAGCCCAGAGGCTCCCAAGGAGAACATCATGCACTCTTTTTATTGCACGACTGGCTGTCAAGTTAATTAAAATAACCAAAAGAACTTAAACTTATGAACGGTGCGTGCTGAAACACACTTTAACAGGTAAAACCTTATACACATTTTCCTGAAATAAATATCTAAGATACTATAAATGGAATATAGTTTATCCGGTTCAACTTCTAAATCTTGCATCATAATCTAATTTCCTTTTTTTTAAAGTAAAGTGCCTGGTTATATATTCAAAAAAAATATCAGTCAATATTTCTATATTGGAGCATACTTCCAGAAAACACTTTTTTTTCTGTTTAATTTTTAACAATATACACATGACACAAGTATATAAATGACATACAACGTTTGCAACGATATATTAGAGATGAAAAGCATTTTAGACGTTAAAGATTGTAGAGGAATGAATAATGTATTTCTAATATTAAGTATGGCAACAGAATGTATTTTTAACATGGAGGGAGTAGACTAAAGTTTAGGGAGCTAGGTAATAAAATATTCTAAGCTTTAGGTTTTAATATTAAAAAAAAAAAAAATTAAGGATGCCAAGACAGAAAATGCAAGTGAAGTTTGGTTAAGGAGAGCGGCGGGATCAAGGCATAACCAATTTTTTAATAAATCATCGCATGATGTAAAGAAAAATTGTTAGAGTACAAGATATATGTAAATGACTTTAAAGCTAAACTTAATAAAAGAAATATAAATTTTTTGTGTATCTTGTAATATGCTGCATTCTCCGGGCTATAAATGTAAAAAGATAATGATGTAACACAAGTTTTCACTATGTTGCCCAAAAAAGGCAAAAATATAAATTAAAAAAAAAAAAGGAGAGGGTTTAAAATAAAAGAGCGAAGTTAACGAATCATAGCACGCACTTTAAATATTAAAGTAATAACATTATAAATATATGTAGAACCTTTCGAGGGCCTAGAATCATTATCTTGGCTTAATTCTAAGAGTAATCTGGTGAACCTCTGTTTCATTATTAATAGTTTTATACGTGATATAGCTTTTACTTGTTATGTACACACAGTAATATGTAACAACACAGCTACAAAGACAAGAAACGAAAAGAGAAATGAGAACGACCTAATTAAAGCATATACCATGTATAATTATATGACACGTATTGTGCTAGCACAAAATGTATAGATACAGTTAATTAATAGGGTGACTCATAACATTTACAGTTTAACAGTACAGAGGTAAAAATTAATATTATCACGTGTGAGAATAATAAGAACAGAATTTGTTTTACTTTATTTTTGGACAGTTACTATAGGTGTTGGTACGACAAGATACAAAACTGCTGACACCGGATAAAGGGAAGTGCGCGTATAAAATTAAACGATCATTATTATGTAAATGTATACAAGCTCTCCTCAAAGGTCAGAAGCAGCCCTCTCGATTTGGTTCCAAGGTGAGCGTGTAAGGCGCTCTTTTATTTTTAACAAAGCATCTTGCTTTTATATATTTTATTGATCACTGGTTTAATTGAAACCACGTGCGAGGGAAAACACAACAAGATAAATTGATTAATAGCTGTACTTTGATTTTATTTCGTTAGCTACAGCTTATGCTATGGTGTTGTAACTCATTGCTATCGCCTTATATACGAACATCCACTATTTCAGAGCAATTATATAAGTTTTCAACCACTAGTTTAGTTATTTATGGTAGCAGTTTCGTAAATCTATGAAAGTTAAAGTAAATTCTCACCTACTATATAAAATTAAAATGATAGTGAGGCAAATGGAGCAGCTTCGGTATGATAAGACGTAGTTCAATTCGTTAAGGAAGCTTATTTATAATTTTAGTTTCCTTCTTACTCCACAAACAGGAGATAAAATGTTTCGGGATGCAGCTGGTGATTTCAAAAAAAAAAAATTGGTCGAGGATACTTTAGATCGAGCTCGCTCTATGTACTCCTCTTTTAAGAGGATGTACAATGATCTTGTAAGTATAATCATGTCAGATTATCAGTTGTTTACTAAAAACCGAGTAAAATTATTATTTTAGGCGGAAGAACTAGCTTCTACTTATACTTATAACCGCCACGACATAATTACTCCTGAATTAGAGAATCTTAAAATTATCTGCCATACCGGCAAAGATGAACTCTCCAAGGCAAAAGACAAGGTTTGCTTTCTCGAATACTTAATGTATATATTGACCTTAATTAATTTATTTGTTAGAAAAAATTTGGTGTACTTATAAAGCCTTACATGATCGGAAATAAAGTAGGGGACTACTTTGAAACTAAAAAAATTGCAGTATTTAGAGGTGGTAAGAAGAAATAAACTCGAGGTTATTACAATTAAATTGGTTTTTTTTTTAGAACTTCTACCTTCCCTTTTTATTATTATAATATAGTTTCTTATATGTAGTAGTCCCGAGATCTAATTTACATTGCACACAATGCCGTTTATACTACTATTACCTTATGTAAATTTTTAATCTTTACACATTTGTTTTTTTTGAAAATACTTAACTATATTAATCCGGTCTGTAGTAAGTGCCTCGTAAAACTTCTTTATTATCTGTAAGATCGCCTGATTAATTCGAAGTAGGCAATCTTATTCGACTGACAATCAGGCCGAAGCTTAGGTAACCAGTCATTCAATTTTAAAGGCACTCTTTGGGAACAAGATTACTTCCTTCGGGGAAAGCTGTCACTTCCAACTTTTCTTCATGACTCTCCTGGTGTACTCCTGCTTCGGGTGCTAAACATTTTCCGACTTGTAAAGACGCAGCGGTTACACTTATGACCTGTTGCAAACCTTTAGCAGGTAAGAGTGCCTGCATGAGAAGCTCCTCTCTTAACTGAGGCATAAAGCCGTTCACTTTTGCCCATGTCACTTCAGACAGAGTTTGCTTAGTCAACTCTGTTTCGCCTTCTGGCGACTGTCAACCCATGTATATTAGATTGCTACTTCAGGCGTGAACGTATCATAACTACCCCGCTTTGCAAGAAACCGTTATCCACCAGGACAAATAGCATATTCTTTAGGGATTCTAAAACGGATTCTCTCTAGAGAGTAGGCACGGTTAAAAATTTTTAAAGCATTGCACATATAATGGAATGCTACCAAATAAAGGCTATTATTTTCACTCGAACACTGTTCCAGGTATTCTAATACAGTCTTCCACAGAGAAAAAAAGTCTTCAAGAAGGAGCAATTCCTGTATGTGCGTCAGGCAAGTTTTGCAGAGCAGGTTAGCTGTGAGGAAGCAGATACACGCTGAAACTTACAGTAAATATACACAAACAAAATGGACCCGCCTGAAACCGGCTTTCATCGATGGCCTCCGGGTCCACCTCGTCCATGTCGGAAGATAAAAGCGCTTCTAGCACCGGGAACAAAATCTTTATGACAGTAATTAGTTAATAGTAAGCGGGGAAGAGAATTTATATTTTGTATTTTATTGCAAATTTACTGAAAAAAAATCGACTTTTCGTCGTAATTATTCGTAATCCGAGTTTGAACCTCCTTGCCTTATTAACATAAAGTATTAACCTCGTAAAAACATTGACGCCACTGCTCTTTCGTCATTTTTCTGCACGATGGTAGCAGCAGTGCGCGCTGGATGAGAGAAAGTGCGTTCATTCGAATCGACCTGTCGCTGTAGCGGGTCATCTTGGCAAAAGTTTCCTTTGTTTATTAAAGGTAAGAGGAGGCGTAAAAACTAACACCAATAACATACGAGAAGTGTTCGATTGAAAACAGGCCAGACATCGGCTGATGAGCAGATTGACAGAGCGCGAGAAGTTGCTTCCAGGCAAAGGTTAAAGAAATATAAGGGGCTTTGCTGGTAGCATGTGGGGCGCTTTTGACGGGATAATTCGGACTTAAAGTTAGTAATAAAGCGAGCAACTTCCCTGACGAATGGCTCAAAACTGAAGACGTTTATAAACTTATCGACAATGCATTTCTTTGTAGAATAAAATGGATAAGTAGAAAGTTGAAAGTGTTTGAAAAAAAACAGAAGGTGGAGTACCAGTATAGCCAAGGCAACGCTATTTTCGTGGCTTAACAAGAACGAGTCGACTACTGAAAGCGACAATAGTATCTCTAAAGTAATATCTTTGTATTAAAATCAAGAGTTTCTGCGACAAGGCAAAGAGTGATAATGTTTATTTCTTTGCCTCTTATATCTCATGTAAAGCACTTAACATTTCTATTAACAGTGTTTTTCATTATGCTATTTTCGAAGAGGCACAACGCTAATCACGGCTTTATAAGAGGAAGTAAAGTTAATTAATTTTTTGGCAGATATGAGAGGCCATGAGGAAAGCGTTGGAGCACGTATAGTAAAGCAATACCCCATTCTGCCTTGCTTTCAATTAAATGGCCATTTATGGAGATGAAATGGAGAATGCCACCGAACATTTGAAGGAGCAGCGAGGTGTCCCCAGAGTCCACAGCGTTTAACACCTTCATATACGCTATAAACTTAAAGCCACCATTAGGCAGAATGCGCGGTAAGCAATTAGCCGTGTGACCGCTCACACAGCTAATATTAATACATACTGAATAAAAAATCTTAATTTGCCGAAAGAAACGGTAACGGATATATTATTTTGATATACTTACATTGACTGGCGTTAACTCCTTCGTTGGGTACCAACTAGCGCACAGGCGCAGATAACAAACAACCGCCCGTTCTTTCAGTCTTCTTTGGTTAGCCGTACAAGTCTCAATGATTGATGCTAAGTGGCTAAGAGCACTTAAATCCGGTAGCGTCGGGCGCTTCTAAGCCAAAAAATACAAGTGGTCGTTAAGGAATAAATCACATTAGTTATGCTCAGGGGGCCATCAGTTCATCAACACTAGTAAGAAACAAAGTAAAAGGCTTACCTCGTTGTCTAAAATTGTGTTTGTTAATAATTCAAGAAATAGAATTTTCGACTCCTCCTGAGCGAGCTGATAGACTCGACTCTTTAAAGTATCATGCGAAGACGGTGCTTTGTGCACTTTATTTTGTGGCGCTAGAGAACAGAAAGAAATGTAAGAAAAAGGATGGCCAACAGTATCTGGTTGAGGACAACCCGAAATGCATTTTACGGGTAGGCTCAAAGAAGAAAAGAGTGCCTTATAAAAATATTCAAAGGACGTCGACTCCAATTTGCTGGAGCTTAAAAATATTTCAGGAATACGACACAACCGCACGCACTCCTTCAATTACTGAAGTAAGCAAATTGGCAGAAAAAGGTCGAAAGGATGAAACCTCAGCGGCTTCTCTCAGGTTTTTTTTCTTTTGAGCTTCTGCTATTGTGACCTCATGAGTGCCTGCCGGTAGGGAAAAAATATGGGACAACAGAAGTAGAGCAAGAACTTCAAGAGGCGTACTTAAATAATAAGCCAGAGAAGCGAAGATGCCGCCATGCTGGTTGTAGCTTTCCATTGGTGCTTGCTGCAGCAACACTTTTTTGTTAGAACTTAAATCCTTTAATATAGTTCGTAGAAACAAGTTAAAAGTATAGTTAAAAAGGTTAAATGAAAGAGACGTGCAAAAGCAGAAGATTTTCGGGGAGAAGCCGCGCAAAGAAGAGTTGCTGGACGCAGCGGATAACATTCTCCCAACTGGTTCTCATAACGCTACCGTGCTCTCTCACCAATGAAAACACTAGTACGCATTAAAAAAAAAAGCATACGCACATCGCCTCCAAAATAAATTATAAATTTACAAGTAACGGCAGCGAGCTGGCCTTTATGGTCCATGCCGAAATTACAGGCAAGCGTACTAAAGTTCAAATCAGTTTTTTCGGTACAAAGAGAAGTTGCATCACTGAGGGACGATATTAGAGTGTCAAATACGCGGCTGTTTTGAAAATGAGCTGCCAGCGCAGCACAAAGGCGAAGACCGCTGACGGAAAGCTGAATAGAATCGGAATCCTGGATAAGATGGAGTGAGAAAATGCATTAGTCGACGGGCGGCAGTTAATTAGGTGTACGGCGGTAGAATCAAAAGCTCCCAGAAACGCTTCAACAGCGGGACCACACACCACTTCATAAAGCTCACTATCATACAGGTCAGTGGCGGCCATAACGTACTTTGAAGAGGTTACATCTTGACTTTTAAGAAGCACCTAACAGCAATTACTTTTGCTTCAGCTTTCCTTAAATTTAAATCTACAAACTTGTTCCCACTCGTAATCCTCGGCAGCTTGGCCGGTAAGTTGGTCGGATATAACAATCTCGCTTTCCCTAATGGAGTTATAGATCCCAATTAAGTAGTCACGATCTGATAAGAGCCCGTGAGTTCGGGCCTTGAAATGCGTAAAGCGTCAGAATTAATGTTTTAAGAGAACCCAAATCGCTTCCGCTATTGATGCCTTTTTGGTTTTGTATAAACTCTTCAACGGTCATTTTGTTCCTTATTTGTCTGCTGTGCTGATCAACATTTAGCATGATGATGGCGTACCTGCAAAAAAAAATCATTTAAGAACATTACCGCAAGTAAGCTATGAATTGAAGCTACGCGTGAGCTAGGACGGCGTCCTCGTTAGCAAACGCATCTTTATTCATGCTAAAATATTTTTTTGAGTTATTTTAGTAACGTGTAAGAAGGGCATATTTAATAATTTTATATGCATTATGTGTCGGGAAAAAAAAGCATTTATTTATTTTTATAGGCGCTTAGCTAGAAATTAGGTTTTGAAATAAGGGCGGCAAAGTAAAACACATTCTCAAAACTGTAAGTACCTATAGTAAATAGCCGAAAAGCTCTCCATGAAGCGGTATATAACTTGTGATTCGCCGGGCAGTCGAAATCCTTGTAAAAATCGGCGAAGTGATTGGTCACAGCGCTCCCGCCTGAAGTCAAATAGGCGTGCATAAGCGTAAATTAGCTGCTTGTTTTCTGGGCTCCCGAGGTACTCCTTTAAGAGTTAACGACCCCAATTACGAATATGGTTTCCAAATAGAGGCTGAAAAGAAGACCCCTATTCGAGACTTTTTTAATTGCGGTAATTTAATAAACAGCGCGATGAGGCCGTCTTCATAGTCACTTCTGCTTGAGGAAGGGCTTGCAACCAACGAGTGTTTTATCATAAACTCTACGCCTTCGCAAGAGAGTGATTATGACTGCAGCTAAAAAATATATTTGAATTTGAAACCTTCTTGAGGTCTCTTGTTAAAAAGCTTTACTGCTTGCGCCAGCACCTCTTTTTGCTTCCGAAGTGCCGTAATTGATTCCAAAGTAGGCAACTTATAAAATTCTAAAGTAAAAAGGCAGAAACGTGTACAATGTGTACGTAAAAACCATAGAATAGGGGGGTGCGGGCCGAGAACCTTCCGAGAATTTTCTACGAGAAAATATTAGAAAAGTAGGATGTACATAGAATAGCATATACAAAAGTTAGATAAAAGAATTAGAAGGTACTGCGCGGACGAAAGCGCTTTTTGCTTGGCAGATCTCAGTTCAATTTTTTCGAGAATTAAATGAAGTGTCTCCAGAAATAAAAAGCGTAAAGAGCCTGTAATAGCGCCTGCATTTAAGGAGCGCTGTACCGAAAAGTTTTTAAAGATTAATATTAATTTTTAAAACAAAGCAAGCATACACGGGAAAGAAAGCAAAGGATATCAGAAAGGACATTGGCAGAGTAGAGATCGCAATCAAAGTTGACGAATAATTCCACTTCAAAAAAATCAGCGCGTAGCAGCTTTAGGAACGTATACTTAGTCTATACAAGAAGAAGCCAAAAAGATAGATGCCTGTTTAAGAGTATCCAGGGCTACTTCTTGGTGCCCTAAGGAAAATGAGCCGCTACTAAAAAGAGCTAAAAACGTTCGCAAAAAGTGTTGAAGCTGTTATAGAATATTTATAAAACGAAAAAAGAGAGGAGGAAACTGCAGTTACCTGGTACTTCAAAAAAACACGAAACTGAACCACGAGGAGAAACCATGAGCGTAGAGCGAGGGTAAATAAGGGCAACTTGCTCCCGCGCAGTATGCAAAGGAGGCGGTGGCAAAGCTTGGTTTCAACTAAACTGAAGATGCAGTCAATGCGAGAGAGAATCTTTCCAGAAACTTCCAAGCAAGAAGTTACCAGCTTAAATAGATCAGAAACAGCAGCTACAAAATATACTATGTTAATACCTCAACGCCAAGGAGAACACTTGAGTAATGGTCTGTTGGATCTTTCCTCAAGATTAATAAAAGGAAGAGAAATACTTTTCGAACACAGTGAAGGCCGTACGGTCTACCTTTCGCTTAAAAAAACGGGTAAAAGAAAAGGGCAGTACCATATAATATAAACTCACAATCCAAATCAGTCAATACTGTACTTAAAAGTGTTGTAGAAAGCGAAACACTACAGAAACAAGTGAGTAAGAAAAACAAACTATTTATTGAAAAACAGTATTGTGGTACTCGCTGTTCAGTGCTGAAACCTCCTTTTCGAGCATATCCGCATCTTCTACTTCAGTGGGTTGGCACGCAAATATGCTAACAGCAGCAGAAGACCCCTCTAAGTTCGAGCGCTCAACGCCTAAAGGTCAAGGAAGACAGGCGTTTATTATGAGTAGTGAGCAGGGAAGTTATGGATCGCCTAAAAGAGAGGAGAACAGACTTTCAGCCGGCTGGTCATCTAAAGCAGTATCATCCTCAAGCTCGCTCAACCTTAATAAAGAACAGATCGATAAGGAAAAACGTAGTAACCACGCAAGCAAACCTCCCAAAAAGTTTAACAACAATATCTTTTAGTGTCTGTTCAGCGCATTTCCCAAGCAGTTCGGAAAGACTAGAACGGTAACATATGCCATAAACAGCCTATTGAAGTACCAAAACGATATAAAAGTATTGAGAGTGTACGTATGCAAAAACTTTCAGATTTTAGCAGAGCTGAAACAATACTTGTATGGCGTCTAAAACAGTCCGAGTAGGAAGTATCGTACCAGAGGCGCTTGTTAAAATAGTTTTCAAAACCTGATTATGCAGAGAGTTACCAAGCAGTAGCCAAATCATATTATATATGAAGAACCTGAAGAAGTTTCATGAGAACGACCTCATCGCTTTCAGCGTTGGTAAAAACAAAGCGTGTTCTTGTTACAGCTTCGGCAATTGCAGCAATACCTCTCGCATAGTTGTGTAAGTTGGCTAGTAAGTAGAAAAGTATCAATGAAACAGAAATTTTATTGGGATAGTCTTGTTTTAGATCTTGACAACCCGTGATCGTTCACAAGTGATAAAAAATGTATTACTATGCCCAGGCACGTTGTTAAGTAGGTAGACTAAATAATTCGATGGTCTTGCAGATTAATACCACCAGCTATGCAAGTTTGTACTTTTCGTACAAACGTAAATGATGTTTCGTTATGGAAAAAAAAATCTTAACATAAGGTTTAAGTGAGTCTTCAGTTTTGTACTAAAACTCGCTAAAGATGCTTGCATATTACAAAAGCAAGCTCCCTTAAAGTTTAATTCAACGTATGTTTATGCTTTCAGGTAACTTAACTCAGTAGTGTCGAGAAAACGCAAATTAACTTTGACATCAGTGCCAACTAAAAACAAGTATTGGTCTGTTACCCAAGATGCCGGTTACTAAAAACTTGTTAATTGAAGAAAGAGCGACACCAGTAACAGGACCAGAAGTAAATTCGCAACGTATCACTTCTAGAAAAGGTTGAACCTGTCAGTAATATATATAGAAACTTACATATGAATGAATAAATTTTTATAGAAATAAAATTAATTAAACCTTGAAAAAATTAAACATTATATATAAACGTACGATGAAAAGTAGCTCTAGGCTCTCTGGAGCTTCCAAGTTCGAGTATAGTAAAGAGATCAATGCTTTGAAGTTTTTCAAAAGTTGATCCTCTTCAGTAGCTTATTAAGGTAAAGAAAAACCCGAGTTAATTAAAAGGCAAAGTGATAACGCATACCAACTTTACCATGTTCCAAAGAAAACCAACCATTGCTCTTTCTCAAAAAGAAATTACGGTCCATATCTAGAGTTAAAAAGTAATACTTTAAAGCTTCAAAAAAATACAGCGTACCAACCTCGGTTTGTATGATCCACGCAGTTATTGTTTCCTTCATCCTTCTCCGTAAAAACTGAAAAAAATTTTTTTTTTTAGTGAGAATGAGTAGGTTTATGAAATAGCGCTGAATTAAAAAGCTACCCTCACCACAGATCTGCCACTGATAACCTTTATTGAAGGTTTTTAAAGCGTATTTCCTTTGCTCTAAGTTTAATCAAAGAAACCAACCCTCAGGAAAAAATTGGCGCTCCCTTTGGAGTGGAGACGGTAAGGCGACTCCCGGTGGCGCTTTCCAGCAGATTTTAACTGCCCGAGGCCATTTAGTGATAGAATAAATTTGATCCGCAAAATTTCAATCTTTTAAAGCAGCCTATACGGCTAATGGTATCGGAAAATTGTGATTTTTTTATAAATCAGTCTTCATTTTAAAGTTGTGTAAAAAAAAATTTTAAAAATATAAATAGATATTACTGTTCTACTTACTTCCCAAGGTAAATTTTTTAAAATTAAAGTTGTTAAAAAAAATCTTTCAGAGTTTTACAATATATGAAAAAAATTGCTAGTTATATTTTATAAGCTCCGCGGATCTTTATCAAATAGTATATAGCAAATATAACACAGCGAAAATCTATTTAGAAAGCTATATGATTTGGATTTAAGAAACTTTTTTGTACCCGAACTAGTGATAATTTAATGCTCGAGAACCATTCCCAGCGCTACCATTCATTAAGTCCTCGTGGTTTTAAGCCGATGGAAGCCCCTGCAGTAGTATACATGTCTTTATATCCTTCACAGTGCGCAGTTAACATATAAATTGCTTTTACTGCTTCGTGTTACCCATTTAGACTGTTTTCCGACTTGCCATTAAATACCATAATCACTACTTAATTACACGAGAGCGTGTTTGGTCTAACTTACCTTGTAGCCCCCTGGTTTATATATGATTGGATATCTTACCATGAAGTTAGTATTTTTACCCCTCCTATGAAAGTTAAGTATGAACAACTCTATATTGTACTCTTTTATGATTTAAGTATTTTAAATTTCTGAAATGTTGAGCATTTTTAAATAATCCTGAGGCGTTGATGGGCCTCCGCAACAGCTTTTTTTTTTGGATATTTATTTATTCGCCCGATAAGTTAAGAGGAACAGTAATCCTACTTGAAAAGCATCGCTTAAGATAGATAATGTCACTTTGTTTTTCCTTATTGAATTTTCTTGGGTAGCGCAGTCAGCCTTTTTGCTTTGCATAGTATTTAATGTATATGTTTTGTCCATAATCACTTCAAGATATTTTGTTTCAGAATTACGTGGAAAGCTCCCGTACGTAGGGGCATTATTTAAGGGTGCTATTTAATTATTATTAGATAAATATGCTTTCAGTCTTCTTTACGTTAGTTTTTTAATCTCCACCTTTCGTGCCACTCATAGATCTCAATGATTGAAGTTTAAAGGCTTGTGCAAAGCAATGAAGAGATTTAATGAGGGAAAACAGGGGGCCCCCTCCTAAGCATAAAGTGTATACATGTGTTTTTGGAGGCTGGAAGACATATTAGAAACATCACATAATATAAGAGCCTAAGGGTGCTCACCATTTCATTTCAAGCACGCTAAATAGGGGAGCTTTGCTCATATAAATCTTCTTTTTAATTGAACTTCTAATGACCTATATTATAACCGATAAGCTTTGGAATGGATAGAGTTCGTAAAAAGTCCGAGGTGCCGTACTTATTAATTTTTAATAATAAGGGGCCCGTTACTTAAAGTTCCTCAACTATTCGTAGTATTCTTAGTATCATAATAAGTTTGTTCCTAAAGTCATACTGTTCAACTGATATCACATTTTTTGGGGGTAAAATTTAATAGGACTTGACAATAAATCTTTAGAATGATGGCCCCTAATATCCTGTGATAGAGGAGTACATTTAATAGCATTACTAACAGGGCGGTTTTTTATCCATTTGAGAAAGATATCAGGGTGAGAGCCAAATTAATTATACTTACAATTTGCACTAATTAAGAAATTTTTAGTAGTTATAAGGCAGGGTTCGATATGTCATACCAATCAACTGCTTTTTTGAAATTAAGCTCTTTTATAATTCTTTCTAATACTTTAGTTGTGAATGAACTTAGGGGGAGAATCCTTTTTTTTTTCTGAAAAACTCATCGAAATCTTATTAACTTCATTTTGTTTTCTGCGAATATGAGTTTGCACTATTCTCTTAAGTTGATGTTTAATGCTTTTATCAATTTTATACAGTTATGCAGTATAAACGACTTCTTTTTCTTAGACACCAGAGAGTACTGTGGTCATTAGTGTGAAATAACAACCCAATTATAGGTGCATAACGGTTACCATGCAAGGAACTGCAAAGCACATTTGATAAAAAAAAATTTAAGCCGATACAAAACACAAAAAACACAAAATAAACATTAAGAAGTGCCAAATATAGAAGTTCACAGTCAGCAGGTTATTGGATGAGAAAAATTAATTCTTTAAAAAAAAATTTTTTAATTAAAATAATTACAAAAAAAACAAGGAAGTTCATTGGTCGGCAATTCCGGGATTTTATATATAAAGGAGTAACTAACTAATAAATTGACCTCTTTAATTGACCTCTTTAGCAATTCTTCTGCACTTAATTTTAACATTGATTTAATAAAAATTAAAGACTAGTTGTCGGAAATAAATCCCATTTCCTAGAAATGGCTAATCTTAAATTAGTGTATAAAAGGCGGTTTACAATTTGGAACTAATAAGCTCTTGGTATTCAGGAGATCCTTAGCGTGTCTGCGCCTTCTAACTAGTCGATTGGCGTAGTGGGCTATCTCTATCTTAATTTCTATACATATACCTATTTATATTTTTTAGTTATTAATAAAATAGCAACTTACTATTGCTCTAAAAGCATATATTCCAACAATTAATCCATGTGCCTATTGAAACTATTGTTTTTGTGTAATTCCGCTATGAGGTTTCCACATTTAGTTCTAATGGTCAATTTTTTTTTCTGCCCTAGTCAGTTGTAAAAAAAAAACGCCTTTTAGAAAACGTTGAATTAACACAGTAAGTAATAGTACTCATATGTTTGTTATATCTCATATAGCGTATAACAATATGGCCAGTACAAACTAATATAAAATAATCATATTTTAGGACAAAATAAGTTAGTCTTTCTACTCATTAAACATTTGTAAAACAATAAATAATTGCCTTAGCCCCCAATTTGTATTGTACAAAATATTTTTGTAAAGCGTATTTAGTTAATATAGTAATATGTAAAAGTTGACTATTATATAATATATAATAAATAAATTTTTAAAATGAATTACTTTAGTAATTTTTTAATTTCTGCTTTTTCAATGGACATAAGAAATATAGCACTCATGTTGCCAATTTTTTATAAAATACGGACAATTACTTTATTCATAGCCAAAGCGCGCCCGAATTTTTCGGTTGATACCTTTAACCAGTGATATAGCACAATTCAAACTGCACGTCCTTTTTAAGGATTACAGTCTAATAAATAAAGATTACAAAAAATAAATTTTTTTTTTGCGGAACCACGCTTTTTTGTTCCTTTTTTCTCTGTGGCTTTACAAAAGTCAAAGGTTATTTTAAAATTTGAGTAATAAATTTAATTGACCAAATAGTTTTTATGGAATATTCCTTTGCTGTGATTGGTGCAATTACGGATCAATTTTCCTGTGAAAAATTGAATGAGGTTTGTGGTATTCTGTAAACTCGTTTATTTGGTAGTCTTTCATTAAAATTACTTGGTTTAACTAAGTTTATGGATGTCTTTTAATTTTAGATATAATTAATTTTATTACTTAATTTTTATATACGCGGTTGTGGTTTAAAATTTGAATGTTGTATTTATTTAAAAATTACTGATTATTTGGTTTGGTATATTCTTGTCACAGTCGACTTGAGTGATTACACGATTAGAGGTTCAAATTAACAAATTTTAATAAGTTTTTAGTAGTGATTAAGTAATATAACTTTTGCGCAATAAGACTAACTATCTTCATACAAAAGAGACCAAAAAATTTAGAAGTACAGTCGTTGTAATTATTAGTAATTAAATGGTTATTATCAACTACAAATGTTTAGTTTAGTGGGCGAGTTTTATTACTAGATGTTTCTGGTTAATTCTAAACTTAGCCCACACTTAAAAATAAACCTGTGGTGATGAGCTTAGCTATATTTCACCAATCAAGTAACTAAAAAAAAAATCAAAGTTAAGTTAAAATTAACTAAATTATAGGAAGCCATCGTAAACTTGGGAGAATTAAAGTTATCATATATAACCCTTTGAAAAGGTAAAAGAAGGTAAAAGTTAATGAATAATTTTATAATAATTAGGATAAAACTCTAGCATGTATTACAATAACGCAAATTTAAACAAACTTTTCTGACATAAACAAGGTTAACTGGTAACTAAGTTTGTATGGAACGCTAAATTCGACTTCAAATCGTTTATTTCTAGAAAATTATATAAAACTTCTGCAAGTAATTTAACATTGTCAAGCTAATAGTTATAAATCAGATCAAAAATAACTTTCGCTAATAACTGTATATAACTAGACTAACGTTAATAAATATAAAGGCACCAAGGACAACAAATGAAACATAATGATTGTAATAATTATGATAATAAGAAAAAAATAAGATCGACTTAAACTCGTTTATTATTATTACATTTCAAAGTCATTAAATTTTTTAAATCACCTTCCACAGATATTAAACAAAAAAAATTCAAGGCACGTGTATATCGGTGGATAATGATTAAGGCCCTCATAAAATAAAACAAAATTTTATATATATAAAAAATAAAGTGCCTAAAACTCGTTTACATATTTTATATTCAAAGCCCAAAATTTTTAATCGCCTTAAAAAGTGGAGAATTAATTTAATTAAAAATTGCAAGATACACGCGCAATAGTAGAATACAATTACGACCCTCTTGACGCCTTGTAACATTATTTTTATTATTATAAATTTTCATACTCGCAATATTATTAGGCGCCAACAAGCTAAAACAGTACGCACCTGAAATTATAACAAACCATATATAAAGAAAATAACTAATCCACCAAGAGTAGAAGGGCGAACCCCAATTGATAAATTGCCTCATAACTCATATAAGAAGTGTAGCGTGAAAGGAAAATTATAGATATAAAAAAAAGCTATGTAACTATTTCTCAACTCAACAAATTTTTGTATAATAAAAAAACCGCATAACAATCTTATAAAATCCGTAGGAAATGAAGCAGGAAAAAGCTTCTATAACTAATTTCCTTACTTCGTTTATGTAAACATTCTTAAAACATGAAAATAAAAATAAAAATATTTCTATATTGTAAAAATACTTTTCAGTGCTCTAAATTGAGTAACGCATAACTTTAACCTAAAATCTCTTAAGCCTCGCCAAAATAAGATAAGAGAACAGCGGAGAATAGTAAAGTTATCCTCGCTACGAAAATGCAATAGGAAGAGCCTAACGATGGAATTATAAAGATGGTCTTTCTAGTGCAAAGCCGTTTCCTTTGCTTTTGTCTCCAATTGGATGCTCTGAGCCGAAACACGACGCTCCTAATAGTTTAAGTGAGTTATTTCTATAAGCCAAAGAAGATAAAAAAAAGATGGTGAGAGCCAATGCGAAAAAGTGTATATAAATTTTAATGTCTACACGAAAGATGACACACTGCACAAAATTCACATGCACGCAACAAAGGCTGGAGGTCACATATTAACACGTTTTTTAACTGTTACATCTGATAATATATAAATGAGAAGAGTAAATAAAGGACAAAAATACGCAAGAGGTAATTTTTTAAAAATTAAAGAAATAAAAAAATCTTGTTACCTACAAAAAAACGGCAGCAACATAATAACTATTATTTACAGAGAAAACCCACCTTTCTTTTAATATGGCTTAACGCCCTTTTTATCTGACTTTTTTAACTGAACTTTAAGCCTTTTGTTCATAGTTTGATAGCCATTCATAGCAGCAATGGCGTGAGATGCAGCCTCAGCATTGTCGTAACTCACAAATCCTTTACAACAAAGTCTAAGTAAAAAGGAAAGAAAGACTTATCCAAGCAAGTTTACCAAAACATTTGCTTTGATTGGTTGCCGGATCAATGTAAACTTTAGCCGAAATAACATTTCCAAAAGGGGCGAACAAAGAGCGCAGCTCAGTATCACCAATAGAAGGTGGAAGATGGTAAATAAAAAGATTGGCTCCTTCCGGCCCTGTTGCCCCTCGCGTGGGCGCTCTCGGCTGCATGTATTGGTTGTAGTAACCCATAGCGGCCCCTGTTACTGGTTGACCGTACTGATCATAACTCGGGCCCGCCACGTTGTACTGAGTATAATCTGCTATTTTCAATAAAATTAAAAAACAAACAAACAACAAAAGCATACAAGCCCCGCTAAAAACTAACAACCATGCTGAGCCGCAGAAGAGGGCCCCGAAAACCCCGTTTGCTGGTGAGGTTGACTCTGCTGCCATAATCCCCACTGGCTAGGCTGGCCACACCCGCCGTACTGCTGGGCAACGGACGGCTGGTTGTACGGCGCTCCGTAGTACCCGGATGATTGACTAGATTGAGTCGGCTGCTGTACATACGCTTGGCCATGTGGCCCACCAGCTGAAGCCCCTGGCGGATGTACTGCTGCTGGAGAACCAGAGAATCCCTGCGGAGTAACCGGGTTGGTCAACGCCGGAGACGGCTGCAAGGGGTGCATGGGCGCTGCTATACCAGCGACCTTATTCCTATAAGGAAGCCGGCCGTGGGCAGAAGGTAAGGGGGGGCCGTCCATGTTTCCCCGATCACCAAATTGTGGGCGGATGTGGGATTCAGGGGGTAAAAAAGCTCTGGTTCGCTTATACAAGGGACCGCTGTTGCCCTCGTAGTAAGTATGATGGTGGTGGTAATGATTGTGGCCGCGATAATCGTGGTCGGGAGGGAGCCTATTTCTATACAAAGGAGCGTTCATCCGAGGCGGAGGGGGCCCGCTCCCACGTAGCATTTGGTTGCGTTTGATCTGTTTTTCCTTTTCTGTTTCAGCAAACTTGACCACAATGGGAGTCGCACAATTTTCCATTTTATAAATTCCGTGCAACGAATCAATAGCGGCCTGATTATAAATGATGCCCGTGTTACAAATTATATGGCTAAGACGCCTTCACGTTTAAGTAAATCACCTGCGCCTGCTCTCTAGTGGCAAACTTCACGAATCCGCATCGACGGCTTTGATTCATCGGGCCTTTTAATACAGCGCATTCTTCAATTTCCCCATATCCAGAAAAAAGATCTCTCAAAGTTCGTTCATCAGCTTCCCTTGAAAGCATCCCCACGAAAAGTTTGGTGGTCAAATTCTTTAGCTCCGAATCAGCAACTTTTACTATTTAATAAAAACTAAAATAGTCATAAATAATATTTCTAAAAAAAATAGCTTTACCCTGAAGATGGTTCATCATGCCAGGAAGCCTTTTTTTATCGTGAAGCTCTTCAATCGCCTTTTCTGCAGAAACGCGTTTACAAAACGTCAAAAAAGCGCAACCTTTAGGCCCTTCGCGTCCTTAAAAATTAATAATATATTGATATAAAAAAATATTATTATAAAAGATGAGTTATACCCTTTAAAATGGTGCACTCAAAAATTTCTCCAAACTCCTCAAAAAGAGCTCTTAACTCACTTTCAGTAAAAGCTTTTGGGATTTGTCCAATAAACAATTTAATGGCATCTTCATCTTTAACTTTATCATTAAAGGAATAGTTGTAGTCATCCTCATAAGTATAATTATCATAAGAATCCGATATAAAATTAGATCCTTGCTCCTGAGATCCTTCCTCATAAAGAGAAGGATCCAAAGGCTCTGAATGCTTTTCTAATACTTTATTATCAAGAAACAAATGATCACTGCTAGAACTAACAACTTCGCTAGAGTCGACGTGTTGACTATTTTCGTCAGAATTTTGAAGATCGGACATATGTTCTATTATAAAAAAATAAAATAAACCTTAAAGCAAAGTTAATATAAAGGTAAAAAAGTATAATAACCTCCTAACATACATAAATATACTAAATGAAAGCATATACATGCAGTTACAAGCTACATGTACTTAATAGAACTAAATAGATCATAAAGGAAAAGTGATATAATGAAATAGTTCTAGAAGTTCGATATATAATCGATTCATATAAAGAAGAAGAGACAAAAACAAAGGCACCTTATAGTGAATAACAATACAAAAGACTTAAATGGTAACGAGGTAATGCAAAACAGAAAATAATAAAGTATATAAGCTGTTAGCAAAGTTCGTCACGCAGCTCCGCAATTCAGGAAAGCATATGGAAGTTGGTAATTAATGTCTTACTCGGGTGCTAGAATTAGTAATTCGGTTCAATATAAGGTAATTAGCATAATATATATATCGCCTCTGCTATTGGCTAACGTTTATTTATTACTAAATAATTTTAGCCACGTGTCGTTTCCTTGTAGCAAAAATGATTTGTAGGTTTTTGCATAAAATTTTTTTCCTTTATTATGGTAAAGTATTACTCTTACTATAAATGTTTATGCATATTTTTACTTTAGAAATGAAAATTATAAAAGTAGTTCCAGTTAAGGGTTGTGCATATTTTTTTTTATAATTATAGTAAATTAAAAGCGTCATCCGCATTTTATCTCTATGATCAGAGAAAATGACGTCACAATTCGATGAACTATATAGAACTGTTTTTAAAAAAAGTGTTGCAAAAATATATTATTTGAAGAGAATTTTATAAAATAAGAATAAAAGCATACAGATATCTATTATAATTGTAAAATCTTTTTTACCTCTTCTTTTTTATTATTAAAGTTTATAATTATTATGAAATGATTAAAACATAATTGCCTGATTTGGTAACAATTTATGAAAAAAAAAGAATAAATGAAATATATTTATTAAGAGTTCCTTATTTTTAAATTTTGATTTGCTTGTAATTTAATGAACGCACAAGTAAAATTTTATATATCACCACCATTTAAGCGTAATCGGTAAATCTATTTTTTTGGGCTTTTTATAAAACTTTTCAGTGTTTTACGATAATAAATTTTTTTTAAAAAAAAAATAGGTTTTTTTCTTAAGTGCAAAAAAACTATAATAAAAAATGATCATTGGAAAACTTAAGAAAAACATTTTTTTTGGAGCAAAAAGAATAGAACGAAGTGGTCGACTGTGGATTTTATAGAGGACTCCCATTTCTTTTAAAAATATAACTAATTAATCGAAAAAAGCTTGCAAAAAAAAAGACCTTTTTATAAATATATCTCTAATCTTTAGTATTATTATTTTATGTGTATAATCCGATTCTTTAAAAATATAGTTTTAATTTTTACTTATATTATAAGTATTTTCTTTTTCTATTATTACTAACATTTAATTAAATTTTTAATTGTCCTTAAATTAATAAAAGATATAAAAATGGACTTTTATAGGTTTTTTTTAAACTTTTTTTTTCAAAACTTAAAAATATTTTACTAAGGCAGATCGAAATTAAATTTGTATAGTAGTCATTAATTTATATCAGATTTTCTTGGAATTGTGGTTTTTTATTATACTTACAGTGAATATACTATGCAAGTTTTATTATATTTTTTAGATAACTTTACATCTCTATCAAGTAAATGACTTGCAAGTGCTTTATTATTAAAATATTTTTCTAAGATAAAATTTTCTAAAAATAATTTTTTAATTTTTTTTTTAAAAATGGATTCTAAATTTTACATTCATATAAACCTGACTAATTAAAATATTATAGTTTAGTACTTAACTTTTATTATTATAATCTTTTTTCTTTTTATTGTTGTTTAATATATTTTTTACTTAATATTACAAATGATTTAAACAAGATATCCAAATGCTTTATAATAAATTAATTTTTTTAACCTGAAGATCATTATTTGAAAACGGATTACTTTTTTTTTTACTATTAATTTTTCTAACACGTGAATTATATTTTTTTTTAAATTATTAGAGATCTAAATCTTTTATATTTTTTATTATATAGTCCAGATTCTTTTTACTTTTATATTTAAATTTTTTTCTTTTCTTCTTATCATTAATACGAATAAATTTTTTTTAAAATTTTTTAATTTAAATGTCGATCAATAAAAGGAATTGCAGTCGCTTTATTGATAAATTATTTCTCTGAATTCAATTTTTTAAAACAGTTTTAGCTTTACAATAGAATTTTATTCTTGCTTTATATCATGAACGTTATATATATATGTATATATACCTCTTTTGAACTGAAAGTAATTAAAAATGAAAATTTACATATTTCTTTTAAAAAGATTATAAGCTTAAAATTCATAAAATTGGTATTTATCCTGATAAAGCAGCTTTATTTGTACTGAATTTTTTCAAGGCACATGAAATTAAAAATTCTCTCATAGAAATATTTTTTTTTTTAGAAATTTATATAATTATAAAAAAAAAGTAATAAGCAGCTTCCCAGAGTGTCTCCGCAGGCTGATAGTAAAGGGATAACAAAACTATCAGAACTTCTAAAAAAATTAGAGATGATTATAAATTAATTTTAAATTCTAAAAATAATTACAAGGATAAAAAAGATGTTATATAAATTCCGAAACTTCCAGCAATTAGCAAAATGAAGACCTTATAAATTATAATAAAATTTGAATTTATTATACATAATTTCAATTTAATAAAAATTTACAATTTTAAACAGTAAAAAAATAGTAAATAAAAAATAATATACAAATAAATTAATAACAAGAAAAAAAAAGTTAAATTCTAATATTTTACAAATTAAAATTAATTTTAAATAGATGATATAAAAAATATAATAGAAAATAAATTTATTAATAACACACAAAAGTTTACTAATTTTAAAAAAATAAATATTATATACAAAAAAGTTACTTACTATATATTTGATAAATTTTTAAATTTATATAAAATAATAAATATATATATTAAAAGTAATTTTATTTTTTAAATAACAAATAATATTAAAAATACAAAAGAAAAAGTGACGCGACATAAAATAAAATTAAAAATATTAAAAGAAAAGGATTTTAAATCATTTATTATCTAAAATAATAATACTACAAAAAATCAATCTCAAAACTTATAAGATAATATTTAAAAAAAGCATATAAAAATAAATTTATATAAAAATGTAAAATTAATTTTTTAACAAAAAAAGTAAATTTATTATTTATTATGACAAAAATATTAAAAAAACAAAATAAAGAAATAAATAAAATAATTCAAAAAAGCAAAAAGTAATAAGAAAAATTAAGTAAAGTTTTTAAAGCATTTATTTTTCAATATAATAAAGCTATAAAAAATAAATTTATATAGATATATAAAAGTAATTTTCTAACCAAAAAGAAATTTCATTATTTAGAAATAACTAAAGATAATAAAAAATACAAAATAATAAAAAATGATTTAAAAAAATTATAAAGCAAAAAAATATTAAATAATAAAATTGAAAATTTTTTTGAAGCTTTATTATATATAAAAATAAACCTATTTATGTAATAAACATAATATTAAATAAATAATATTTTATTAATAAATTTCAAAACTTAAAAAAAAAAAAATAAATTTATAAAAAAGGAAAAAGTGGATTTCTAATCTTTTGCTATTAATTAGAATAAAAGTAACAAAAAAATAAATTAAATATAAATAAAAAAAGTTTATTAATATAAAAAATGCAAACAATTAAAAATATATTAAAAGTAAAAAAATCGATAAACAAATAAAAATATTTGAAATAATAATTATTATACTTAAATATAGAAAAGTACCGAAAAAATAAAAATATATAAAAAAGTATTTTTCAAAAATATAAAAGTATTAATAACAATAAAATAAATACAAGATAATTAAAAAATATATTAAGTAATAAAATATAAAAATATTTACAATTAAGAATTAATTTTAGAAAAACTTAATAATAAGAAGTAAATAATAATTATAATAATAAAAAATAGTAAATAATAATATTATGATAAATACGAAATAATTTATAAAATATTGAAATAATAAAGGCATAAAATATTGAAAAAAATTATAAATAATAATTATGATAATAAAAAAAAAAGATAATAAGAAGTGAGTAATAATAAATATTATAAAGTAAAATAAAAAATAATAACAATATATTAATATATTACAAATTTGTAGTAAAAGTAAGGATACATTCTAAAGAAAATTTATTATTAAAATAATAAAAATAAAAATATAATAGTGACAAAATTATAAAAAAAATATATAAAAAAAGTTAAGATTACAAAAATAATAAAAGTTGCCTAACCTAACCCTAACCATAACTCTATTAAATACTACTTTATTCTATAGAAATTTATAGCTAATATATGAATATTTTCTAAGAAAAAAAAAATTATATTACTAATATATTAATAACTAAATATATATAGTATAGTTTTTAATAAAATAAATCATAAAAATATAAAAGTAACAAAATTAATAAAATAAAATAAAAAAAGATTTTAAAAAATATTAAATAATAAAAAAACGATGAAAAATGATAAAATTTATATACTAATAATAAAAGCATTTCTTATATATAAACGTTGTATTAAAAAAAATTAACTAATTATAATATAATAATAAACAAAATTTAAAAAAATTGTAAATTTTTTTATAAATAAAAAAATATAGAAATAATATTTATAAATAATAAACAAAATATAATAATAATATAAAAAAAATTTATAAAATAAAGTAAAAAAGATTTTTTAAAAATGTAATAAAAGTTTTATTAATAATAAAAAATGATATAAAATAATATTTTATAAAAAATATCAAAAGTTATAATTATTATAATAATAGTTTAGAGTAAAAAAAAAATATAAAAATAATAATAAGAAAAAATATAATAAATAAGTAAAACTAAAAAAATGATAGGTATTAAAAAAGTTAATAAAGTTATTATTAACTTCTTATATATAATAAAAGTTATAAATATCACAATAATAAAAAAATATAATAAATATATTTGATAATATATTTATTTGCTTTATATATATATATATATATAAGTTACATAAAAATATAAAAATTATAAACTACAAAAAATTTGCTTTCGTAATAAAAATTAAAAAGAAAACCTGTAAAAGTTAATAAAGTTATTAGAATCTACATTCATATAAATAACAACAAGTAAAATAGTAAAAAAACTTATAGAGTAGAAAATAGTAATAAAAAGTTTTATTACAAAAAAAAATTGAGAAAAAAGTGGCAACCAATCAAAATGATTCAAAAACAAAACAACCCAATCATGTTAACAGTATAAAATCTACTGTCTACCACATGGTTTATAAAACTTCTTCATATCCAACAAAAAAGTTATTTACTATTTTAATAATAATTATTTACTTTTTATTCTTTTTTATATTTATAAAACTTAAAATTTATAGAAAATAAAATAGATATAAATAATAGTAAATTTATTCGTAATAGAAAAATAATAATAATTTATAATAAAAAATAATAAAAAGTGAAAATAAATTTAAATAGAGAAATAATATTTTTTTTTTTCTAATAATAAAAAAATATAAAAACCTGAATTTCAGCGGAAACAAAAAAGAGACTGGAAAGTAATAAATCAAACTTTATATTGTTGATGTGCACAACCAAAAATATTGAAGCAATTCTTTTATTATTTATTATTTATTATTTATAATATTTTACTTGTTATTGTTATTTTTATTTATTACTTATTGTCATTTATAATACTCTACTTGTTATCGTTATTTTTATTTATTACTTATTATTTATTATTATTATTTGTATTATTAATAATTTACTTAATTTTTTATTTTTATTTATTACAATTCTTCTTATTTTTTTTATTATTATTATTTATTATTTAATATTCTATGATTATATACTAAAAATTTATTACTATCTAATATTAATAATTATTTATTATTTTTATAAAATTTTTTTGCTATTTATTATTTTTCTTTACAATAATTCTCTTATTTATTTATTAATAAAAAAAATTTATTATTATTTACATTATTTATAATAATTTAGTGATTAACTATTATTTTTATTTATAATAATTATATTATTTATGATAAAATATTTTTATTTATAATTATTTAATACTAATTATAATTTATTAATTATAATTATTCATTACGTTACGGGAAGCACCAAAAATTGTAAATTTAAGCACGACGAAATCGCCAAGTGAGAAAATTTTTCCGGAGCATTCTTTAACTTCTTTGCCCACGTGGAAAGTTTGGAAGCGTTCAACGCCCCAAAGTTTCCTCCAAGGCCTATTATTATCATTATTATTATTTATTATAAAACTATTTTTATTATATATCATTATTATTATACATTTTTATAGTTTAATATTATAAGTATCAACACTAAATATTAAAAACTGTTATTATCGTATATTATTATCAACATTATTATTATATATTCTTAACTATTATTATTGGGTCGTATTAGTACTATTAAATATTCTTTGGCTAATATTATTATATCGTATTACTATTAATATATATATTACTAAACTATTGTGATTTGATAGTATTATAACTATTACTATCATAATATAAAACTATTATTATTTTATTATTATTTTTGGTGTTAATTATTATTAATAAATATTATTACTTTATAGTAATATTATTACTATTAACACTAAATATTATTGAACTGTTGTTATTATTGTTATTATATAAAAGGAAATTAGTATTATTGTTACTCCTGTAAATTATGTTTAATATTTATTAAAATATAACTATTATTATTATCCTTATTATTACCCTTATTAGATAATTATAACTATCATAATATTATTTATATTTGTTACTTATTATTATGTATTCGTTAACTATTTTTATAATATTTATTATTCATTATTATTGTAGTTATAATTATTATTTATACTTGTACAAAAAGCACCACTAATAACTGGAAGAAAAAACGTGAGCTCCGGATTTCTGTCAACCGAATGCTCTAGAAGAAGACCAGCTCCGCTTGAAATAAGCATAGAAAGGAGCAGCGGAGCCCAATCTTTACTTAAGACTTCCTTACAAGGTTTTATACTTTTTATATATATAAAAAAAATTGGAATTTTGTTATGCTTCCGTATGAAAAAATAATAATAATAAAAAGAATAAAAATATTATATAAAAAGTTTTTCACAAGATTTAGAACTTTAATAAAGCAAAATTAATAATAAAAAAATATATATAATAAAAATATTATATAAAAAACTTTTTTACAATATTAATAATAGTCCCCGTTCATGCGAAAAGTACATGTGGTATAGTAACACATGCATAAGTACCACGTGGTTTATCATAGTTAACTCCAACATATTGTTTTGTTTTATAATATCTTTACAACAAAATCTTTTGTTACTATTTACTATTTTATAAAATGATAATAACTTTTTTATATTTGTTATTTTTATTTTAATAAAAACTTTTTTTAGAATTATTTATTATTTTCAAAACTTTATTTTTATGTAATATTATATTTCTTGTATTCTATTGTTTTATTAAAATTTTTATATATGCTTATTTCTTTATTGCAAATAGTTATTATTTCTAGTTGTAAATATTATAAAAAGTTAAAAGCATTTTAATAAAGTTTTAAAAAAAATATAATATGAAAAATATCATGAATAATTTCCACCAATCGATATAAAAGCTCGTCTTTTAAGTTTACGAACAGCCAATAGAAAACACCAATTTGGTTAATGCACGTGACTGCACTTTTTTAATGGACACCCCAACAAGACTAAAGTGCGACGTTTTTAAAAGTTATCTTTTCAGCGTTAAAAGAGGATAAAAGTATGGGTCTATTGGCTAAAGAGAAAAGACCTTCGTCTATTAGTAAAAACAAAACAATAAAAATGTAATGAAAAGTTTTAAAGCATGCATATAATAATTATAGTTTCGTAGAGAGTTATTATCAAATAAAATATTTCTAAGTATTAGTAATGATATATATAAAGTTTTGATACAAAACAATAATAAAAGTTTGTATTATTATATAAAAGTTAATAAATCATATAATAAAATATTTATAAACACTTTTAATAATAATAAATTATATAAAAGTTTTTTTAATACAAACCATAGAAAAGGTTAATATATAATAATAAGAGTAAAGTTATGGTAATACAAAATATTTATAAACATAGTAACAACAATTATACATAAAAGTTTGTAATACAAAGTAATAAAAGTTTGCCAATGATAGTAAGACTAATAAAGAAAACTTCAAGTTTTAATATAATTTTTTTTTACATTATGTATATAACTTTTATTATTATTTATAAATTCAATACAGCTTTAATAGAAAATAAATATAATATTATAATAATAATAACTTGATAGCGAGGAAAGTCCAAAGAGCCGTAAGAAGAAGAAGTAAAACATTTAATAAACATGCAAACTCGCGGTGGGCGACCGATCCGAGACCGAACAATCCCCGGGCAAACGAGCCGTAAAAGGCCAAAATGCAGAAGTCGCCTATTGCATATTAAAAAAAATAATAAAAGCATTATTAGAATAATAATAACAATATAATTTAATAAACCAAAAAAATATTAACAATTGTTAAATAAAAATATTATAATAATAACTAAATAAAAAATAATAAATTAAAGTTTTATTAAAATAATAATAGTAATGTATAAAAATATATAAATAGAAAATATATTAATAAAAAGATTATAAAATAAAAAAAAAAAATTTATATATAATATTATAATAATATTACAAATAATTGATAATAATATATTAATAGGAAATTATTAATAAAATAAAAATGTTATTATAATAATAATAAAGAATAAAATATTATAATAGTAAATATTTTAATAAAAAGATTATAAAATAAAAAAAAAGTAAGTATTACATAAACTGTTATTATAATAATAATAAAGAATAAAAATAAAATAATAAAAAAAATGTTTTAAAAAAAATAAATATAAAACAATAATAAAAAATAAAATAAAATAGAAAAATATTAACATGAAAAGCATGAAATAATAAAATAAATATATATTATAATATCTTTAAAATAATAAAAAATAAATACATAAAGGATTATTGAAAAATATTAAGGAAAAATATTACTATAATAATAATTACAAAATATGTAAATGTAAATAAATGGAAAACATATTAATAAAGATTAATACTAAATAAATTATAATCATTAATAAAAATAAATAAATGAAAAAAATTTTAAATATTATTATAATTATAATAGTAATAATAATTAAAAAAAATTCATAAACGGAAAATATATATTAATAAAAAATTAGTAAATAAAATTATTAAAATTATAATAAATATAAATAAAAAGGAACTTCCTAATATAAAAATAAATATTAATTATATTAAAATTATAAATAATAAATGAATAGAAAACATATTTATTAAAGACAATTATAAAATAAAAATTTTATAAACGTAATAATAAGGAAAATTAATAAAAATAGATAAATTGAAAATATATTATAAAAGGTCTAGTAAAAATATAAAATAAATATTGTTATAAAAATTAATAAATGGTAGAACATTAATAAAAAGAATATAAAATAATATGAAATTTTTTTTAATTAATTATTATTATAATAATAATTAATAAAAAAAATTAATAAATGTAAGAAATATCAATAAGGAATTATTAATAGCACTAATAATAAATAAAAATAAGTAAATATATAAAATATTAGTAAAAAGATTATTATATTGAATAATAATATTAATAACATTATTAAAATAATAATAGAAAGTATTAGTAAATATAAAAAAATATTAATAAATAATTAAAATATGGAAAAGAAATATTAATTCTTATTATTATTAAGGTAGTAATAAGAAAATAAATAATAAATAAATTAATATAAAATAATAATAAAAATTAATTAAAAAAAATAATAAAATGGAATTGAATTAGTAAATAAATTATTATTGAAATAAAGAAAGTTATAATAATAATAAAATATAAACAATAATTAATAAAAAAAAAAGGTATTGAAGAAAAAAATATTATAAAAGTTATAATTAAAATAATATTAAAAAAATTTAAAAAATAATAACATATAAAGTTATATTTATATAAAAATTAATGTAGAAATAAAAAAAGAAAAATAATAATATATAAAAAATTATATTAATAAATTAATTATAAAATAGAATTAATATTAAAAAATAAAATATAGTAACGAATAATATTTTATTAATAAAATAATTATAAAGTAGAGTGAATATTAAAAAAATATATATTAATAATAAATAATATGAATGAAAAGTAGTCATAAAATAGATATAAAAAAGAAAATTTGTTAGTAATAAATAAATAATTATTTGATAATATATATAATGTGAAAATAATAATGAAAAAATAATAAATAGATAATATATTTATAAAATAATTATGAAAAAGAACAATTATTAAATAATAATAATAGATATATAAGCAATGAAAAAGATAATAGTAAATAAATATTAATATTAATATTAATATTATAAAGGGATAAATGTTATATATATAATAACTATTTTAAAAAAAGGAAATAATAATTAATAAAATAAATATAAATTATATTAATAAAAAAATAATAAAATGATATAAAAAATAAAAAAAAATATTTTATTGGGCTCCTCGTTGGCATTCTAGGTACATACTAGGTACTAACACTATTCAGCACCGGTCCTTAGGGAAAGGCACCAACACAGTAGGCGTACCTACCATTCCAGCACCAAGCCTAGACTAGAGTAGATAACAAAACTGATACTATACTATAGAGTGTGTATAATATAATACCAGCGCTACTATCTAGCCTTTCAACCCAACGATTTAGTAGTCAGTTAGTATGAGGACTAGACCAGCGTCCCCAGGACAATCATAATAAAATAACAATAAATAAAAGAAAATATATTAATAAATATATAAAAGGGAATAAAAAAAATATTAAATTATTATTATTAAAATAAAAAAAATATAAAAAGTAATTTATAAAAATAAATAAATAAAAGAAATTATAGAAAAATTATTGATTATAGTTGTAAAAAAAATAAATAATAGAATAAAATAAAAAACCCAAACTAGCCAAAATAGGCAAGGCAAAATTATCAGGATCCACGTGGGCAAAGCGGCTCCACGCGACTACAAAGCACGTGATGAAGCCCATTACTGCAGAAGACAACGAGCCGGACAAGACGCTGCCAGAGAATATGATAATAGTAATAATAATAATAATAAAATAATAATAATAATAAAATAATAATAATAACAATAATAATTATGATAATAATAATAATAACAATAAAATAAGAATAATTCAGCTTTGCAATATAAAATTTTCAAAGTAAAGATTAAAAAAATTTAAATTCTTGATATGATTTTGTTTATATTTCTATTTTTCTTGTTAAATTTATATTATCAAGTTTTTTCGGAAAAATTTAAATTATTATAAATTTATTAATTTTAATACTAAAGTAATATTAGTTAAAGATAATTTTTTATTACTTTTCTTATATAAAAATAATTTTTTTTAATAAAAGTAAATTAATTTTAAATTGTTTAAACTGTTAATTAAAAAAATTACTTCGAGATATGAAAATCGAGTAAACTACAATTAACAACTAAAAGTTTTGTGATAAACATATTCCTATTAATTCTAAAAGTGCTGTGCCTTCATATTTTATATTTAAAAAAAGAGTAAACAAATTTATCGAATTAATTAATTAACAAAAAAATTTATAAATTATTAAATTTTAGCAATGCAAGCAAAAAATTATTTTTCTTTAACCCGCTTATAACAAGCTTCTCCAGACTCCAGAGATCGCCATCTCCATGGAAAATGAAGCCATAAGTAAACGCTAAAATGGAAGCCACACTGCAAAAAATAAAAGATTGAACCTAAAAACCGTATATAAAAAAAAAAATTAAAAAAAATTATAAATAAAAAGGAACTAAACCTGAACTATTATTAAGTTTATAACAAAAAGTTTCCCAATATTTTTCTCATAAGGCGCATTGGAATTTCCAAAAGCCGTTGTCAATCTATTATATAGATATATATTGTAGTAAACTTTGTTATAAAATAAATTATACCACAAACCTTGAAACCAAAGTCATATCTATATTTCCTTTCAAGCCAAGTAAAATAGGAATCAATACTGTAAATTGAGGAAACTCATGGAAAGGTAGAAAGCTCTAATAGTAAGGAGAAACAATCCTAATAATCTAGTAATAACTTCAAAACGTTTAATTAATCTAAGTAATAAAAATGAAATTTGAATAATATGTATAATTAACTTTGACTGAAAATTAGTAGCTAATATATAGTTGTAGGTAACTTATAATTTAATAATAAAAATAGAAAACCACGCAATCTAAGTAATAAAGCTTTATTTAAAATTTTTATATATATAATATACTCTGGCTGAAAAATAGTAACTACTGTAACAAATAACATTATTAGATTATTTTATAAACTTTCTTTACCTGAACTTTACCAAGAAAGTAACCGATCCCAATTTGGCCTAAAGAGCCAAAAGACAAAGAAAGTAGCATCTATTATACTTCACACAAAGAAATTTATGAGAAATAAAGCAAAAAAAAAATACTTGTAAATTATTAATAGCCCAAAATTTAAAACTTTTATAGTTTTCCAGGTTAGTATTAGTTACAACTGTAGTCATATTTTTTTTGATATCCTCATATCGATACGAACGAAAAAACTTTTTTTTTTAAACAATTATATTCTCCAGCAGTAAAGGCTAGAAAAGTTTAGGTGAAAAACCTTCATGCTTTAATCCATAAATGGAAATGTTTCTAATGTTATAAAAAACCTTTCTTATAAACAAGTAATACCATTAAAATGTTAAATAACCTTAATTATAACATTTATGATAAAACATAAATACTATATAACAAGTTATTAATATTTCCCTTTTATTCTTTACATTTGTCTATGAATTTTTAATAACCAAAATTTTTATATAAATTAATTATTGATCATTTATTCGTTATTTACACCATATATTTGATTTTTTTTTTAAAAAATAAATACTTGCCAAATTTAAAATTAAATTTTTTTTTTAAAATGATTCTATAAAATTTTAGTAAAATAATAGCTATGACAATCCCTATTTTTTTTTAAAATCAAAAGATTTAGCTAACAGTACCGTGTAGTGGTTTGTTGTACCATTTATTATCCTTAGCCAGGTTAAAGATAATACGTTTTTTACTAAAACGTGTAGTATTGCTCAGCACAATAAAGTTAAAAGCAACGACGAAAAATGTATGAGGAGTTAATAAGTTTTTCACATAAAGAAATAAATCAATAGAATACTACTACTTTTATTAGGTTGAGATCGCCTAAAACACCTTATCTACCTTTCTTAAGATAATGTAAACTAACAAACTGTTTTTTGTAGCTTTCCGTATGTATGTAGATATTTATTTTATATATAGTGTAGTTAATCCGTTTGTTAAAAGATTCCAGTTATATAAAAAAGTAATATATGCAAATATTTTAATTCTATTGTCACAAAGAAATGTTAAAAAAGTTAACTGTTTTCAAATGGGTATTTTTACCAGTTAGCACTATTAATTCAAAAAATATCACTTTTGAATTGAATCTTTTGGTCATACTTAAAGGCTTAAAACTATGTGTTTCTATATTAGATTCCTTCCTTACACCACAAGTACACCAAAAAATAATGCCTTGCTTAGCATATATATAAAGGGCTTAAAACAATCTTTAGGGGCGATTTTGCCTCTACATTAAAAAAGATCACAAAACTTGTTATTCTTATAAGGCTCCATCATTATCGGCTACCGAAAATTTGACATCAAACTGAGCAATTAGATAAGAAAACAATAGCCTTACTAATACAACCTATTTTAATATCCTTTGTTAATTTTACAACTAAATATATAACTAAAAAAATGTTAATAGTAGATAGTAAGAAGTCAACGCAGAAATATGTAATGCTAGCTGAAACGACCATGACATGGAGAGAAATAGTAAATGCACGTGAAATAACACATAAACGTTTTCTTCCCTCTACGAACTTCCCACTTGTCTTCTTTAATTTGCTACCATCCTTTAAGGTTTCAAGCTGTTGAAAATAAAGTGGTTAGATAATAATATATATATTTAATTTTAACATAATAGATGCCTGCCGTTTCAGTGAAAGATGTTAATGCACATGAATTTATAAAAACATATGCTGAGTACCTTGAAAAATCTGGTCGTATTGAAGTTCCTCCGTGGGTCGATGTTGTTAAAACAGGTTTTCGTTATCATTTTTAAATACTTGTTGAATATACAATTATGATGCCTTTATAAATTTATAAAGGACATGCTAAGGAGCTGTCTCCTTACGATCCAAACTGGTTTTACACTCGTTGTGCTGCTATTGCACGACACGTATATATAAGATCTCCTGTTGGTGTGGGCGCTCTTCGTACCGTTTTTGGTAGCCGTAAAAGAAGAGGATCTCGCCCAAGCCATCATTCCAAGGCTTCGGGTGCTATTTGTAGAGCTGCAATTCAGCAACTTCAAAAAATTAATGTTGTCGAAATTCACGAGAATGGGTATAATTTTTTTTTACACTTGTTTCTGTTACTACTAATATAATTTTTTATTTTTAAGGGGTCGTATATTAACTTCGCAAGGAAGGCAAGACTTGGATCGTATTGCTAAACAAGTGAAAGCTGCTTCTTTATAATAATAAACTAATATTTATACTGCTATATTGCTTTTTTTACATTAAGATCGATTGTTGGTAGTGTAATTTATATACCATTTCCATCATAGCGGCTTAAAGTTATTATTTGGGAATAATGTTTATTTTAAAATGTTAATGTTGTGTTATATAATATTTTAAAAAAAAATTATATTGTTAATTAGTAAAAAGAGCAAAAAAAAACTTCCGTTAGCAAAGGAATGAATGTCTTTTGTTAGTATGTTAAGGAAAAAGCATAGAGACGTTTTTTTTAATTTTTACTACTGAATTTGTTATAAAACTTTTATATTGTCAAAACTCATTTATTCTGATTTAAGTTGAAGTTTGGGTTGCTTACTTTTTTCGTTAAATGAGATGGTTGCTATAAAGCTACGCTAATAACGAAGTTCGGTGCGCTCTTCACGACAACCCATCAGTTCACAAATTTCCATGAAGAGCGGATTTTTAAAAACATTATTTATCAAGACACTAAGCAAGATTGTAGGGTCTAAAAGTTGGAAGCTGTGTAATAGCAAATTGCGTTGGGGGGAATGCTGAATTTTTGTACTTATTGACTTTAGCTTAACTTTTATTACTTTAAAATTTAATTTAAAGGTTTTTAAGTCATGCTCGACCATTATGGTCTGTTGCTGTATAATATGCCCTTGCGCCCGTCTTCGTTAAGCTGTAACTCTACTGCGTAAACACATAAATTTATGAACATTCTGACTGTTTAAAAGAACAAAAAGTTTTAAAGCTAAAGTGGGCTTATCTTTCAGAACCTTTAGCAAAATCTCTCCTCCATTTGATTAGATCGCTAAAGATAAAGTACTATATTGGGCATTCTTTCTTTTTTAGTAAAAGTTCATTTATTTCGCTGGTTTATCAAAGTATATGTTGAAGATCCGCCTACATTATCCTCCTTAAGGAGCGTGAAGAAGAAGTCTTCGTCTCTAGTCGTCTTAAAGAAAACTATCAGGCTGTATTTATTTAGAGAATTAAAATTAACGCAGTTTTATCATAAAAATTTATTAGGAAATTTAAGGGTTTTAACACCTAAATAATCTATCTGGTGGACAGCACTAAAAAATTAAATAATTTATATTTAAAATCAATTCTATTTCAGCAGTGATTTTTTATTTACTATTTATAGTTATCTTGTCTTACCTGAATTTATTTCTAGATATTATTTTAATTGTAAATATATATGGGGAACGTTATTAAATAAAGTAAGGGGCTTCCTTGGGTGCGGAGGGGCCTGGTCAACTGCATTTTATTCATTAATGAAGTTGACTACTACACTCAGGAATACACGTTTTTTTTTACTGCTTAATACTTAATTCCTTTGTAGTAAAAGGATGGAGAGTACACTCCAGAAGTAGGAAAAATTGACCTTTCACAGTCAATTATTATTGGGCACACATTACTCAATGCTGGTCGGAAGTTACGTGCTAAAAACTTAAGTTGTTTAGCTCAATCAAACACCAGGAAAAAAGTAATTAACAATTTTGTTATGGGTGATATTCTAATTTTTTTTAATTTCTTTATTTTATTATAATTTATTTATTCACACTTCATTGGTATATTCACTTATATATCTCATTTTTCAAGAAAAAATTTTAATAAAGTTAAGGAAGCACCTTCTCGCACCCCATAAACGCGGCCATCTAGCTCTTCCCAATCTCATGGCAGACAGTGTCCTTAATTTTCTTTTAATAAAAGGTTGAGGTAGCCCACTCGATCTAACGAAGAAGCTACCGGTTGGTTGAATATAGTCGACTGCGTTATGACATTATAAACTATAAGTTGTTGAGAACATATAACAGCGAGAAATATGACAGCTTATATTACTTAAATTCTTTCGGGTTTTTAAACTTGTCACTTTACTTAAAAAAATCTTTCAAAAAAGCGTCAAAATTGCAAAGTATTATCAACTACTTATCGGTATATAAATTAAAACTTAAGTAAAGCATAACCTACAAGTACGGCCCTTTTTAGAAGCAGGCAGGGCTATTACTAAAGGCAGATAAATACATCAGTATCCATTAAAGTCACGATAATCGCCGTTTTCCACCGAGCCGAAAGGTGCCAAAGGCCATCACCGAGTTAACAGGTAGCACAGGCAATTCAGAGTTACTTACGGTATGTTTAATAGCTCAGGGTCCTTTTGCCTTAATATTATCTTGACTAGCTCCTTAATTTTCTATATAGCGGGCTTGGGAATTCTGCTTATTTTAAGATGGAATAATCCTTAAAAATCGCTTGTTCATCACCAGGTGTTACTTATATCATGTGACTTTACACATGAGTAAACAACGTGGGCATACCTTGGGACCTAAATTTTGTAGTTCCTCTTCTATTCTCTTTGAAGGTAAAATGAACTTCCTCTGAGACAATAAATTCTTGAGACAATAAATTCTATTCCTCCCCTCCTCCCTCTATCCTCTTTTTCTTCCTCACTTTATTAACAGAATATTTATTTTTTTTCATAAATAGCAGCGTGCGTAGTAATAAAGGTGCAAAATTTTCATATTAGTATCAAAATTAATCATATATGTAAAAGCAGAAAGTTAAGGGACAAGAAAGTTCAAATCGATAGAAAGGCCTCTTAGATTAAGAGGTTAATGTTTGGGGCTTAATACTCATATAATTTTTTAATATAATTACTTAAGTTCTGTTTGTGTTTTGTTACAAATGTGTACTATTACATGTAAACATTAGAGCTATTTTTAAGTACACCATGATTTTATTCTTTGAGTTTTGGTAACTTATCTACTATATACTTTTTCGTTGTTATATGCTTAATGTTTTTTAAAGTTCTTAAATGATATGCTGCTGATAGGCATTGTAAATAAGATCTACTCGTTATATCTACAACAATTTTTTTACTACCTCATTGTTTTTTGTGTACAAAAAACGGTCGAAGGTTTTTATAATAAAAAAATAGCTCGTATATTAAATTTCTAAAAACAATAATATCCGCGCACTGTAACCTTCGGGGTATCATGACTGTTTAAAAGAGTGAAACTGTGTGCAAAGAAACCTCAGTTCCAGCCATGCGATGGGAATACTGTTACTATTCTGGAGATCGTAAAGTTCTCTGACAATAATAGCGCCTAAAGGTAAACTTACATGAGTTAAAATATCTAATTAGGAGAAAAAAAAAATAATTAAACTAATTAACCTTAAGCGATAATAGTTTACAAAGCCAAGAGATTAGAGAGAGAGCGGAGCTAATGCACGACTATATCAAAGCTGTGCACCGGCGAAAATAGAACTTAAGAAAATACCGTAGAAAAATAAAAGAAACAGAACTTAGAAAATAGATTATAAGCAAACGTGACTTAAAGAGAAAATATGCGATAGGGGCTCCACATCAAGAAAGTAACAGCATCAGCTCCCTCGCCTTAAGGTTGGCAGTCTTTATCTGTTTAAGCGCTAAAAACTCGAATAAAATTTTCATGCATTAGCGCATATGACATTATATCCAATGAAAATGATGATAGGAGCATATGCAGATTTATAACAAATACTGCCGGAAAATCCTAACGAGGCGGAGATATCTCACTAATATTAATATTTATTATAATAAAATGACTAAATACGCTAGAAAATGTTAGAAATTAATGTTACTCATATGAAAACACGGATCACTTATCAAAATGATATCCTCAAGCTCTCCCACCTGTTTGATACCTTTTTCTAATAGTGTGCAGATCTTTTGTTTAAAGGTAACTAGATATCATGTCCTTTACTATCTTTTTGATTTCTAAGTTCTAGGTTGTATTGTTTTTATAGTATTTGTTTAGAAAAAGGAGTTTATAATTGTTGTTTTCTAATGAAATTTTATATTATTTTTTTCCTGTTTGCAATTGCTTAAAGTATTAAATTTTCTCATTGCTCTTTTTAATGTTTAAATTTCTGCCGTAATGCTAGTTACAGTTAAATTCTGGTATATAGAATCATTATATTTATCGTCAAAGAGTTCAATGTAAGTCATGTAATTATTGTTTAATAGTTTACCCCATTGAGCTTTCTTTTATTATTTAATTATATGTCCTAAAAAGAATTATACCAGTTTATAATCCAGCTGTTAGTGTCTCACAGTTATTGACCACTTATATATAAAGGTTAACGTTTGAGAATTTTTTCTGGTGTTAATTCTTGCCCTCAGTACGCAAACTATAATATACATTAACTATAGCGTTCACGCCATTGTTGAGGAAGTAGGAAAGAAGTAGAAACGAGTTTATTGAATCTTTACGCCTACACCCGTATAACAAAAGTGAGGTAGAGGGCGAGATTATACAAGCAAACTAATCAAATGCATGAAAATGCCATTTTGGCTATAATTATCACGAGATGAGCATATATTTTTGAAGACGAGCATGCTTCTTGTAACTATATATAACTATATACTAGAGTAAATGGAGTTTATAATAAATCTTAGCAAGTAAATATGTCTTCTAAAAGTATATCACACTCTTTAAGCTTACTATCATTTTAAGTTTAATTTAAGAACTTTGAACTCATCTTTTTTATGACTATAATCTATAGGATCATTTCTTTGGCCCCTCCCCTCGTCATGCGCTCCAAGAGGGACAGACCCCTCTAAGGCTTTGTTTATAGACGAGTTATAATTGTATAAATTTTATAATTAGTTTAAAATGTTGGGTTATGAATAAAGCTTTTATAATTAAATGGTTTCTATGTTTTTATATAAACCTTTCTCACGCCTTTAATTTCTTATAAGTGTAGCTTCATTTTTTTTTTGTTTTACGTTTGGTCAGATATACAGGATCCGCTCCCCCTACGTTAGGTGATAATCTCAAGTATTTTAGTTGTCGTATTACAGTATTTTAAGGCTTTCTTTAATACCGTCCTGGCGAACAGCATTATTTAAGATTATATTTAGTGCTTTATTTACAAATACAGTTACCAATCAGTTCCTATTCCTTTCAACGGGACCGCCTGAATTTTATTAACAAATAGTATTCTTCAAAAAAAGTAATGTATTATATTTTGCTTTATAATAAGTGACAATTAGTACAAAACGATAACCATAGTTGCTACAATAAAAATGTATCTATTTAAGTAGTCTTCCAGGTAGGCTATTATAATGAGAAACAGTAGTTGTTAACTTTTCAATTTTTTATAATACAAATCATATGCTTCAACTGTTTTGTTAAAAGGATTAATCAGTGGATTAAAAAGTTCGTAAATATTTATTAACATGACAGTATAATATTCCGAGAGTATATTATGGGTTACTGTTTATTAGCTATGCATAGTTGATTTTTCAATCTGCGCCTATCTCACTCTTTTAGCTAATAATAACTCTTTTTAAACCAAAAGGGGTGTAATATATTATATTTCATTTAAGTTAGCTACTAGTATAAAGTTGTTATTAGAGTTTGGTTGTAAACTGCTCTACCTTTATCTAATAGTTTTAATTTTGCAACTTCTAAATATTATTTTATAGGTTTTAAACAACTTTTTCATCCTTAACGTTTTTAACTAGTCGAAGAAGTAAGACATAGGGAGGACCTTCTCCCTTGGTGATATTAATTTGTTTAATCAGCTGTTCTAGTTGTGAAAGTTTCTCGAAAAAGTTGCCTTTCTATGTAGTTTAATATGTGAGCAGAAGTATTAACAAGGTTAAATAACATTAAAATAAGTGTGTTGAGATAGGTTTTTTCAATATATTTAAGTTGGTACAATATAAAACATAGGGAAAATTTATTATTGATTAAAAAAAAATAATAAATTAAGAAACTAATACATACATAAATATATAAATGGTTAAGTAACCTAAATGAAATGTAACAACAAAAGTTAAAAAGAGCACACTAAGCTGAAGAAATTAGGGACTTATTTTTAACGGAAAAGAAAATTTAAAAAAGAGCAAAAAAAAATTTAAGTGAGAGAGAGAGTTGAAAGAGAACAAAAAATTTATTTTTAAAGGGAGTTAATGTAAAGAAATTTTGTATTAGAAAAAAAAACGGTTTAGACGTTGTAGCTAAGTAAAATGGTTCTTGTTACCGTTTTTAAGGGGTTAATGTTTTAGTTTTTACATGCTAAAATTTAACCACTAGCACTCTAATTATTGCTTAATTACTTTTGTAATTATACCTTTACCTGATTAGCACTAAAAAATTTTTTTTCTTAGTCTGCTTTCAAATAATAAAGGGTTAAATTATTTTATGTTATTGAAAAAGTAATTTTTTATCCCTGTTGTTCCTTAATTAATGTTTCAATTACTGATTGATTTAATCCCGGATCTATTCCCCAGTAATTTATAAAAAATTTACTAATTTGTGTCTGGAATTACTTTTGAAAAGATAATAGAGTACCAATAAATTAAATAAAAAACGTAGTCTCCTTATTAATCACAAGTGAATGACGCTTTTAAGGTTTTTTATGTAAAGAAAAAACCTATGTAGTTAGGTTCCCTTGCTCCATAATAAAATTTTCTGAGCTCCAAATAGGACTAGGATAAATTGGTTGTGATCAATAGATCCGAAGAAAATAACTACTTGCGAGGTTCTAGAATTGCTATAATTTTAGCTGCAGAAGGTAAAGGTCAATAGTTAAATTTCATAAATATTCTGTTCTAATAAGTTCGAAAAAAAGGTTTTTTGATTAGCATATATAACACCATTTAATTATTACGAATTAACTTTAAAGAATTAGCATCGTAAAAAGAGTAATATCTATTGTTATTGTTATAAAGACTGCCTACCACCATAAGGGTATCCCACTTTTTTGTCTTCCTAAACTTGTGTAAGTTATTCCAACTATAAAAAGAATGTGTGTTAACCGATGCAATTATTAAAGAAGAAAATGATCCTAAATATTATTAGAGCTTGTAATATATATTATTAATTATTAAAAAAAACTTATGATACATGTTAAAAACGCTAAAGTATTAAAAGTAGGAGCTCTGGTGTACTGAAACATACTAGTAAACCTTAAGTGGTTTAAGACTTGATCCGGTCATAGTAAAATATATCTACCTAGTCAGGAAATTTATATTAAAGTTTTATCAAAAAATTTTTATAAATCTCCAAGAAATAAACATACTGTTATCTATCACACAGTAAAATTGAGTATTAAGTGCAATAATAGAGAGTTAATTATCAGAACTGACATTACCGAGAGTAAAAAAGAACATAGCCACGATGAAGTGATGAGTGGGATAAGTAGATCTCTATATAATACGGAGAACAAGTTACAGTAACATCAAAATTTTCTGCATAATTTGAAGTCTAAAGGATCAGTATTTTAGTGACTTATTAACTCTAATATGAGAAATACTTCCACGATAACATATCTTCAAAGTCTACTGGAAGTTATGTTAATTTACAATACCTTTGATGTTCTCGAGAGGGGAGAATATTATTCTATTATAATAATAACAACTAATAAAATATAAAAATTATATAATATATTCGATAGTTATAAAAATTGCAATAATGATAATAATATGAAACAGGTTTGATGATTAGAGAACACAGCGCCAAGCATGTCACCATTTACTTTTATTGGTGAACAAAATTGTAGTTTGTTGTTTACAAGAGGGCTGTTTCCCCAGTGGGATTAAAATATTTAGTGGCCTTTCTGTAATTGGTTATTTTATTATACATATTATTAATATTATACCAGTTCCGAAAATTTCAAGATTACAAATCAACTTTACAAAAAATTAAAAATTTTATTACCTTTCTTAACTATAATAAATTAGTAAATATTAGTTTCCAGGTTTTTAATTACGTCCATTTGTTTACTTGGTGAATTTTTTGAGATCATGAAGACTATTTTTTTTTTAAGTATGTGCAAAGCAACTAACACTTGAGACAATATTAAAACTGGGTTTAGCGAAAGCAAAATACTAAAAAAATTATTGTTTTCTTTATAAAATTAATCTAGAATTTTATTTTTTATTTAAGGTTATAATATATAAAACATAACCGCAATAATTAAAAATTAATCTCTTTTTTATATTTGTTCTGTTTTTTAGGAGTTTTTTTAAGAAGCTGGGTTTTTAGTAAGACTTGATTTCTTGCCTCCTTAAGGCGGCTATGTACTTTTTCGCGTTGTTAAAAATTTAACACTACATTTAGCAATGTAAAAATGCATTTTCTTAAAAATATAAAGGTCGTGTTAAAAGTCAACAACTAAAGGAGAGGCTTTAATTTTTAAAGCAAATGAAAGGGATAATATAATATCATTAACATTTAATAATTAAGTAATTAATTTTTAAATACAGTTATTGTTTATTTCATGTATTTGTCGCTTCTAAGTTGTTTATGTTCGTAGGTTAATATTTATTTGTGTGTAATATTATTTGAAAAAGACTTTGCAGCGTAAAATTGGCCGCCTTAATTTTCAT